AGATTAAGCAAGATGTGATCAGAACTGATGACAGGCCCATTTACACAGAAACCATATAGAGCATGGGAAGCCCATGGGAACGGCAAACAGTCTGAGGTCAACCTGCTGCTTAGAACAAGTTCTCTGAAGGTATAAGGCAAGGACAGAAACCACCTTTGGCACCTGTCACTAGACACAAGAGATCAGAGCTACTGCAAGCTAAGAAAAATGGGTTCTTCCACCACAGGGGTGTTGAAGTCTCTAGAACGGAACACAGGTGAGAAATCTGCTTAGGTAAAGATCTTGCACCTAAAAGGACAAGGGAAGCCAGCATGTTGTGCTTTTGTGAAGGTCCTGATTGAGGCTGGGAAGAGCAAGCAGGCAGACAGACCATCTTGACCACCACCTGTATCTTGATAGATTGTTTTAGATGTATGTTTTCACTTGTGTTTTGCCTGTACCCCTTTCTAACTTGATTGTTTTTACTTGGCATCACTTATTGTGTCCTCAAAAAGAAAAGGAGGACTTGTGGCACCTTAGAGACTAACACATTTATTTGAGCATAAGCTTTCGTGAGCTACAGCTCACTTCATCGGATGCATGCCGTGGGATTCAGCCACTGAATGCATCCGATGCAGTAAGTTGTAGCTCGCAAAAGCTTATGCTCAAATAAATGTGTTAGTCTCTAAGGTGCCACAAGTCCTCCTTTTCTTTTTGCGAGTACAGACTAATACGGCTGCTACTCTGAAACCTGTCATTATTGTGTCCTATTGTTCATAAACGGGTCTTATTCTTACAAGCCAACTCACCTCTGTGTTTGAAAGGTGGGTGCATTCATCCCAGTGAGATTAATAAGCTGTGATGCGTGGGTGTCTTTCGAGGAGGAAAGGAACCGCATTATTTCTCTGAACTGGCCAGGAGAGGGCTGGACATGGCAGAGCATACTCTGGGGGAAATTTGGGAATTGGAACATGTTGGGGTCAGCTTGCTGGTGGGGCTGCAGACAGGCTGCTGGGCCAGGGCTGTCTAGCACACACTCAAGGGGTGACCTGCATGCTGGTAGATTGGCTGTGAGCCTCCCAGCAGCAAAGCACTGGAAGGCACTCCAGGCTACCGGGCAAGTGGAGACAACCCCTCACTGGGCTGGTTTGCACCCTGAACCCTGACTGGACCATCATAAAACTTGTCCCTTTGAATGGGCGTGGATGCCGGGTGTGCACCCCAAAGATCCTGATGGCAAGCAATTGGGACCCTCCACTCGCCAAAGTATTTTGAGGATCAAAACATGCCCAGGGTGGGTAGAGCCCATGCAGAGACAGGCATGTAACCCCCAACTGCCCCCATGATGACCCTCCCCCAGGGGGTGTAAGTTCTGTGGCCTCCTTAGAATGGATCAGCTGCTGGGCACATAGCAGCTGTGGGGTGGGAATGTCTTTCAGTGCCTGGCTGGGGGGCAGCTGGAATCCCAGACTAGGTAGCTGGAGGTGCCCACCCTGCCATCTGGTACCACCAGGGCTCTTCAGGCAGTTCCACAGAGGTACAGAACCTACCCTGCTTCTCGATTTCCACCTTCGTAGGCAGCATGGTAACCTGGGGCCAGGAACCCTGCAAAGAGAGACCTGGAGTCAGAGAACGTGCTATGGGGACATAGACATGGAGAGCAGGATGGTGGGTTACAGCCGGGGGGGGCGTTGGGAGTCAGAACTCCTGGGTTCTATCCTGGCTCAGAAGGGGGATGGGGCAGAGGGAAATAGAACCCAGGAGTCCTGACCCTTTCCATGCTGAATCTGGTTCCAGATTTTTCAACAACAAGCTCTATTGGCCCTCAGAAGCCCAAAATAAGTCACCAACCAGCTTTTAAAGAGAACCGGAGTGCTCAGCGCTACAGGATCACAACACAGCAGCAATGAAGGGACCGACTGCCCAAAGCAACATGGTACAAAGCTTTTGCTTGGCCTGTTTTTCTAGCAGTTGGGCAAAGCCACACAGACAGAAACCAGGGTCATTTCCCTTCTCTTTGTAGCTTAGCTGACCGATATGATGGGCTGAAATGGGTCAAGTCCATAGCCAAGTTCTCCAGCCACACTCAGCTCCAGCTGACAGACTGAAGGGGACGCAGACCTAAGGGGAAATGTGCTAGCCCAAAAGCCCCCACAAGGGCAGGGGGAGAAATGGAGCAGCATTTCACAGATGCTTTTCCGGCTCAGGACGCTGCACAAAACCTGCACAATCTTCACGTCTGCAGCCAGCCAAAATGACATCCCCTAAAAAGGGGACAAGCTGGGATTTCAGGGCTTTTGTCTCCTTGCCATTGGCTGCGGTACCTTTTTCCATTCTGGGCCCATTTCCTCAGGGATGGTGGATTGGGAACTGTAAGCCATCCATCTACCAAAAGTAGCAGCAAAACCAGAACCGGCCAAGCTTGCAGCAGGGGACACACCTCCTCGATTTCCAGACCATTCTGCTTTGACAAAGCCGCAAACCCAGCTAGAGGCAGAAACTCCCAGGGGCCCCTCAGGGACCACTCTGCTCTGACAATGCCGGATAGAGGCAGTAATGCCCAGGTGGCACTGGCCAGTTTTTGTGCCACTCAGGAACAAGATGGTACCTGGGGCAGGGCTGTGCTGGGAAACAGTTGGATTTTGAATTTCAAGCACAGTTCCATGGGTACTCTGGGGGCAATGAGGCAGCTAGTGGGCCTGCCGTTCCCCAGCCCACACGCAGCCCCCGTACCTGGCCAACCTACTACCATGGGCCTGCGCCCCCCACCCAATGCAGACCTGGCTCAGCCCCGGTACGACGCATACACCACCCCATACACACCAATGCGGACCAGGCAAGAGCCCAGTAACATACACCCCCTCACCGCACATACCCCACCACTCAAACGGGCCACGCCCAGCCCTGGTATCACCGCCACACACCTCATACTCTCCCCCAGAGGTATCTCCCCCCGCAGCATACACCTCTCAACCCTGCCCCCACATACCCCACAGACCCCACACATTCCTTCCATTCCCACATCCCCAACTCTCCCCCCCACATAGCTCTACCCCCAACCCCACCCCATACGAACTACCCCACCCCCTGAACTCTCCCCCCCACAGCACTACCCCACCTCCAACCTCACATTCCCCATACACCCCCTACGCTTCCCCCCTTCCAACAGACACCGCTCCAACATCCCATCCACCCTCCCACCCAGATCTCCAGCCACATCCACCCCACCCCCGAACTCTCCTCCCCATATAGCTCCACCTCAAACCCCACATTCCCAAGCACCCCTCCGAGCTACCCCACACATCTCCACCTGCTCTTACCAACACCACTCCCACATTGCATGCACCTCCGCACGCCCTACATCCCCCTACCCCCAAACTTCCCCCCCAGCACCACTCTCATTTCCAACCCCACATTCCACATACACCCCCTACACTTCCCCCCACCCCCTCCTACCGACACCGCTCCCACAACCCACACACCTCCCCACCCCCTACATCCCCCCACCCCCTTCGCTCCACCCTGATCTCCACCCCCGCCTCCCACCCCACGTTCCCCCATACACCCCCTACGCTCCCCCCACCCCCTCCTACCAACACCGCTCCCACATCCCACACACCTCCGCACCCCCTACATCCCCCACCCCCGAACTCTCCCCCACCCACCTAGCTCCACCCTGATCTCCACCCCACCCCCACATTCCCCATACACGTCCTACGCTTCCCCCACCCCTCCTACCGACACCGCTCCCACATCCCACACACCTCCGCACCCCCTACATCCCCCACCCCCTAGCTCCACCCTGATCTCCACCCCCACCTCCCACCCCACGTTCCACATACACCCCCTACGCTCCCCCCACCCCTCCTACCAACACCGCTCCCACATCCCACACACCTCCGCACCCCCTACATCCCCCACCCCCGAACTCTCCCCCACCCACCTAGCTCCACCCTGATCTCCACCCCCGCCTCCCACCCCACCTTCCACATACACCCCCTACGCTCCCCCCACCCCCTCCTACCGACACCGCTCCCACATCCCACACACCTCCGCACCCCCTACATCCCCCACCCCCTAGCTCCACCCTGATCTCCACCCCACCCCCCACCCCACATACACCCCCTACGCTTCCCCCCTCCTACCAACACCGCTCCCAGATCCCACACACCTCCGCACCCCCTACATCCCCCACCCCCGAACTCTCCCCCACCCCCTAGCTCCACCCTGATCTCCACCCCACCTCCCACCCCACGTTCCCCATACACCCCCCTACGCTCCCCCCACCCCCTCCTACCGACCCCGCTCCCAGATCCCACACACCTCCGCCCCCCGCTCCAGGGCCCGGACACCCCTCCCCCCGCTGTCTCACCTCCCTCCAGCCGACACCAGCAGCAACGACTCGGTGCTGCCCGAGCGCGCCCAGGGGCCCGGCCGTCTGCACCCCTCCCATTGGCGAGCATCGCCGCCAATCAGCGCCCAAGACCCAATCGCCACCCGGCCTCTCTGGCTAGGCACGCTGGGTGCTGTAGTCCGCGTCGTGTCTGCCGACCGGCTCTTTGCCTCCTGGGAAGGGTAGCGCGAGCGCGCCCGGCGGTCATTTTGAACGGGTGGAAGTAGACGGGAGCACCACGGGAGCTGTAGTCACAGCGCGCTATGACTCATAGGATATGTCGTCATAGGACGCACAGACCTGCCCGGCGGCCATTTTTATCGAGTGGCCAGTGGCGCGCTGCGCTGCCCCATGGAAGTTGTAGTCAGTGGCGAAATGACTCACGGTAGTTGTAGGCAAAGAGGCGCGGGGCACCATGGGAGTGTAGTCAGGAGGCGCTGTGCCTTATGGGAAGTGTAGGACCCGCCGACAGGCGCCTGGGCTGCCATTTTCAGCGGCGGGGCCGGGGGAAATCCCGGACAGCGTGGTGCATTATGGGACACAAGCCCACCCCCATCCTCTGCCGGCTTTTCCCGACATGCCTGGCGGTCGTTGCTAGGTGATGGCCTGGGCGGCAAGTTCGGTTGGGGGAGGGTCCTGGGGGTTGCTGGGACAGGGGGTGGAGCCCGGACGCCTGGGTTCCCATAACCCCCACGGTCCCGCACTTGCGGGGCTGGGAAGGATGGAGTCCAGGTAGGGTCCTTCCGAGATCGGGTCCTGGCTCCTCCCGCTTCCCCAACCTTCCCTCCGGTTCCCCCAGAGCTGGCTGCATACTAGCGTGCTCAGGCCGTGGGGCGGCGATGCCGTCTGGTCCCTGGGGACGGGGGCGCGATGGTGTCTGGTCCCGGGGTGTGTGTGGGGACGGGGGGGGCGATGCTGGCGGGGATTGGGGGGAACTGGGGGGGCGATGGTGTCTGGTCCTGGGGTGTGTGTGGGGACGGGGGGGGCGATGCTGTTTGGTCCCGGGGTGTGGGAGGGAGTGGGGGGCGCGATGGTGTCTGGTCCTGGGGGCGGGGGGGGGCGATGCTGTCTGGTTCTAGGGGTTGGGTTGGCGGGGGGTGCCCGGCCCTGCCCCTGAGCCCTGCTAATTCCCCTTTTGCCTGCAGCACAGCTCTGTTCTCTGTCCAGGGGAGTCCCTTTGCCTTGGGGAGCCCAGCCCGGAGCCACTACCACCCTTCGCCTGCCCGCCTGCCTGGCCCACAGCACCAGTGCACGGTCCGGTGGGGGAGGGTATGAGAAGGCATTGGGGGGCTGGAGAGGGGAGTTGGGTCATGCTGTGTTGTGGAGTTTGGGGGGAAGCTGAGTCAGGGTGGGGGCTGCAGAGAGGCATTGGGGGTCCTGGGAAAGGCTATGTTTGGTGAGTTAGGGGAAGCCGGGTTGGGCTGTGTGGGGGAGTGCTGCAGAGGGGAGCTGGGTCACGTTAGGGGGCTGCAGGGGTGGAGCTGGGTCAGGCAGGGGCTGTTACGGGGAAACCAGGTTGGGCTGTGGAGGTCTGTGGGGGCTGCATCCTGGGAGAGATGGGGGTGCAGTCTCTGCCCAGGCTGGCCCCCATCACACTCCTGAGCTTTCTCCATTTCCCCCCTAGGCCCTGAGCCCAGCCCACCTGCTGCCAAGTGTCCCTGCCATCGCCTTGCACCGACAGTGCCCCCCTGAGCCCACAGCCTCCAGCCCCCAAGACCTCAGCTTCCTGCAGGGCCCCAGCTGCTGGGGGACAGCTCTGGACTCAGACTCCACCAATCCCGTCCTGGAATCATGGCCCTCGACCGACTGCAGCTCCCCTAGCACCCCCGAGAAGACGCCAGACTTGAGGCAGCTGCTGGACCCCCTAGCCTCAGCCCGGGCTGGGGTGTCCATCATTGCCAAGTGAGCTGCTCCCAGGGCAGTGGAGCCTGGTGGTCAGAGTGTGGTGGGTGGGGGCTGGGAGCCAGGGCTCCTAGGTTCTATCCCAGCTCTGAGAGGGGAGTGGGGTCTAGTGGTTAGAGCAAGGGAGGGCAGATTAGGAGCCAAGACTCTTGGGTTCTCTCTAAGTTCTGGGAGGGGAGTGGGGTCTAGTGGTTAGAGCGGGGAAGTGGTGATTGGGAGCCAGGACTCTTTGGTCTTAGGCCTGGCTCCGGGCGGGGCAGGTGACCATTAACACCATCTCCTTTCCCTGCAGGTACATAGAGCGTTTCCGCCATGGGCAGCCGAGCAGCCGCAGCCAGCGCCAGGTGCCCCCCATCCCCACAGCCAGGGAGTTCTGGTGGCTCGAGCCAGCACCTCCCTCTGACAGCTCCACCCCGAAAGGGGGGGCAAAGCCAGGTACCCCCCTTGCTGGGCAGGGGTCCCCCATTCCCTATCTCAGGGTCCCTGCTTGCAGGAGGGCACTTAGACTAAAGGGTCCATACCCCTCCCCCACTTGAGGTCCCTGCGGGTGGAGGGGCTGGTTGGTTCCTTGGACCCTCCTTTAACTGGGCCATCTCCTTACAGACTGCGCCAAGCTGGAAGAGGCCAGACCGCCGCTGCGCCCCATGGTCAGTATGTCGCTTGCAGGGACGCAGAGCTGGCGGGCACCGGGCAGTCACTTAACAAGGGAGAGGGCCAGGCTGGCTCTGGGGTGCCCCTGGAACCCTGTCTAGCCCCTCTCTCTCCACTCTGGGGATCCCTCTGCCTGCAGGTCCCTGCCTAGCCCCTCTCTATCCACTCTGGGGATCCCACCCCACCCCCAGGACCCTGCCCAGGCCTTCTCTATCTGCTTTGTGGATTCCCCCACAAGACCCTGCCCAGCCCCTCTCTCTCTCTGCTCTGGGGATTCCTCTGCCCCCAGGACCCTGCCCAGCCCCTCTCTGGGGCAGCGGGGGGCCATGTACTCTGGCTGGCTCTGTGGGGGACAGTCCCTGGGGCCTGTTTGTGGGGCTGTTGCCTGCACTGCACACTTGCTCTGTTCCAGGGGGTCCCCTCAGATACTTCCCTGCTGGAGTCGCCTGACCCCGACACCTGCAGCCTGCAGGAGAGAGCCACCCGGCTGCTGCTGAGAAGGTACTGTGCAGACACCCCCTCTCCCCCGCACTGGGTATTCCACCCCCCCGTTGGCACCCTCTTCCCTGCCGTGTACACATCCCCACCCCTGCAACCCCCCCCCATCTCACCCCCTGTTGGACACACGCACACCCCCGCTGGGTATCCCCCCTCTGGCCCCTCCTGCACACTGGGGAGAGGAGGATGCCCTCCAACGGACAAACCCGCTGCCCCCTCTAAGCTTGCCTGCTCTTCCTGCAGTGAGTCCTCCCTGAGCAGCACCATCCCCGTCAGCTCTGAGGGGCTGCGCTCCACACCTCCATCCAGCATCCCGGACTCGGACCAGGCGCTTCCCAGCCCCCCTTACCTCTCCCTGCTGGAGCCCTCCCCAGGTAGGAACGGGAGTACTGGGCCTTTCCCCTCTAGGGGGCACCAGCTCCGATCCAGCCCCTGGGTGGGGATGAGCTGGCTCAGGGAGAGGGGAATGGAACACAAGAGCTTCCCCTCTAGGGGGCACCGGCTCCCCTCCCATCTGGGTGGGGAACTGGCTGGCTCTGGGGGCAGGGAATGGAACACAGAGCCTTTCCTCTCCAGGGGGCGCCAGCTCCCATCCGGGCCCAGAGTGGGTTATTCCCAGTCTCTTGTTCCTCCCTTTGTCTCCCCCCAGGGTCCCTGCCTCCTGCCCATATCCCACAAAGCTCCTCTTCCACTCGGCCGGAGGATGACATCCTTTTCCAGTGGCGCCTGCGTCGGAAGATGGAGCAGGCAAGCCAGGCCGGCAGGTCACTGCCCATGCTGGGCTGGAAGAGTCAGCTGGCCTGGGGCCCAAAGACGGTAGGAGCCCAGGGATGATTTGAGGGGATGATTCTGGGAGACCTGCCTCTCCCAGCAGGGATCATGGGGGCACAGCCAGCTGTGGGGCTGTTCCCTGTCTGCCCTGCCCAAGAGCTGGCTACATCTCAGTGCTGGGCGAGCTGCCCCACTGCAATGTTGTATGTGCCTGTTCCCTGCCTGCCCTGCCCCAGAGTGCTGGACAAGTCAAACTATCCTGGGGTCATGTCACGGACTCTCATTCCCCCTGCACTCCCGGCTCTGTATGGTCCCTGGGAGGAGCTCCCGTCAGTGTGACAGCCCTTCTCGTGGGTCCACACGCTCCCCGGGGGTTAAACCCTGTGCTCTAGCGCCTCCTGGACCTGCACCCCTCTGAACCTTCCATGGGTCCCCTCAGAGTGTCCACTCACGCTGGACCCCGGGGCCTCTGTGCCTAGAGAGAGCAATGCAACCCCGATCTCTACCCTGCAGTGACTCCCAGCCAGTGTAACACAGGAGGGTTTAGTGAGCATCTGAACCCAGGACAGGCAGTTCTCGGGGCTCTTGAGCCTGTCCAGTCTCAGCACCATCCATGTGGGTCTGTCCCAGTCCTGCTGGGCTCAGGCTGCTCTTTGTCCCCAGCTCAGCAGCGTCCTCCTTCCAGCCAAGCACCCTATATCACCTTCCCTACAGCTCCTCCTCAGTTCACTGTTTTGGTCCCAGGTATACAGGCCACTGAGGCCCTCTCTCTTCCATCCTTTGTTCCCCCACTCGCTGGAACCCAGCCGCAGAGGTCCTTCCTCTCTCCTCAGCCCATTGTTCTGCCATGGGACAGAATCGGCTGACTGCCAAACTGGGGGTCCTACTAGTCACTAGGGTACCCAATCTCCAGGCAGTTGTTGAGGTCCTGACTGCCAGGTGAGGTCACACCTGGTCCTCTCCAGCAACAAACTCCCTCCTACCACCTCGTTAAGCACGCAGTACACAGGGGAACTGAGCCACAGACCGCACTCATGCAAGACACCAAGAAAATCCCCCCCCGCTTCATCATAGTTCACCTACCATTTCTGTGTAAATCCCCCCGCCCCACTCAGAGCACCCCCCACCAATTCTTGCACCAGTGATGCTCCCGGGTGAGCCTTTATGTGTGACAGGGCATCATACAGCTGCTGCCTTTCCTAGCCACAAACTGCTCAGAGCCTTTCTGGTCCAGCTCTATTGCCAGCTCTTGCCTTGTCTCAGTGCTGTCCAGTTCATAGCCCGCGTGCTGGACCTCACCATCCACCTCTGTGCTACTGCTCAAGGATAAGGATAAATAGGAGGGGGACCAGAGAAGGGTTCAAGGGTTAGAAAACCTGCCCAAGAGCGACAGATGTAGGCCTGGTCTGCACTACTTGGTTCGTTCGAGGTAGGCTGCGTTGGGTTGACCTAGTCGTGGAAGTGTCATCCCTAAGCCCTGGCCTACACTAGAGTTAGGGTGATGCAAGGTAGCCAACTTACGTGGGCACACAGTCACCGTTCAATAACTGCAGCAGCCACATGCCAATGTAAGTTAGATTGATGTCCTTTTTGTAACATAGCCGCAGCCTGAGATTATAGCTTAACGAAGAAGGGAAGGTGAAGGGGTGATTTATCGTAGCCAGGTCAACCCTGTGACAAAGTGGGGATTTTCCCCTTGTTATGTTGTATGTGAGACTTATTGTTTTGCATGAGTGCTGTGTGTGCCTCAGTTTCCCCGTGTATCGCACCAATGTCTAGGTGGTGGGAATAAGGGTGTGTGACTTTTGCGGGGCCTGATCCAGCTGCCCACATGGATGCTATGGCCGCCCCTTCGTAAGCTGAGACCTAGGAGGGGGATGCGAACAGGAGACTCTTGGCCCAGGAAGTGAGACAAAGGCCGGAGGAGGAGCAATGGCAGGGCAGGGGCCAGGCAGCTGGAAGCATGTTGGTCTTGGCTGGTTTGGTACGCAGGGGGAGAACCAGAGCCCTGGCTCTGGGCTCCCCTCCCCCCCCCAAGATGGACTTGGCTGAAAATCACTGATTTCTGCCCTATGCTGTGTTCCTGTTGACGAATAAACCTTCTGTTTTACTGGCTGGCTGAGAGTCATGTCTGACTGCGGAGTTGGAGTGCAGGACCCTCTGGCCTCCCCGCCCAGGCGGTGTGGAAGGGGATGCTGAATGCTCTGAGGTCAGACCCAGGAAGGTCGAAGCTGTGTAAGCTTCTTGCCCTGGAGACAGTATAGCTCAGAGAGAGGAGGCTCTCCCAGAGTCCTAACTGGCTTCGTAGGGAGTAGTTACAGAGCATCGGCCCGGGGATTCCGTGACAACTGGTGGCAGTGGTGGGATAGATTGCCTTCTATGATGAGGTAACTGGCCCTGTGGATATAGGGAATACGGTAGATGTGATATGTCTTGACTTTAGCAAAGCTTTTGATATGGTCTCCCACAGTATTCTTGCCAGCAAGTTTAAAAAAGTATAGATTGGATGAATGGACAATAAGGTGGATAGAAAGCTGGCTAGATTGTCGGGCTCAACGGGTAGTGATAAACAGCTCGATGTCTAGTTGACCACTGGTATCAAGCGGAGTGCCCCAGGACTGACCCCTGGGGCACTCGTTTTGTTCAACATCTTTATTAATGATCTGAATGATGGTGTGGATTGCATCCTCAGCAAGTTCACACACTAAGCTGGGGGGAGAGGTAGATATGCTGGAGGGTAAGGATAGGGTCCAGAGTGACCTAGACAAATTGGAGGATTGGGCCAAAAGAAATCTGATGAGGTTCAACAAGGACAAGTGCAGAGTCCTGCACTTAGGAAGGAAGAATCCCATGCACCACTACAGGCTGGGGACTGACTGGCTAAGCAGCAGTTCTGCAGAAAAGGACCTGACCTGGGGATTACTGAGTACCAGAAGCTGGATACGAGTCAGCATGTGCCCTTGTTGCCAAGAAGGCCAACGGCATATTGGGCTGTATTAGTAGGAGCGTTGCCAGCAGATCAAGGAAAGTGATTATTCCCCTCTATTCGGCACTGGTGGGGCCACACCTGGAGTATTGTCCAGTTTCGGTCCCCCCGCCACTACAGAAGGGATGTGGACAAATTAGACAGTCCAGTGGAGGGCAATGAAAATGATTAGGGGGCTGGGGCACATGACTTACGAGGAGAGGCTGAGGGAAGGTGAAGAGGAGAGGCTTGGGGTTATTTAGTCTGCAGAAGAGAAGAGTGAGGGGGGATTTGAGAGCAGTCTTCAACTACCTGAAGAGGGGTTCCAAAGGGGATGGAGCTATGATGTTCTCAGTGATGACAGAAGAAGCAGCAATGGTCTCAAGTTGCAGTGGACGAAGTCTAGGTTGGCTATTAGGAAACACTATTTCACTAGGAGGGTGGTGAAGCACTGGAATGGGTTACCTAGGGAGGAGGTGGAATCTCCATCCTTAGAAATTTTTAAGGCCCTGCTTGACAAAGCCCTGGCTGGGATGATTTAGTTGGCTTTGGTCCCGCATTGAGCAGGCGATTGGACTAGATGCCCTCCTGAGGTCTCTTCCAACCCTAAGATTCTATGATAAACTGCACCCTGTGGACAGAGCATCCTGCAGTAAGTGACTGGGGAGCAGTAGAATGAAAGGGGATTAGCGAGAGAGAGGCATGCTGAAGGCTCTGAGAGCTGAGGTTCCAGGAAGGTCAAAGCTGTGTAAGCTTCTTGCCCTGGAGACAGTGTAGCTCAGAGAGAGGAGGTTCCCCCAGAGTCCTGACTGGCTTCATAGGGAGTAGTTCCAGAGCATCGCCCGGTGACTCTGTGACAAACCCCAAACCCAGCCACATTGTAATGAACCCCACATTCTGACCCTGTCTGTCCGTCCATCCAACCTCCTTGGTCAGGTCCCGGGGAGAGCCCCCAGACCTCTCCAGCAGCCAAGGCTTTATTCCCCCCACCTCGCACTTTCCCTGTCTTCTGTTCCCCAGCTGGGTCTCTGCTCTGCTCCCTGTGGAGAGGCGGGGAAATCCGTCTCCTCTGGGACACTTCCACCTACAGGCAGCGTCCTGGTGACTGCTTGCCATTTCTTCTAGGCTTTTCTATTGATACAGGGCCTGCCTTGGCCAGTCGTTTTGAAGGACCCGGACACCCTTCATACCTTTGTCTCCTTTCCCAGCCCATCCTGAGAGCAAACAAACCTTTTCCCCTGTGATGGAGTCACAGTCTGGGTGCTCTGGAACTGCTCTGTGTGAAGCTCAGCCCAGATTCTGGTGTAGCAAGTCTCCCTGCAGGGGCCCTTCCACGAGAGCAAGAAGCATCTTCAGCTTCGGCACTTCCTGGGGCCAACCTCGGAGCGTTCAACCCCATGAGCTCCCCGCAGTGAATCCACCTGGAACAGAGTCCATTTTGGTGGGTGGGGTATGGAGCCCTGCACTCCACCTGCCCCCCGCTTCCCCCTCATCCCAAACCAGGAGACTGACCCTTTCAGCTGCCCACTGCCCCTCCTCCTTCCTTTGTCTCTTTCCTGGGCCAGCAGGTCCCCTGGTCTGCACCAGCACCTCCGGCTGGTTCTTGCAGAGGAGGGGGCCTGGCCATCAGTTGCCAGGATACACCATGTGGGCCATTCTCTGCAGCCCACCGGCAGTCACACCTGCCCTCTGGGGGTCTCTGCAACAATCATCCCACCACCTAGATACTTGAGTAACACATAAGGCAGGGGTGGGCAAACTTTTTGGCCTGGGGGCCACATCTGGGTATTGAAATTATATGGCAGGCCATGAATACTAACGAAATTGGGGTTGGGGGTGAGGGCTCCAGTTGAGGGAGCGGGCTCTGGGGTGGGTCCAGAAATGAGGAGTTCAGGCTGCCGGAGGGGGCTCCAGGCTGGGGTTGGGATACAGGTGGGGGTGAAGGCTCTGGGGTGGAGCCAGGGGTGCAGGAGGGGGCTGGGGGTGGAACAGAGGGGTTTGGAGTATGGGAGGGGACTCCGGGCTGAGGCAGGGGGTTGGGGTGTGGGAGGGGGTACAGGCTCTGGGCTAGGGACGAGTGTTTTGGGGTGTAGGAGGGTGCTCTGGGCTGGGACTGAGGGGTTCGGAGGGTGGGAGGGGGATTGGGGCTGGGGCGCGGGAGGTGGTATGGGGTGGAGGCTCTGGGTGGTGCTTACCTCAGCCAGCTCCTGGAAGCAGCGGCATGTCCCCCCTCCGGCTCCTATGCAGAGGTGCAGTGCCAGCCAGGTAGCTCTGTATGCTGCCCCATCTGCAGGCGCCGCCCTTGCGGACAATGGGAGCTGCAGAGATGGCGCTTGGGGATGTGGTCAGCATGCAGAGTCCCCTTGGGGGGGACATGCTGCCGCTTCCGGGAGCCATGTGCGGAGCGGGGGCAAGCTCCAGCTCCCCGGCAGGAGCTGGAGGGCCGATTAAAAGGTCTCACGGGCTGGACGCGGCCCATGGGCTGTAGTTTGCCCACCCCTGATATAGGGGAAGCTGAGACACACACAGTATTCAGAGAAAACATTAAGAACATTCCCATTTCGTCCCATCCCCCCACTGGGTAACAATGCGTCATATAGGGGAAACTGAGGCACACGTTGGCATCATAAAAAGATGACAGAAAATTCCCCCATTGCCACGCAGCTCAAGGAATTCTTCAGAACAGTTCTCAGGTTGTGTTATGGAAGGGGCCAGACTAAGTAATCACTATGGTGCCTTCTGGCCTTGGGATCTAGGAATCTGTAGCAAGTCTTAGCTCCGCCCGAGCAACCCCATCCGCCTGTGAGTCTCCCTTGTCCAGCTTGGGCCCTTGGGCAGGGCTTCCTGTCGCAGGTGAGTAGTTGACAGCAGGTTTCCCCTTGGGCTGCTCTGGAGGGTGCCTTCCCCGCCACCCGAGCTTCTCCTAGGCACTCCGAGCTGGCGTTGGCTGGCCCATTGATTCGGAGAGTGCCTTGAAGTTTGTAGCATTTCCCAGGGTTGCCATCTGGTGTGTCTCCCAGCGAAGTCATGGACGATCCCGTGGTGATGCACAAATGTTTGTGTTTTTAATGCAGTGAGCTCCAGCGATACTTAATATTATTCCAGGATGTTGCAGGCAATGCCCCTTCATTGGCACACCTCTCCCCTTATTCCTGCAGGGTGATGGGGCGTGCATGACACGTCCTGGCCTTGGGCTGCTGCCAGGTGTGGCAGCATGGAAGAGCGGAGATGGCACTGCGTTCCCAGCACCTGCTGCCGAGCCAGAAGTGAGATCTGGCCTGGAGTGGGCACCAGGATCCTCTGTGCTTCACCAAGGAATGGGGCACCCCCTGGAGGTGCCCTTCCTGAGTGCTGAGCCAGCTGTGAGGCAGAACCCCATAGCAGTTCATGTCCTGGGGCAGGTGGCATCTGTTGCAACTTCCTCCAGCACACCACAGCCTGAGGGAGATGGAGGAGGAGCTGCAGAGAGGTGGAGCTCCCGGGATGCTTGGCGGGTAGCGGGACCGGCGGAGCAGGCCGCCTCCCGGGATGCTCGGCGAGCAGCGGGACCGGGACCGGCGGAGCAGGCCGCCTCCCGGGATGCTCGGCGGGGAGTGTGGGCAGTGGGTGTGGCACAGAACATACTTAAAGAGACCCAGCAGCCTTCCAAACCTCAGCCGTCGCAAGGCAGAGCTGCCCTGGAGCCAGAGACCACCCCCAGCTGGAGGAGCGGGAAGGGGGAGTCCTCCATCCACAGTGCCCTGGGGCAGGTGCAGTACCCAGAGAGAGCCTGGCTGTGGGGAGTGAGACGGGGTGTTAGTTGGGGGTGGGGTAGGGGAGTGGGGTGGGGCAGGGTGATGGCGCAGTAGGGGCGCTGCCTCTGGGGAGCGGGGTGGGGCACTGGCTGCAGGGAGCAGGATAGGGGTGTGGGCTAGAGGTGCAGAGAGCAGGGCAAGTGACCTCCTGTATCTCTCTTTCCCAGGTGATCTCTGAGAGGCTGTTCTCCCCCCCAGCTTCTCCCCACCCCACCAGGGGACACCAGTCAGGGCAGGGAGCAGTCTCTCCTTCAGAGCAGGGTGCAGCAGGGGAGCTCCCGGTCCCTGGCTCCCAGCACCCACAGCTGCTGCAGCTGGCGGCTCAGCTGCTAGAGGAGGCAGAGGGTGAGGGGGTGCAGGGGGTGGCTGGCAGCCCGGGTAGGGAGGAGAGGGCTGGGGGTGGGGCACAGTGAGGAGTGGCATCAGGAAATGGGAGATCTGCTCAGGTCTCATTTCAGGGTGGAGGGGCTCTGAGCAGGGCTAGGGAGGGATCTAGCCAGGGTCCCCGTGGGGACTGGGGGGAACTGGATGGGATCTTGGGGGAGGGGGATCTTGCGGGGGTGTGAGTGGGGGCAAGTGGGATTTGGGGGGACCTGGCTGGGGTGTGAGCGGGGCAGGTGGGATTTGGGGGGACATGGCTGGGGTGTGAGCGGGGCAGGTGGGATTTGGGGGGACATGGCTGGGGTATGAGCCGGGCTCTCTCTGTCGCCCCCAGAATCAGATGGCACTGAGTTCGAGGAGGATCCACTGCTGGAGGTGCTGCGGGGCCAACGAGAGGATCTGCGCAGCCAGCTCCGGTAATTACCCTGGCGCAACACTAGAGGGTGCTGTGGGGCAGGGCAGGGGATGGCTGCCATCCCCATGGGGCAGCTGGCCTGCCGGGCTGGGAGATGCAGCTATTCAGGGCACACTCAGTGCTAATTTGAGCTCTCTCATCCCCCAGGGCCGTCGACATCGCAGTGTCCAGGCTCATGTCTCAGGGCTTGGCTGAGCCGCCCGGCCGCCCCTGCTGAGGGTCTCTGGGTCACCCTTTCTTCCAGCCCTGCTCTGTCTGGAATCAGCCTTGGGGGGCCGGTAACAATATCCTGAGCCAGGGCGACTGGCTATGAGTCCACGTACCCCCATCTCAGGGCCGAGTCAGCCCAGAGCCAGGGGTGGGCGAATCTGCCAGCTCCCCTTGGGCCAGATAGGCTACCTAGCGCTGCCTGCACCTCAGCCAGGGCCTCGTGCCCCTTGGGGTAGGGTCATTGGCCCAGCGGGAGCGCTGGCTGTGGGTGGAGCCCCCAGCCTGGTCCAGCGGGGGGCACTGTAGGGCACAGGTGTGCTGGGGGGAGCTGTTCACTGGCCGGGTGTGTATGGTTTTTGCTGTTTTCTTAGGCAGTGTAATAAAAGTGTGTTTCCTAATTGGCATGGGATGGGCTTGTCTGCAGCCGGCTCTGAGATGTGGAAATGGGGTATAGGGGGTGCCAGCTCCTATCTGGCCCCATGACGGGGGGCTGGCTAGCTCAAGGGGGCAGGGAATGAGGCCGGAGGCCTTTCCTTTCTAGGGAGTTTGCCTCCCAGAAAGAGCTGGTGCTCCCTAGCGGGGAAGCCCCATCCCTCCTCCTGTACTGCCCCCCAGGTGAGGAAGCCTGGCCCTCTGCCCAGCCCCCTGTGCCCAACTCTGGCTCTCCCTGGCCTGGGGCTAGCACCTGTGTCAGGCCCACAAGTGCCAGCTCCTGGCTCCCCTAGCCCCTCATAATCAGCCCCTTGTGTGTCCAGTCCTCAATGGCTGTGTGTGCTGCCAACCCCATGGCCCCCACCCCACAGGGAACCACAAAGTCAGGGGCCCCGCTCCCTGCCTATGGCAACCACATCCTGCCAGGACGGCTCCCCTGGGGGGAACTGGGCAGTGGGGTGCTGAGTGAGGGGGCTGTGAGACACTGCCCCTGGCTGGGGGTGTATCCTACTGCCCCGTGTGGAAGAGCGGGGTGTGTACACATACATACACCTCACTGCCTTCTGCTGGCTGGGATACCAGCTGCATCGCTGTGTGTACTGCACCCTGTCCCGCTGGCAGCAGAGTGGGATTTTCCTCTGCTCCAGCTGCCTCTAGTCCAGCAGAGTGATCCCTTCCCCCCAGCGCTCTGGGGCTGGGCCCAGCTTGGTCCCGTGCTCAGGAAGTGAGCACAAGCTGGAGGCTAAATTGGGCTCTCGGCGCTTTGGCCCCAGCCGCCTGCAAACAGGAAGTGGGAGCCAGCAGCACGGGGGCGGGGACAGTTCCCATCCCCACAGCTACTGGGGGGAGAAGGGCGGGGGACCTAAAGTCCCCTGCTGTCCCAGCCTCCCTCACCCGCCAGCTCTGCCGGTGCCCCTCAATCCTGACCCGCAGCACCCATGGGTGTTCTAGTTGGCAGCCGGTATCAAGTGGAGTGCCCCAAGGGTCGGTCCTCGGGCCGGTTTTGTTCAATATCCTCATAAATGATCTGGAGGATGGTGTGGATTGCACCCTCAGCAAGTTTGCAGATGACACTAAACTGGGAGGAGAGGTAGATACGCTGGAGGGTAGGGATAGGATACAGAGGGCCCTAGACAAATTAGAGGATTGGGCTAAAAGAAATCTGATGAGGTTCAACAAGGACAAGTGCAGAGTCCTGCACTTAGGACGGAAGAATCCCATGCACCGCTACAGACTAGGGACCGAATGGCTCGGCAGCAGTTCAGCAGAAAAGGACCTAGGGGTGACAGTGGACGAGAAGCTGGATATGAGTCAACAGTGTGCCCTTGTTGCCAAGAAGGCCAATGGCATTTTGGGATGTATATGTAGGGACATTGCCAGCAGATCGAGGGGTGTGATTGTTCCCCTCTATTCGACATTGGTGAGGCCTCATCTGGAGTACTGTGTCCAGGTTTGGGCCCTACACTACAAGAAGGATGTGGAAAAATTGGAAAAAGTTCAACAGAGGGCAACAAAAATTATTAGGGGACTGGAACACATGACTTATGAGGAGAGGCTGAGGGAACTGGGATTGTTTAGTCTGCGGAAGAGAAGAATGAGGGGGGATTTGATAGCTGCTTTCAACTACCTGAAAGGGGGTTCCAAAGAGGATGGATCTAGACTGTCATCAGCTAACAAGGAGTAATGGTCTCAAGTTGCAGCGGGGGAGGTTTAGGTTGGCTATTCGGAGAAACTTTTTCACTAGGAGGGTGATGAAACACTGCAATGCGCTACCTAGGGAGGTGGTGGAATCTCCTTCCTTAGAAGTTTTTAAGGTCAGGCTTGACAAAACCCTGGCTGGGATGATTTAATTGGGGAGCGGTCCTGCTTTGAGCAGGGGGTTGGATTAGATGACCTCCTGAGGTCCCTTCCAACCCTGATATTCTGTGATTCTAACTGGGGGGACTGGCTGGCTGCCGGGGTGGGGGCTTTCCCTCTAGAGACGCCAGCCCTATCTGGCCCCAGGGTAGGGGCTGGGAAGCTCAGTGCCATGTGCTGATGCTGCCTGTTGCCCCCAGCCCCCCCGTGGTGCCCAGGGCAGCTCTCTGCAGGCAGCCTGGGAGGAACGGATCAGCAACTCGACTTCCCCTCTAAGCAGCGCGACAATGTGGTTTAACCTGTGGGTTCCAGCTTCCTGCACTGGGCGGCCCGAGGCAGTGCAGAGTCACAGCTCCCCAGGCCCCACACTGGAGCCCCTGGTGCCCCCGGACACGGGCTCTGAGCCACCACAGGTAGGAGGGCCTGGGGGGATGCTACCAGTACCCTGGATGCCTGGGTCCCATGGGCTGGGCAGCACCAGCTGCAGAGTCCCGAGGGGGTGGAGACACCACCTGAGTCCGAGGGATCCTGGCCCGCTTGTTCAGTGAAGGCTTTCCTGCTCTGTCGCTTCCTGGCTCACGCCCCGCTCGCTTGGTCTGCCGCCTGCACCCATTTGCACTGGCTGCCCATCAGGGCAGTGCCTGGCTGGTCTCCTGCCCCTCCCCATACACCTTCTGCCAGGGGCCTCTGGCTGGCCTCCTCCCCATGCAGCCCTTCGCTCCCCTGCTGCACGTGCCCCTCCATCCACCCTGCCATCTACCCCTCCCAACGTGCCCTCTCCATCCATCCATCCACCTGCCCCTCTCCACACGTCCCCTCCATCCATCTACATGCCCACTCCACCTTTGCGAACTGGTGGGGGACAGGAGAGATCCCAAAGGCCTGGAAAGGGAAACATTGCACCTGTCTGTGCATAGGCACAATCTAGGAGCTCCTAGACCAGTCGGGGAGAGAGATTGGCCCTTAGCAGGTGGGGTAGTGAGACCTGACTGTTTGGGGCACATGGGTTTGTCCAGAACAAATCATGTCCATGACCCACTCTCCTCTGACAGGGCCTATCCTTGGGGAAGGGGGGGTGGTTGACATGAGCTATTGCCCCTTCAGTGAGGCTGTTGATATTGTCCCACGTGACCTACTGAACAAATCAGGGCCACGCAGCCTAGCCGAGTCTGCTTGGGGGCAGGTGCCCATTCCCAGGGGGTCGGGTCGGTGGTTGGCACCGAGTGGGGCCTGCCAGGATCAAGCCTGGCTCCGGTTTTGAGCACTATCTTCATCAGGGATTGGGCTAATGGCAGCTTGTAGCGTCTGCAGACAGCACCCAGCCAGGCGGAGCACCAGTGCTTTGGGGGACAGGATTCGAAACCCAAGTGATCTGGAAAAACGGCCCAGGAGACACCTGCTGAAATTCACGGAGGCCACGTGCAAAACACAAGGCTAAGGCAGGTCGATGCAATGCTGCCTGGTGCCGCTGCACCACCTCCATGAGCGGGGTATGAATGTCCCCGGGAGCACTTTTGAGTCTCCAGGGCACTGTCTGTACTGGGGTTAGGCCAGTGCAGCTGCCTCGCTCGGGGGGATTTTCACACCCCCAGTGGTGTGGTTCTACTGCCGCACGATTTGAGTGTAGCCCTGGTTTGAGGGGGAGCCACTGCCCAGGTGCCAGCTCGTGCTGCCAGCCTAGGAGAGTCCTGCAGAGAAGGAGCTGGGGGAGAGCTGTAGCTCACGAAAGCTTATGCTCAAATAAATTTGTTAAGCTAGATATAGGTCACCAGAGTAACACTAGTGCCAAGCCAGCGCCCGTGGTTCCAGCTGGGCCAGCAGGGGCCTGGGGCCAGACAGGAGCCACTCTGCAGCCGTGCCGAGGAGGCCTCGGTCAGTGTCCTGGGTCCGGTTCTGGGTGCTGCACAACGGGGGTGAATGTGGCCGCTGGCAAAGCCACAAGGAAAGCAGCAAAGGAGGAAAGGGCTGGACCCCTGGGCTGGGAGGAGAGACTGAAACCTGGGGCCGGGAAGCTGGAGCTGAGACACTGGCTCTGGCGTGTTGGCAGGGCCAGGCGCAAAGGGCAGCAGTGCCGCGAGGCCAGCTAAGGTTGGACATTGTATGTGGGGAGCTTGGCAGGTGCCCTGGGGCAGGACAGGAACCTAAGCAGGGAGTCCTGGCGCAGGAGGCTTCTAAAAGCAGGGCAGACAGAGCCCTGGCTGGGCTGGATGCCCTCTCCAGGTCCCTTTCAGCCCCACATTGCTATGGGTCTATGATCCCTCCATCTTCCCCCCTCCACACATCCACCATCCTCCCACCAATCTACCCTGCCCCACATGCACCCTCCATCTGTCCTTCCCCACACCCACCCCTCCCTCCATTTGCCCCCCATGTGCACCCTCCACCCCCCATTCTTCCCCACACCCACCCCTTTCCCTGACACATATCCTCTACCTCTCAATCCATCCGTCCATCCTTCCCCACATCCACCTCTCCCTCCATCTGCCCTCCCACATGCACCCTCCACTCACCCACCCCTCCGCCCCTGCCCACACATATCCTTTACCCCTCCATCCATCCATCCCTCCATCTGCCTGTCCATCCATGCCCACGTGCAGACGTCTGTCTATCCATCTGCACATGTACACCGCCCCCATTGGCCCTGCTCCCAGACATCTACCAGAGTCACTCTGGTTCCTGACGCAGCTTCTTCTTGCCTCCCCGGGCCACAGGGGACCCTACTCCACGGGACTGGGGTTTCCTTCCACCCCACGTCTGTGCAGCTGGCATGTGTGTGCATGTGAACACTGCCCCCCCCTTATAGGGGATGAGCCCAGCTCTGTGTGTGTACTGACCGCTGCTGGAGGAGCTGAGTCCCCCTCCATATGTGTGTCTGTCACTCACTGCCCCCCAGCCCCTCTCCTGCGAGGGGGTCCTTTCTCCCCCAGCCTCCTGGGAAAGCCCCAGCCCAGCTGTCAGCCCATCTGCCTTCCCAGTGGGCGGGGTGGGGGGGGGCGAGAGGGAAATCCCTTGTCCCCACCCCCCTTCCCTATACAGCCTTTTTTTTTTGTCTCCCTCCTTTCCCACCCTCCCCACTTGCACTTCCCCCTCTGCCTGTCTCTTCCTTTTGCATTTCCTGCCCTGCCCTCCACCCAGCCTTTGCGCCCCCTGCCACCAAGATCACCAGTGGGGAAACAGTGAATGTCAGGGACACTGGACTTTGGAAATCATGAGGAGGCTGGCAGGCCAGCTCCCCCCCCAATCCAACCCCGTGATTGGCTCAGGCTCTCAGCAGACCCAGGCAGCGTTGCTGGGTTGGTCACAGGTGGGGAAGCTCCCCATTCTCTCAGCGACGGGCACAGGCTCTCAGCAAACCCAGGAAGCTTCTATCCCAGGGGTTCTCAAACGGGGTTGGGACCCCTCAGGGGGTTGCGGTGTTATTACATGGGGGGGTGCGAGCTGTCCGCCTCCACCCCAAACCCCACTTTACCTCCAGCATTTATAATAGTATTAAATATATAAAAATGTGTTTTTAATTTATAAGCGGGGGATGCACTCAGAGGCTTGCTGTGTGAAAGGGGTCACCAGTACAAAGGTTTGAGAACCGCTGGTCTGTCCCAACCACTAAGGCCAGAAGCTTTAGCAGCCCGTGAAAGCTGAAGTTCTGTGGGACGTGATGGCACCAGCACAGCCAGAGACCACGTGGGAGGTGACGGAGCTAGCTCACAACTGAGACTCTGACAAGCAGCTGGCTTGGGGGGTGGGACTGGGGCATGAGGCCTTTCCCTTCCAGGGGGCACCAGCTTCAATCCAGCCCCAGCCTGTGCTAGGGGGTTCTGCTCTCTGACCCCCCAGCCTTGTTCCATCTGCAAACTTGGTGCGCAGGGCACTGTGCCCATGACAGTGGGACAGGCCCAGCCAGGCCCCCAGACATACCTGGCAGAGCCCCACAGTGCTACCGCCCCAGCCCTGCTCTCTGAAACCTGCTGCCCTGCTTGGCGAGTCTCAATCCAGCTGGGGCTGCCCTGGCGCTGATCTTGCAGCCTCGGGCTGGGCAGGGATGTGGGTGGGGAAACCTCCAGAACAACCTGCAGGGGGCTGCAGGGACCAGGGTGGGGGATCAGCAGGGGACGCTCTCCCCTTGCAGTCAGGGCTGGCCCCAGTGTGGTGTCGCTGGGTGGCTCTTCCCCAGCTGCCCCATCCCAGAGGTGGCTGCATCTCATTAGTGGACGAGCATCCCTGTGTGGAATTATGTGTCGCTATTCCCTGGCTGCCCTGCCCCAGAGGTGGCTGCATCTCAGCGCCAGGAGAGCCTTCTATGTAAGCAGTGGTGCTGGACTATTGATAAAGAGGACAGTTGTGGTGAGCACGAAGGGCATCCTAGTGCAAAAGGCATGGGGGGATGTGCATGGCGGGGCAGAGTAGCCTTGTTCACTGGGCACAGGTGAGTGTACCCAGGAGGATGTAGGTCAGGGGTGGGCAAACTATGGCCCGCAAGCTGTTTTAATCTGCTCCTGCTGGGGACTGGGGTCTGGGGCTTGCCCCGCTCCAGCCAGGGAGCAGAGACGGGGGCTGCTCCACACAGCTCCCAGAAGCAGTGGAATGGCCCCCCTCTGGCTTCTACGCATAGAGGCAACCTGTGCCGCACCCTCAGCTCCCTTTGGCCAGGAACTGTGGCCAATGGGAGCTGTGGGGGAGGTGCCTGCGGATGGGGCAGCAAGCAGAGCCACCCGGCTATGCCTCCGCGTCGGAGCCGGAGAAGGGCCATGCCGCTGCTTCCAGGAGCTGTTTGAAGTAAACGCTGCCTAGAGCCTGCAGCCAGAGCCTCCCCCCGCACCCCAACCCCCTGCCCCAGCCCTGATCCCCCTCCTACCCTCCAAACCCCTTGATCCCAGCCCAGAGCACCCTCCTGCACCCCAAACTCATCATCCCCATAGAATCATAGAATATCAGGGTTGGAAGGGACCTCAGGAGGTCATCTAGTCCAACCCCCTGCTCAAAGCAGAACCAATCCCCAAATTTTTGCTCCAATCCCTAAATGGCCCAGCCTCACCCCAGAGCCCGCACCCCTAGCCAGAGCCCTCACCCCCCCCAGCACCCTTCCGTCCCAGTCTGGAGCCCCCTCCTGCACACTGAACTCCTCGTTTCTGGCTCCTTCCCAGAGCCTGCACCCCAACCAGATCCCTCACCCCCTCCCGCACTCCAACCCTAATTTTGTGAGCATTAATGGCCCACCATACAATTTCTATTCCCAGATGTGGCCCTCGGGCCAAAATGTTTGCCCACCCTTGATGTAGGTGCACAGGGCCCAGCCCAGCGTGTGTGGCAGGGAGGCGCTGGCGCGAGACTTGTGAGTAAGCATGCACAAGGGGATCTCAGTGCCAGGAGCACAGCCGTGCCAGCCTGCACCCAGCTCACACTTAGCTCAGAATACAGTCCCCAGATTTAAAGCGCCAACAGGATCTGGCGACCCCCAGCCACTTCCTTCTGCAGTTCCCAAATGTGGGCAGGAAGCAGAAGCAGTATCTGCAGGAGGAGCGAGATCTGATCCAAGCAGCTTAGACCTTTGGGGATGCTCACCCAGCACTGATGTGCAGTCACCTCAGGGGCAGCTGGGGAACAGCCGCACTGCTGCACAGGGACGACTTGCCCAGTGCTGAGATGCAGCCACCTCTGGGTTCAGGGCAGCTGGAGAACAGTTGTGCATAACACCACACAGGGACAGCTCACCCAGCGCTGAGAGGCAGCCACCTTTGGAGTGGGGCAGCTGGGGAACAGCCACATGTAAGGCTGCACAGGGACCTCTTATTAGTGTCCCTGTGTGGCAGGGACCCTGGTCACAGCTGGACCCCATCAATTGACCCCCACCCTGCTTCAGGGTCTCCAGCCCCCCACCATGGAGCCCCGTGTGCGGCGCCGATTCTCCTTGGTGGACAACAGCCAGCAGAAGTGGACGCCTCGTCTGCGCTCGCTCTCCACGGTAGGGAGCAGAAAGGGAACTCGGCATCCCCCGGCCCCACCATGGGCACAGTGAGTGCTGGGGGGCAAGGCAGGGATTCCTGGAGGGGTCTGGGAGCTGCACCCCAATGCTGCTCCCTGATCTCTCCCCAATGCACAGCCCCCCAACTTCTCTGCCCTGAACCAGATATGCAGTCCCCCTCCCGATGAGTCTCCCCAGATTGGTAACTCCAAACCCAGACAGCGCACCCAGCCCACACAGAGCAGACCCCCAGACGGAGGCAGCAGGGACTCCCTCACTGACTCACACAGGCCCCCTTCCCTGCACAGCCCCCCAATCCCTCCACAAATCCTCCTGACCCTCAATACTTTCCATCCCCCCAACTGTTAGAGACTCCATGACCCACCCCATCACTTGCAGCCCTGCTTGGAATACTCTGGCCACCCCGTAGCCTCCATCCCTCCCCTTCCCTTCACCCTGATCAGTTCCCCCCACAGCCCCCTCCTGCACCCTACAGCTCCTTACTCCCCCCACCCTCATGCCCCCCATGCAGCCCCCAATTGCCTCACTTGTGTCATCCCCTCTCCACACCAAATACCCCTGGCACTGACACCCCCCACACCCTAAACTGTCCTGTTCCTCACACTGGGTAGAGAGTGGGCTGGGGGGGGCTCAGGTGGGGAGGAGGATTTGGGGGGGTCAGTCTGTGGAGGGCTGGGGTCAATCTGTGGGGCACTGGGGCTCAGTCTGTGGGGCACTGGGGCTGGGGGTCAGTCTGTGAGGGGCTGGGGGGTCAATCTGTGGGGGGAAGGGGTTGGGGTCAGTCTGTGGGGGGCTGGGGGGTCAATCTGTGGGGGGAAGGGGTTGGGGTCAGTCTGTGGGACACTGGGGCTGGGGGTCGTCTGTGGGGGAAGGCTGGGGGGGGGGTCCTGATGTATCCTGTGCTGAGAACGCAGCCGCACACAGTGACCTAGGAGCATCCTCCCCCGGGGATTCCCACCCCCGACACTGCCACCAAGGGCCTGGGCCTCAGGAGGGGAGTGGGGGGCTGGGACTCCAGGGTTCTCTCCCTGGCTCCGGGAAGGGAGTGGGGTCTGGTGGTTACAGCGGGGGGGCTAGGACTCCTGGGTTCTCTCCCTGACGCGGGGGGGGGCTGCGCGAGCCGGGCTAACAGAAGCCCCTTTGTGCGGGTTGCCCAGCTGCTGGCGCCTGGCCCATTGTGCCTCTGCCCCTTTGCATCTCAATGGGAACGTACCAGCGGGCGCGGCCCTCCCAGCCCCCCGGCCCCAGGGGCGCTCCCTGGGGCACCTTCCCGGTGGGGCCGGGCGTGGGGGGCACCCCTGCATCCTGCCCCCCGCCCTCCTCTCCCAGGAGCTTTTCCGTTCTCTCCTTCCCCAGGCGTCGGGGTGGGGGGCTGCCAGCGCGCGCGCGCTCCCCCCTCCCCGCCTCCTTCCCCGGCTCCCCTGTCTGTCTCCGTCCGCCTCCCCCTCCACGCCCCTCCCTCCGCCTGGCTCCTTCCGTCCCCCCATCCCTCCGCCTGGCTCCTTCCCCCGCTCCGCGGCTCGGAGCCCGGCGAGGCTCTGTTCTGGGGGTAGGAGCGCCCGTCCGTCCCTCTGTCCGTCCGTCTCCCCCCCCCGCCCCGGTGTGTGTCTCCTCCCCCTCCCCGTCTGCCTCCTTCCCTCTCTCTCCAGCTTCTCCACCCTCCCGCCCCATTGTGCCGCTCTCCACCCATGGCCAGTGGGAGCTGACCCCCCCACCCACGCTCCCTCCCTGGGGGGCTGCGGATGGGGGTCCTGTCCCTGCTAGATGCCGCCCTCCCCTCCGCATGGCTCCGGCCCTCACCCCCGGCTCCTCCTAGCGGTCCGGAGACACAATGGTGGTAAGTGGGGGGGGGGGTTATTGTCTGGGCTGACGGGGAGGGGTCCCCATTGGATTGTGCCCCCATGTTTGTTTAACCCTCTACCCACCCCAAAATGCTGCCCGCCCTTCCCGGCTGGCTTCGGCGCCAACGCTCCCCACACATGCACCTGTTCCTTAGTCCCACCCCCATCCCAACCCCCATATATATATTTAGGGTCCCCTCCCCTGCACCTCTAATCCCTCTTCGGGGCATCTCTCAGGTTGGGGGCTCTATTCCAGTGTGTATTTAGGGTCCCCTCCCGTGACCCCACAATCCCACCTCGGGGCATCTCTCCGATTGGGGGTTATGGAGTTTTAGGGGTGTCTTCGCCCCATAAACCTCCCTGACCATAAAGATTTGGGGGGAAGACACAGTGCACACCTCTCACACTTTTGTGAGGAGATTTTGCAGGGAATCCCAGTTCCAAAATCCCCACACCCTCAAAATCCTCTTTTGGGGGGCCAGGGGAATCTCCCCTATAAATGCTCCAAGATTTGGCAGTCCCACTCCCATGCTGTAAGTATTTTGGGGCACCCAGTTTCTCTCATCAGTTTTTATTTGGGAGGGGGCTATAATTTTTCCAGCTGTCTTGCTCTGTATTTTGGGGTCTTGGCCCCTTTCTGCCTGAAATCACCTAGCAGCCAATCTTAGCCTCCCATGAGGGGTTGTGCACCCCACTTTTGCACAGGAAATGAGGGTCTCTGTTAATCCAGTGCGGGGATATTCTGCCCCCTAACCCTGAATGATGCAGCTAGATGGGGGAAATGAGTACGCACACCAGAGTTGTGCAGGGAGAGAGCCCCAACCCCAAACTATTGGGGTGGGTTATAAGGGGGCCAGATAGGCTGGGGGTGGGTTATGGGGGAGCAGCTCACCGAGGTATCGGAGATGCAGCTAGGTAGGGGTGGGAGATAAGGGGGTCAGCTGGGCTGGGGAAGAGGGAGCTGGGTTATGGGGGGCGCCTTGTGCTTTTCCTGGGTCCCCGTGGGAGGAACTGGGCCATTGCAAGAAGCTGTTATGTAACCCCCACCACGTGTCTTAACCCCCCCCCCCCGCCCCAACGTGGAGGTGGCGGGAGTGTGGGGGGGTGTCTCCTACGCAACCTCTTGTGAGAGGAAGGGAGGCAGTGGGGGAGCAGGGATATGGCCAGGTGTTTGGGGGGGTCAGTTCCTTGCGGGGAGATGGGAAGATAAGGTGCGGGGGTGGGGGTGTTACACTCCTGTGTCTGTCTCACCCTTTGTCTTCTTTCTCCCTTCCCCAGATCTGGTCTGTCGGGCTATGCCCCACAGAGCCCAGGCGCCCCCTTCCCCCCATGGCATCCCCCACTCCCACCCCCCCTTACACCCATCCCACTTGGAGAGAAGGGCCAGGCCGGGGTTCTGGGCCTGACTCGGTTCTGAGGCCATTGGGGCTCCCCCACTTGCAGTCAATAACCGGAGCATCCATGCAGCTGACAGAGAGGATGTGGTCTCCGATCCAGCCCCAGGGCAGGGAATGGGGCCTTTCCCCGCTAGTGGGACGCCAGCTCTGATGCAGTCCCAGGTTGATTTGGATTTTGGGTTGCAGTTTGGGGCTCCGTATGCATTTGGGGCTGTAGGGTGTGGTGACTTCTACCCCTCCTGAGCTGCCTTTGCCCATGCCTGTACCCCTACCTCTCCATCCCTCAACAAGGTCCTGCCCCCAAATCTGTCTGGTGGAAATAGAAGGGGAGATGTCCCTTTCCCAGCAATCCCCCAGCCTCTCTGCACAGTGCCAGGGATTTGGGGTTGATGGGGTGCTTTCCCAAAGGGTAAAATGGGGAGCTGCAGGGAGTGGTGGGGGTCATGGCAAAGAATATCTAAGCAGGCAGCTATTGACGGGAAACCTGATCCATGGAGATTGTTGCTCCGCAGGCTGCTAAAGCTAAAGGGGATGGGATTACATGGCGCAGGGGGGAGAACTGGGATGGTTGGCGTGTAGCAGGGATGCAGCCACCTCTGGGGTGGGGCAGCATCTCAGTGCTGGGTGAGCTGTCCCTGTGCAGCATTATGTGCAGCTGTTCCCCAGCTGCCCTGCCCCAGAGCTGGCTGCATCCCTGCACCAGACAATCTGTCCCCGTGCAGTGTTATGTGCGGCTGTTCCCCAGCTTTCTCCCCTGTGAGGTGGCTGCAACTCAGCACCAGGTGAGCACTTTGGGCTCCTTTTGGGGGATGGTAAATTGGGGCTGAGGTCTGTTTGATTTGCCGTTGCAGGCCCGCAGCACGGACAGTCTGGATGGGACAGGGGATGGGCCGATCCGCCCCCTGGGGAACACAGCCACCAGCGTCAAGGGGAAAGCCCCCAAGAGGTAAGCAGGGGGAGCCCTGCTCTGGGAGGGGCACCCCTATTGGTGAGTGTGGCATGACGTGTGCCTAGCCCGTCCATGCAATGGGGGAGTGAGTGGGTTCTCCGCTGGGGTCCCTGTGGGCTGAGCGGTCACCGATGGGAAAGGAGGGTTCAGATCTCAGGCTCCCCTCTTGGGGGCACGTGTCCCATGGGAGTCCAGCTAGAGAAACAGACAATTAAAGGGACAATAGAAAGGACAGCATCCTCTAATATGTGGGCTGAGATATAGCTCCAGGGGAAGGATGGGGCTGTGTCTGGGTGCCAGAGAGTCCGAGGGGCTACGGTATAGTGCAGGGCCAGGGACATGTCTTGGTGCTGGGAGGCCCGGGGAGGGGGATGTGTCTTGGTACTGGGAGGCCTGGGGGTCTGGGATATAGCAGAAGGGAGGATGTGTCTCGGTACAGGGGGTCCCAGGGCTGGGATATAGCTCGGGGGAGGAAGGGGCTGTCTGGATATCGGGGAGTCTGGGGCGCTGGGATACAGCGCGGGGACGGGGATGTGTCTCAGTGCCATGGGGGCTGGGATGTATGGGGGGGTTCTAGGTCCTGGGGTTCCAGGACTGGGATATAGAGAGGGGGCGTGTCTAGGTGCTGGGAGTGTCTGGGTGCTGGGAGGTCCCAGGGCTGGGATATGGGGGGGTGTCTAGGTGCTGGGGGGTTCCAGGCCTGGGATATGGGGGGGCATGTCTGGGCACTGGGGGGTCCCAGGGCTGGGACATAGCGCGGGCTTGTCTGGGTGCTGGGGGGTTCCAGGGCTGGGATATAGAGGTGGGTATCTGGGTGCTGGGGGGATCCCAAGGCTGGGATATAGCAGGGGGCAGGGGAGAGACTGGGCTCTGTCTCGCTGTTGGGTACATGGCTGTTACCTGATTAGGATATTGTGGGTGCTTGGAGTATTCTGGGGGTGCTGTATGCTGGGCAGTTGGAGTTTGAGATATAACAACAGTGGGATATAACAACAGGATAGTGTTCTGTCTGCTGTCGGGGTCCCCAGTTGGGATTGGGGTACAGCTGAGGGGGGATGGGTTCTGTGGGGTGGGGTACAGCAGAATGGGGATGGGTTCTGGGGGGTTGGGGTACAGCCAAGGGGGATGGGTTCTTTGGGGGGTTGGGGTACAACAGAAGGGGGATGGGTTCTGTGGACAGTTGTAGTCCCTGGTTGTGTATAGCAGGGGGTTGGGATATCATGGGGGGGTGGAGTACCCAGTGCTGTGTGGGTGTCAGGGTGTCAGGTTACTCTATGCTACCTGGCATACCACGTGGGGTTGGGTACCTCATGGTGAATAGGATATCATGGGGAGTTGGTACCCCATGTGTTCTCTGGGGTACAGCGGTGTTGGGGTTCCCTGCGGGTGGGTATGTCGTGCTGTCTGGTGTACAGTGGTGCTGGGGTACCCTGTGCTGTGTCCAGTACCATGGGGGTGGGTACCCCATGCTGTCTGGGGTACAGCAGTGTTGGGGTACCCCAAGCTGTGTGGGATACCATGGGGTGTGTACCCTGTGGTGTGTGGGGTACAGCAGTGTTGGGGTATCCTGTGCTGTCTAAGTGTTGTCATAAGAACAGCCCGGCTGGGGCAGCCCAGAGTCCGGGGCCTGGCAGGGGCCTGGGCCAGGGAAACAGAACAGGGCCAGGAGCCATCCAGCCCCTGGCTGCCAGTCAGCGGCTCAGGGACAGCGCGTGCCCGGCCCCTCCTCCAGGAACTTAGCTCGTTCTTTGAACCCTGTTACACTTCTGGCCCCCCCACAACTGGCGGTGAGTTCTCCAAGCTGGCTGTGCGCTCAGTCCATCCTTCTGTTTGTCTGAAACCTGCTGCCTGGTAATTTCCCTGGATGCCCTTAGCCCATGTTAGCTGAAGGGGTAAATAACACCCCACAGTCTCTCCCTCCACCCCAGACAGGCTTTTAGAGCCCTCTGGCCTACCCCCTCAATCCGCTCATTTCCAAGCTGAACAGTCCCAGGCCTTTGACTCTCTCCTCGTCCCCTGTTCCCTTCCCTGCACTTTGCCCAGGTCTCTGCTAGGCAGGGGCCTGGATCTGCAGGCAGGCAGTGTCCCCGGGGTGGTGTCCTGGGATAGTGTCCCCAGGCAGTGTCTGTCACAGAGTCACCGGGCGATGCTCTGGAACTGCTCCGTATGAAGCCAGCCGGGACTCTGAAGGAGCCTCCTCTCTGTGAGCTACGCTGTCTCCAGGGCAAGAAGCTTCGACCTTCTCGGAGCATTCAGCATCCCCTTCCACACCGTGCACTTCCCGCAGTGAGTCTGCTGGGGCAGGGCTCCCGGGGAAGCCAGAGGGCCCTGCATCCCAACTCCACAGACAGCAGTGACTCGCAGCCAGCCGGTAAAACAGGTTTATTATTCGACAGGAACACAGCGTAGAACAGAACTTGTTAGCAAGTCCATTTTGGGAGTCTTGGGCCAGACTCCCTGGACTCCCCCTCTTCCAGTCCCCGCAAGTAGAGTTCCAGCTTCCAGCGACCCGAACTCAGATACCCCTGTTGCTCCTCCTCCTTCTCTTTGTCTCGCTTCCCGGCCAAAGAGTCAGTTGGTTGCATCCCCCTCCTGGTCTCAGGTTAGGAAGGGCACCGGCCATAGCATACGTGCAGGCAGCTGGAGCAGCCTCACCTGCCCCAGAGGTCTCAGCCAAAGTCACACACCCCTATTCCCACCACTGAGGTATTGGTGCAGCACACAGGGAAACTGAGGCACACACAGTATTCATGCAAAACAGTAAGACTCACATACAACATAATAAGGGAAAATCCCCCCCTTGGTGGTGGTGTCCCCAGCGGTGTCCCCGGGCAGTGTCTGGGGCGTGTGCACCCGGGGTTCACACGGCGCCGGTGTTACGAGATTTTTCTCTCTGATGATCTGTCCCCGTCCCAAGGGTTTCTGGTGCTGCGCAGTTGCAGAGAGCAGCCCACATGGATGCCTGGCTCTTGCTCAGTCACACCCCACCCTCCTTCTAAATAGTGGGATTATTTATCGTTGGGTACCACGGCATGTTGGGGTAATCTATGCTTTGAGGGGTACCATGAAAGGATCAGGGTACCCAGTGCTGTGTGGGGTACAACAGGGATGGGGTACAGTGGGGTGCTTCATGAGGCACACTGGGGTACAGTGGGGACAGTGGGGTACAATGGGGGTGCTGTGGGGTGCAGCGGGGGTGGGGTACAGTGGGGTGCTGTGTGGGGCACACTGGGGGACAGTGGGGACAGTGGGGATGGGGTGCTGTATGGGGTACAGCAGGCGTGGGTTACAGTGAGGTGTTGTGTGGGACACACTGGGGGACAGTGGGGATAGGGTGGGGTGCTGTGTGGGGTACAGCGGGTGTGGGGTGCTGTGTGGAACACACAGGGGGACTAGGGACAGTGGGGGTGGGGTGCTTTGTGGGGTACAGCAGGGTGGGGTTCAGTGTGGTGCTGTGTGGGTTGCAGCAGGGGTGGGGTACAGTAGGATGCTGTGGGGGCACAATGGGGTACAGTGTGGTGTCCTCTCCCCCCAGGCTGTCCATCACCCGAGCCCATTTCCCCAAGCTGGCTGAATGCGCCCACTTCCACTACGAGGCCGTGGACTTTGGACACATCCAGGTGAGCAACCACCGTGGCCCCCTGGGGAGCCCCAATCCCTGATGCCTGGGTCCCCCCTGGAATCCCTCTTCCTGTACCCCTGGTCCCCTCCCCAGAGAGCCTCTTCCCCGACTCCTAAGTCCCATCCAGGCAATCCTCTTCCCAGGTGCTGCCCCAGTCCTTTCTGGGCGAGGATGGTTGGTCACCCGGATGCCTGGGTCCAATTTGGGGGGCTTTTCTGGTTGCCTAGGTCCCATGTACAGGGACAGGTGGGGGGTCATCTCCCAGACAGCTGGGTCCTTGGGGAGGTGGGAGCGTCTCTTGCTGGAGCAGAAACTGTGGAGGGCTACCTAGACATTGGGTCCCAACTGGGGATCAGATGCAGGTTTGGTGTCGGGTTGGGGACTGAACTCCCAAACGCTTGGGTTCTCTCCCAGACACTTGGGTTCTCTCTCCTGGGATAAGGGGGGACATTCAGGGGATCTGGACTGAGCATGCTCCAAGTGATGCCGGGGAGACAACTTGCCCCGGATGCCTGGGTCCCTCAAGGGCACCTCTCACCCACTGTATGCCCACAGCTCCTGCTGGCCTCCGAGCAAGGGGAGGGGCTGCCTGGTACCCTGGGGGACGGGGAGCTGCTCTTCATCGTCCAGGTCACCTGCCAGGTGAGTGGAGCCCCCCTCCCAGCCCCCATTCCCAATCTTCCCCAGAGCCCCCCCTTCCTGACCCTCCCATTCCCAACCTGGGTCCCTCCTCTCCAGCTGGGGTCCCCTCTGCCATGCCAACTGCTGAGGGGGAGAGGGGACCCACCCCCTCCCCTTTCCCCTGCAGTCCCCCCTTGGTCCATCCTGTCGTGCCCCACAGTGGCACCCCACACAGTGCCACTGCTCCCCACTTTCCTTCTTTAGACCCCCAGATCCATCCCCCACTCCGTCCTCAGCTGCCACAGCACCTCCCAGCCCCACCTCACCAGTGTCCCCCTCCCTCGCCCCCAGCTGACATCCCACTTTGCCTCCCACCCCGCAGGGGGAAGACGTGGCCCGTTCACCGCAGCTATGAGGAGTTCTGCAGGCTGGACGGGCACCTGCACTGCTGCATCTTCGACCGCCGCTTCTCCCAGCTGCCCGAGCTGCCACCGCCCTGCCAGGCCCGGGAACAGGCTGAGGTGAGTCATGGGGGGTGCTGGGCAGAGCTTGGGGACTTGCTCTGTGCCTGTTCCCAGGCTGCCCCAGCCCAGAGGTGGCTGCATCTCAGTGCTGGGCGAGCCATCCCCGGGTGGCATTATGTGTGGCTGTTCCCCGGCTGCCCTGCCCTAGAGGTGGCTGTATCTCAGCACTGGGCGAGGTGTCCCCAGGCAGCATTACATGTGGCGGTACCCCGGCTGCACAACACCTGAGGTGGCTGTATTTCAGCACTGGGCGAGCTGTCCCTCAGCATTATGTGCAGCTGTTCCCCGGCTGCCCCACCCCAGAGGTGGCTGCATCTCCGTGCCAGGCAAACCTTCCCTGGGCGGCATTATGTGTGGCTGTTCCCCAGCTGCCCTACCCCAGAGATGGCTGAATCTCAGCACAAGACGAGCCTTCGCTGTGGGGCAGACATGAGGGGGGTGGTTGCCAGGCCCTGACTCTGCTTCTGCCCCCTAGATGCTGGCCCCAGTCCTGCGGCAGTATCTGGAGAAGCTCTCTGCCATTGTGGACAGCAACATTAACTGCGGGCCCGTCCTCACCTGGATGGAGGTGAGATGGGGGGGCAGGAAAGGTAGGGGCTGTTCAGCACGGGACCCGCACCCAGTCAGACCCATGGGCCTGTTCTGCCCACCATCCACCCCCACACCGGCCCCCAGCCCTGTCCAGGCTGGTAACCCCACACACCCCCGTCAGACCCACAGGGCTATTCTGCCTGGCATCCACCCCCACACCGGCTCCCGGTCCTGTCCAGGCCGGTAACCCCACACACCCCCGTCAGACCACAGGCCTGTCCCGCCCCGCATCCACACCCACACCAACCCCCGGCCCTGTCGAGGCCAGTAACCCGCCACCCCCGCACCAGACCCGGCCCCTGTCCAGACCGGTAATCCCACACCCACACGGCCCAGGCCGCGCAGCATCCCCCCACCTCCTCATCAGACCCATGAGCCCATCCAGCCTGGCATCCACCCTACCCCTGGTCAGACCCACAGCCCCTCCTGCCCTCCCCCCTGCCAATCAGACTTACAGTCCCCCAGCCCTGTATCCCTCCCATCAGACCTATAGGCCTTCCAGCCCAGTATCGGCCCCACCCCTGACCACCTACAGCCCCCTCCTGCCCTCCCCCCCATCAGACCCAAAGCTCACCCCACCCCCCCAGATCAGACCCACGCCCCATCCAGTCTTCCCCTTGCCACATGCTCATCCTTGCACCTCCTCTGTTGCAGATCGATAACCATGGCAACCGGCTGCTGGTGAACGAGGAGGCCTCTATCAACGTCCCAGCCATCGCGGCCGCCCATGTCATCAAGCGCTACACGGCCCAGGCCCCTGATGAGCTGTCCTTCGAGGTGAGGTGTGGAGGGGCACCACCAACCCCACAGCCCCCTTCCCCTCTGGCTGGAGCACTGTCCTGGGGAAGCTCACAGCACTGGAGCCCCCTTCCAACCCAACTGGGGCACTGGCCTGGGGAATCTCACAGCACCAGAGCTCTTTCCCCTTCTGACTGGGGCACTGCCCTGGGGAAGCTCACAGCCCTGGAGCCCCCTCCCGCTCTGGCTAGGGCACTGCCCTGGGGAAGCTCACAACTCCAGAACCCCCTCTGGGGCACTGCTCTGTGGGGCTCGGGGTCCCCCTGACTGTCTCTCTGCTCAGCGCAGGTCGGGGACATTGTGTCAGTAATCGACATGCCCCCCAAGGAGGAGATCAGCTGGTGGCGAGGAAAGCACGGATTCCAGGTGGGTGTGGGGCTTGGGGAGGGTCTGCGAGGGGGAGGGGGAGGGCTTCCTGCTGGACATTGCCCCCCCATGCCTGGGTCACCGTGGGGGGGGGGGGGCTGCATGGGAGAGCCAGGGGCATGGGGGCACATGGGGGGGTGGGAATGCAGGGTGGGGGGCAGCTCGGGGCATGGGGAGTCGCCGCTCCGGCTGAGCTGCCCCACTGGCTCCTGGGGTCTGGGCAGTGTCTGGTCCCTGGTCCTGCCACTGGGTCCCCCCAGCACGCACCCCATGGCTGACTTCCCCCCCGGCTACGGCAGTGAGCCCCCATGGCGCAGATGCCTGGCAGGCCTGGCACGGGGCGTCACGCAGGCTTAACCATTGCTCACTAGCTGTCCAGGTGGATGCTTGCCATCTGCACTGCAGTTGCCTGGCCCCAAGGAGGCGAACCCACTTAGCAAGGGAATGAAGCTAAACGGAATTCAGGCTGCTTCAGTTTGGGAGGAGGAACTGAATGCGATTTAACTTGGGCTTGGTCTACTCTGAAAATTGATCCTGGTACAGCTCCCTCAGTCTGGGGTGTCAGACCTTCCCATCCCAGGCCAGAGCAGAACAGACCCAGCCGTGTCGACAGAGGAGGGCTTCCATCGGTGTGCCGTGCTGGGTGTGTATGTATGCGCCTGCAGAAGAGCCTCTGTTGGCGTAGGCTGCATCTACACCAGGGGGCTCTGGGGGCAGAGGGTCTGTCATAGCCATTGGCACGCAGGAACGGGCATCCAGATTCACGGGTGGAGGGTTAATTCGGATTTAGTGTTGGTAAATTAATTTGGATTTGCTGTTGTTAGGTTAATCCGAATTCGCAGTTAAAGTGGTTTAGGAAAGGAAATCTGGATTCACTGGTGATGGTTTAATACAGATTCATTATTAAAGTGGATTAGGTCAGGAAATCCAGATTTGCTGTTGGTGGGGTAATATACATTCACTCTAGGTTGGTTAATCCAGATTCACTGTTGGTGGGTTAATCCAGATTTGCTAGGAAAATGGATTAGGAAAGAAATCCAGATTTGCGATTGGTGCGTTAATCTGGATTCACTGGTAGTAGGTTAATCCAGATTGGATGTTAAAGTGGATTAGTTAAATGGCGGTGTGGAAGTTGTGACGGAGTCACAGGCCCGATGTGCCGGACATGCTCTGTATGAAGCCAGTCAGGACTCTGGGGTGGCGTGACTCCCCTCAGGGCACACTGCCCACAGCAAGGAGCCTCCTTGGCTATGGCCTTCCTGGTCTGACCTCAGAGCATGCAGCATCCCTGTTCATACCATACACTTCCCCTTGGCGAGTCCAGCTGGACAGGACCTCTGGGGAAGTCAGAGAGCCCTGCACCCCCACGCTGCAGCCAGCAGTGACTCTCAACCAGTGAGTAAAACAGAAGGCTTATTAGTCGACAGGAACACAGCAAAGAACAGAGTTTGTTAGCACAGAAATCAGTGACTTTCAGCAAAGTCTATTTTGGGGGGACCCCGGGCAGGATGCCCTGGACTCCCCCGTCTCCAAGTCCCCCAAAGCTGACTGCCCAGCTACCAGAGACCTGACCTCCAACACACCTGTAGCCCTCCCTCCTGGTCTTTGTCTCGCTTCCCGGGCAATGTGTCCCCTGGTCACACCCCTCTACCGGGTCTCAAGTTATGAAGCCATAACATATGTGCAGGCAGCTGGAGCTGCCTCAACTGCTCCAAGGGTCTCAGCAAAAGTCACACACCCTTATTCCCACTACCAAGGCATTGGTGCAGTACACAGGGAAACTGAGGCACACACAATATTCATGCAAAACAGTAAGACTCACATAGGCTCATGTACAATGTAACAAGGAGGAAAACTCCACTTCATCACAACGTTTTCCTTCCGAATGGGAGTGGGCAGCAGCTGGGTGAGCGTCACTCCCTTTGGAAGTGGATTAGGAAGAACTGCTGCCATTGGGAGGCTAAGCACCCACCCAGGGGCTTAATTCAGTTTAAGGAATGCACATTGAGTTCACACCTTTGGCTGCTCCAGATTCAGCCCTGGGGTTCATCGTGTCCAGTGGCCTCCATCATGTCACATGGACAGATCCCCATGCCATCCGGGGGGTGGGGCAGGAATTTACCACACGGGACGAGTGGGTGTCCGTCTTGGGGTAGCGTGTGGGGATCCTCCTGTAACAAAGCAGCCTTTGGCAGGACACACTGAGAGTATCAGTTCAGGACAAATTGCTTAGAGCAGGGCAGTCACAGCCCGAGGCTGGAGGTTCCTTCACTACTAAGGCACACCAAACCAACCAAACAGAGAGGACTTTGGTTTCACCGCACTGGCTAACCAGAAGTCACACAAGCAATTCCCTCAGGCACTCCAGTTTCTTCTCAGTATCACCACCAGTGCCCCTCATTGTGGGGACAAATGGTTATGAAAACCAATACCCCAGTAACCAAAAAAAGGTTCTCCCGATCCCAAAGGACCAAGCCCCAGACCCAGGTCAATATACAAGTCAGATCTTACCCACAAATCACGCTGTTGCCAATCCTTTAGAATCTAAAGGTTTATTCATAAAAATAAAGAAATATAGATGCGAGTTAAAATTCGTTAAAGAAATCAATTACACAAAGTAATGGCAAAGTTCTTGGTTCAGGCTTGTAGCAGCGATGGAATAAGCTGCAGGTTCAAATCAAGTCTCTGGAGAACATCCACAGCTGGGATGGGTCATTCAGTCCTTCGTTCAGAGCTTCAGTTTGTAGCACAGTTCCTCCAGAGATAAGAAGCAGGATTGAAGACAAGATGGAGAAGATGCAGCTGCCTTTTCTAGTCCCTTACCATGCAGCCTGTGCGTCCTTTGTTTTAAACACAAGCTGGCCAGCACACGGCTTGAAAGCCTCAGAGTTCTCTCCATAGGCAGGTCCCTGCTGCCTTGCTGAGTCCTAAGGTGTATCCACCTTCTCTCAATGGGTCAGTTGTGTAGCTGATGGTCCATAATGGGCCATCAAGCAGGCTAGGCTGTGCTGATGCCACACTGTCTGGGGTGTCACCCAGCATAGCACAAGTTTGAAATACAGACAGTATAGAGCCAATACTTATAACTTTAAATTAAAAAATGATACAGGCATATAGACAGCATAATCATAACCAACAGATCATAACCTTTTCATAGACACCTTGCTTGACCTCCTTTGTACAAGATTTGGTGCCACTATAGGACATTGGTTGCAACAATGATCTACACAGTCACAGTTCATGTCAATACATCACACCCCCATGTTCAGCTATTGGGGGTGGGGCAGTGGACCCTGACTCCATCTGTCTGTCTCGCCAGGTCGGCTTCTTCCCCAGCGAGTGTGTTGAGCTCTTTCCGGACCGCCTGGCGCTAGGGCTCAAAGCAGGTGATGCCTGGGTCCCACAGCTGGGGTGCTGCTCCTCCTGGCCTTGGGGACTTGGGGGGGTAGGGGGCAGGGTGTTTAGGGGGAGACAGGGTGAGGGGTGCAGGTGTATGGGGGATATTGGGAAGCTGGGGTGGGGGCAGGGAGTTGGGAGGAGATGGTGTGTTGGGGTAAGGAGGGGGTGGGGTAAGGGGTGCTGGATTGTGAGGTATAGAGGAGGCGGGTAAGGGGTGCTGGGGTTTGGGGGCACGGAGGGGACGGGGTGTAGGGGTAGGGCAGGAGTGTGGGGGGACAGGGTGTAGAGGTTGGGCAGAGGGTACTGGGGTGTGGGTGCATGGAGGGGATGGGGTGTAGGGGTGGGGCAGGGGGTGCTGGGTTATGGGGGTATGGAGGGGACGGTGTTAGGGGGTGCTGGGGTGTCAGGGTACAGAGGGGATGGGTTGTGGGGTGTGGTAAGGGGGTGAAAGGGTGTCCGGGGGTTTGGGTTGTAGGGGTGTGGCAGAGGATGTGGGGGTATGGAGAGGACAGGGGTTAGGGGGCACTGGGGTGTCAGAGTACGGAGGGGATGGGATGCAGGGGTGGGGTAAGGGGGTGTTGGGGTATGGAGGGGACAGGGTGTAGGGGTGTAGCCAGGATTGTGGGTTATGGAGGGGATGGGATATAGCAGTGGGGCAGGGGGCACTGGGGTGTCAGGGTGCAGAGCGGATGGGGTTCAGGGATTGGGTAAGGGGGTATATGGGGGTTGGTATATGGGGGCATCCTTTCCCCCCTAGCTGGGGTCTCCCCAAGGACTCCAGGGTCTTTCCGGCACTCTGCAACACGTCTTGGGTTCTGGTGCTCAGCAGGGCTGGGCCATGTCTGCTCCATGGAGGGGCGACCCAGGGTGACCCTTATCTGGGGTGCTGGGGGGGGGGCTCTGTCTCCACCATCCCAACCCCTTTTCTTCCCCTCTGTTCCCCCCAACAGACACAGACGGGATGGGCACCAGCATCCCTGGGGTCCTCACGCCTCAGGGGCCCCTCTCCCCGACGTTGGGTAAGTACAGCTGGTATAGAGGGCCTAAACAAGGGAGGCAGGGGGAAACACTACAATAACATTCTGCATCCCAGCGCTGGGCAAGCTGTCCCCATGCAGCATTATATACAGCTGTTTCCACTTGCCCCGCCCCAGAGGTGGCTTTGTCCCAGCACAGAAAGAGCCGTCCCCATGTGGTGTTGTGTGGCTGTTCCTGTCTGCCCTACCCCAGAAATGGCTGCATCCCAGTGCCAGGTGAGCTGTCCCCGTGTGGTGTTATCTGTAACTGTTCCTGTCTGCTGTGCCCGAGAGGTGGCTGTGTCCCAGTGCTAGGCGAAACTCCCTGTGCGGGTTTCTGTGCGGCTGTTCCCGACTGCTCCGCCCCAGAGGTGGCTGTGTCCTAACGCTGGGCAAGCTGTCCCCGTGTAGCGTTATGTGCGGGTTTTGCTGGCTACCCCACTCCAGAGGGGGCTGTATCCCAGCGCCAGGCGAACGGTCCCTGTGAGGTGTTATGTGCAGTTGTTTCCGGGTGCCCCACTCCAGAGGTGGCTGCGTCCAAGCACCGGGCAAGCCGTCCCCATGTGGTGTTATGTGCAGTTGTTTCTGGATGCCCCGCCCCATAGGCGCTGACTTCTACTGGTGCTGGTGGGTGCTCGACCCCCTTCTGCCCCCAGTCCCACCCCAATTCCACCCCAGCCCTGCCCCCTCCTGCCCCCATTCCAACCCCTTCCCCAAATCCCCACCCTGGCTCCGCCTCTTCCCTGCCTCCTCCCCTGAGCGTTCCACGTTCCCCTCCTCCCCCCTCCCTCCCAGAGCTTGCTACAGCTGTTTGGTGGTGGCAAGCACTGGGAGATAGGTGAAGGAGCAGGGATGCGGTGCGTTCAGGGGAGGAGGCAGAGACGGAGGAGGAGGAGGTGAGGTGGCCTGGGTGCCTGGGAGCTTGGCTGCCTCCCAGCACCAGCCGAGCTGTACCCGTGTGGTGGTATGTGCGGCTGTTCCTGGCTGCCTTGCTCCAGAGGAGGCTGCATCCCAGCGGTGGGCAAGCTGTCCCTGTGAGGTGTTACATGCGGCTGTTCCCAGATGCCCCAACCCAGAGGTGGCTGCGTCCCAGTGCCAAGCAAGCTGTCCCCGCGTGGTGTTATTTGCTGCTGTCCTTGCTGCCCTGCCCCAGAGGTGGCCAGACAAGCTGTCCCCAAGTGGTGGCGTGTGATGCTGTTCCTAGCTGCCCTGCCCCAGAGGTGTCTGCGTACCAATGTTGGGCGAGCTGTTCCCATGTGGTGATTGTCACAGACTCCCAGGTCGTACCCACTCTTGGCCCTGTACGGTCCCTGGGGGGAACCCCCTTCAGTGAGACAGCCCTTCACAGGGGTCCACTCTGTCTTGGGGGTTAAGCCCCTCCACATCCTGGAACCGCACCTCTGAGCCTTAGCACGCCTGACTCTCTCCATGGGCCCCCTCAGGGAGTCCATTCGCTCTGGACCCCCAGGACCTCCGTGCCCAGAGGGAGTAATGCCCCCCGTTCTCTAGACCGGAGCGACTCTCAGCCAGTGTAACACAGGAGGGTTTATTGAGCGTCTGAACCCAGCAGAGGAAACTCTCAGGGCCCTCAGGCCTGGCCTCCCCCAGCACAGCACATCTAAGCCTCCCCTGCATCCAGGGGGGCTCTGCCTGCTCTCCACTGCCAGCCCAGAGAACTCCTCCTTCCAGCTGGGCATCCGATATCACCTGCCCCCAAGCCCCGCCTCTGTCCTTTGTCTTTTGTCCAGGTAAATAGGGTCGCCTGGGGCTCCTCTCCTCTCAGCCCTGCTTTGTACCCCTCTGGCTGGTCAGCTGACCAGGGTCCACTTTGCACAGCCCACTGGCTGTGGCGTCTGAGCTGGGCATCCCGGTCGCCAGGTCACCAGTATCTGGGGTACCCATTCTCCCGGCCATTGGCCAAGGTCCCAAGTTCTGTCGGCTGATCCTCTGTAACAACAAACTCCCTCTTCCACCACCTCGTTAAACCAGTAATGCCCAGGGAAACTGAGTCCCACCCCCTGTGCATGCAAACCATTGAAAAAACCACGAAAATCCCCCACTTAGTCACATCTCTCCCCCCTTCGAGTCTGAACTGAGCGGGGTCACTTAGCCAGTGACCTGGGGAAGTTCAGGGCCCCCGCCCCATGATAAAGCATGGGCTATAACATTGGCACTCCCCCACACATGGACTTCCTCCATGTCATAACCCTGGAGGAGAAGGCCCCATGTCAGCAGCTTGGCATTAGCCCCTTTCATTAGGTGCAGCCACATCAGGGGTGAATGGTCAGTGTACACAGTAAAGTGCCACCCAAATAGATACGGCTTCAGCTTTTTAAGGTCCCACACCATGGCCAGGCGTTCCTTCTCTATGGCTGCATAGTGCTACTCCCGGGGCAGCAGCTTCTTGCTCAGGTACACAATGGGGTGTCTCTCCCCCTTAGTATGAGTTTGCATCAGCACCGCACCCAGCCCGGTGTCTGAGGCGTTGGTGAACACCAGGAAGGGTTTGTTAAAATCCAGGTTTACCAGCACCGGGCTTTGGATAAGTGCCCCCTTCAGCACACAGAGAGCCCTCTGGCACTGCTTGGTCCAGACCATCTTGTCTGGCTTTCCCTTCCTACAAAGCTCCGTGAGGGGAGCTGCCAGGGAGCTAAAGTGGGGCACAAACCTCCGGCAGTACCCTGCCATCCCAATGAAAGCCTGGACCTGCTTCTTAGTCTGGGGAGCAGGCCAGTCCTTGATTGCCTTCACTTTGGCCGGCTCCAGCTTCAGGTGGCTGCTCCCCACCTTGTGGCCCAGGTATGTCACCTCTGCCATCCCTACCTTGCACTTTCCAGCTTTTATGGTCAGCCCTGCATCCTGGAGGCAACCCAGCACCCTCTTCACTTGGGACACGTGGTCCTCCCAGGTCTGGCTAAAGACACAGATATCGTCAATATACGGTAGAGCAGTGCTACTCAAAGTTGTGGTCCACGGACCAGTGCCGGTCCGCGAGCCATCAGCTGCTGGTCTGCGCACACGTTGGGGGAAAAAAATTGCTGGTCCCGCACATCAGAGAGCTTGAGAAGCACTGGGCTAGAGCAAAGTCCTCCATCCCCCTTAGTAACTGATCCACCAGGCGCTGGAAGGTGGCAGGTGCCCCCTTGAGGCCAAAAGGCAGGACTAGGAACTCGAAGAGCCCGGGGGTGGGGGAGGTAAAGGCGGATGATATTAAACTGGGAGGAGGGTAGATACGCTGGAGGGCAGGGATAGGATACAGAGGGACCTAGACAAATTGGAGGATTGGGCCAAAAGAAATCTGATGAGGTTCAATAAGGATAAGTGCAGGGTCCTGCATTTAGGACGGAAGAACCCAATGCACAGCTACAGACTAGGGACCGAATGGCTAGGCAGCAGTTCTGCGGAAAAGGACCTAGGGGTGACAGTGGACGAGAAGCTGGATATGAGTCAGCAGTGTGCCCTTGTAGCCAAGAAGACCAATGGCATTTTGGGATGTATAAGTAGGGGCATAGCGAGCAGATCGAGGGACGTGATCATTCCCCTCTATTCGACATTGGTGAGGCCTCATCTGGAGTACTGTGTCCAGTTTTGGGCCCCACACTACAAGAAGGATGTGGATAAATTGGAGAGAGTCCAGCGAAGGGCAACAAAAATGATTAAGGGTCTGGAACACATGACTTATGAGGAGAGGCTGAGGGAACTGGGATTGTTTAGTCTGCAGAAGAGAAGAATGAGGGGGGATTTGATAGCTGCTTTCAACTACCTGAGAGGTGTTTCCAGAGAGGATGGTTCTAGACTATTCTCAGTGGTAGAAGAGGACAGGACAAGGAGTAATGGTCTCAAGTTGCAGTGGGGGAGGTTTAGGTTGGATATTAGGAAAAACTTTTTCACTAGGAGGGTGGTGAAACACTGGAATGCGTTACCTAGGGAGGTGATAGAATCTCCTTCCTTAGAAGTTTTTAAGGTCAGGCTTGACAAAGCCCTGGCTGGGATGATTTAATTGGGGATTGGTCCTGCTTTGAGCAGGGGGTTGGACTAGATGACCTCCTGAGGTCCCTTCCAACCCTGATATTCTATGATTCTATGAAAGGCAGACTTTGCCCTGGCCTCTGGGTCCAAAGGCACCTGCCAGTAGCCTTTGGTGTGATCCATAGTAGTGAGGTACCGGGCACCCCACAACTTGTCAAGGATCTCATCGGACCTAGGCATGGGATAGGCATTGGACATGGTGACGGCATTGAGCTTCCGATAGTCCACACAAAACCAGATTGATCCGTCCTTCTTGGGGACCAGCACTATGGGAGAGGCCCAGGGGCTGGAGGACGGCTGGATCACCCCTAAATCCAGCATGTCTCCGACCTGTCTCTCCAAGTCCTGGGCTGCTTTCTCAGAGACCCTGAATGGGGAACACCTGATGGGGGGGTTGGCTCCTGTCTCCATCTGGTGAACAGCCAGGTTAGTGAGCCCAGGCCAGTTGGAGTTTGGGGGCACACAGGGGACGGGGTATGAATGCAGCACCCGGTGGACAGTTCCTCTACACAGTTCACCTCGTTTACCTGTCTGATGACCAGGCAGCTTGCAGATCATTCTTCCTCATGGGGATGAGAAGCATCACCTGGTCCCCGGTACCATAGGAGCGGGCATGTGCTGAGTGGTCGTACCAGACCTTCTGCTTCCTCTGTGCCCTGGCTAGGTTTCCCCTGGCCAAGCCCATAAGCTCCACGAGCCTTTCCCAGAAGGTCAGTACATACTCCACCACTGATTCTCCATCGGGGGAGGCCTTCCCTTCCCACTCGTCCCTCATCAAGTCCGGGCTCCCCTCACTCTCCTCCCATACAGCAACTCGAATGGGGAAAACCCTGTGGATTCCTGGGGCATTTCCCTGTGTGCAAACAGCAGGTGGGGTAAATACTTGTCCATAAAGGTTTTCAGCATCATCTTTAGGGTCCCATTGAACCTCTCCACCAGCCCATTGGACTGAGGGTTATACGCTGAGGCCGAGAAGTGCCGGACCCCACACTGCTCCCACAAGCACGGGAGCAGGGTTGACATGAAGTTGGACCCCTGGTCTGTAAGGACCCACTTGGGGAACTCCACTCTGCTGAAAATGGTCAGCAGTGTGTCTGCCACGGTGTTTGCCTTGATAGAGGACAAGGCCACTGCCCTGGGGTAGCACGTAGCAATATGTCCCCATGCAGCATTATATGCCACTTTTCCCACCTGCGCTGCCCCAGACATGGCTGTATCTTAGTACCGAACGAGCTGTCCCCATATGGTATTATGTGTGGCTCTTCGTGACTGCCCCGCCCCAGAGGTGGCTGCGTCCCCGTGCGGGTTTATGTGCGGCTGTTCCCAGCTGCCCTGCCCCAGAGGTGGCTGCGTCTCAGGGCCAAGTGAACCATCCTCTTGTGGTGGTTATGTGTGGCTGTTCCCCTCTGCCCCGCCTCAGTGGTGACTGCGTCCCATTACTGGGTGAGCTGTCCCTGTGTGGTGTTATGTGCGGCTGTTCCTGGTTGCCCTGCCCCAGAGGTGGCTGCATCCCAGCGCCGGACGAGCTGTCCCTGTGTAGTATTATGTGCGGCTGTTCCAGGGTGCCCCGCCCCAGAGGTGGCTGCGTCCCAGAACCAGGAGATCTGTTCCTGTGTAGGGCTATGTGCCACTGTTCCCAGCTGCCCCACCCCAGAAGTGGCTGTGTCCAAGCACCGAGCGAGCCGTCCCCATGTGGTGTTATGTGTGGCTGTTACTGTCCGCCCTATCCCAGATGTGGCTGCGTCCCAGGGCCAGGTGAACCATACTCATGAGGTGTTATGTGCGGCTGTTCCTGGCTGCCCCGTCACAGAGGTGGCTGCATCCCAGTGCTGGACAAGCTGTCCCCATGCAGTGTTATGTGCCACTGTTTCTGGCTGCCCTGCCCAAGAGGTGGCTGCGTCCTAGCGTGGGGTGAACTATCCCTGTTCGGTGTTGTGTGGCTCTTCCTGGCTGCCCCGCCCCAGAGGTGGCTGTGTCCCAGTGTCGGGCGAGCTGTCCCCGTGCAGTGTTATGTGCGGCTGTTCCCAGCTGCCCCGCCCCAGAGGTGGCTGTGTCCCAGTGCCGGGCAAGCTGTCCTCATGCAGTGTTATGTGCGGCTGTTCCCAGTTCGTGACACAGTGTGTAAGAAGCACGGGAAGCTCCTCGGTTTCCTTCGCACCTTCATAAAGTCGCGGCCCAGCAAGCAGCGACTGAAGCAGCGCGGGATCCTGCGTGAGCGTGTCTTCGGCTGCGACCTGGGGGAGCACCTCCTGAACTCGGGGCACGATGGTGAGACCCCTGGCATACAGGGTGTTATCTCCATCCACCTGCCACGCTGCTTCTCCTGGCCTTGTGCTGTGAGGGATTGCCTCCCATCCCCCTGGCCAGATCTCGGCTCCCTGCCCGGGGTTATGGGGCACTTCCTCCAATCCCCCGGCTGTACCCCGTCTCCCAGCCTGTTGCTATGGGGTGCTGCCTCCCATCCCCCTGCCCACACCCCTCCCACAGCCTGGCGCTATGGGGCACTGCCTCCCATTCCCCCTGACCACGCCCCATCCTCCGTCCATGCCCCATCTCCTGGTATGGCACTATGGGGTGCTGCCTCCCATCCCCCCCGGCTGCACCCCGTATCCTGGCTGCACCCGTGTCTCTAAGCCTGGCACTACGGGGCACTGCCTCCCATCCCCCCTGGGTGCGCCCTGGCCACGACCCATCTCCCGGCCTGGCGCTACAGGGTGCCACATCCCATCCCCCAGCTATGCTGCCCCCCCGCCACCCCCTCCCGGCCTGGAGCTGGAGGTCTTGGTGCCGCCGTCCATTCCCATGACATCTGCTTACCTCGTGCCTCCTGCAGTTCCCCAGGTCCTGCGCTGCTGCTCAGAGTTCATCGAGAAGCATGGCCTGGTGGACGGGATCTATCGCCTCTCGGGTGTCGCCTCCAACATCCAGAAGCTGCGGTGGGGCCCGGGGAGCTGGGGGTGCCTAGCGGGGGGGGGGCACAGGGGAGTGGCAGGCAGCGGGGGGATTTGGGCACAGGACAGACGCAGGGCACAGCAACAGATAGGGAAGGGTTGGGGGGTTCAGGGCACTGTGTGGGGTGGTACCAGACTGGCCCCCAAGGTTAGGGGGTAAGGTGAAGAGGCAGGGCAAGGGAAGAAGGGTGCAGGGAGAAGAGTTAGGGGGCTGGGCCCGGGGGAGCTGGCTTAGGAGGCAGGGCGGCACGGTCTGGGGGCAGACTGTAGGGCACAGGGGGGCAGAGTGTAGGGTGTAGGGGGCAGGGCATGGGAGAGCAGGGTTAGAGGGCAGCATTGGGGGGCAGAGTGTAAGGAGCAGGATTGGGTGGCTGGGTTAGGAGGCAGGGCGGCAGGGTTTGGGGGCAGACTGTAGGGCACGGGAGCAGGGTGTAGGGGGCAGGGCATGGGAGAGCAGGGTTAGAGGACAGGGTTGGGGGGCAGAGTGTAAGGAGCAGGATTGGGTGGCTGGGTTAGGAGGCAGGGCGGCAGGGTTTGGGGGCAGACTGTAGGGCTCAGGGTGTAGCGGGCAGGGCACAGGAGGGCAGGGTTAGAGGACAGGGTTGGGGGCAGAGTGTAAGGAGCAGGATTGCGTGGCTGGGTTAGGAGGCAGGGCGGAGGGTTTGGGGGCAGACTGTAGGGCTCAGGGTGTAGGGGCAGGGCACAGGAGGGCAGGGTTGGGGGGAGGGATTGAGGTCAGGGTGTAGCGGGCAGGGCACAGGAGGGCAGGGTTGGGGGGAGGGATTGAGGTCAGGGTGTAGCGGGCAGGGCACAGGAGGGCAGGGTTGGGGGGAGGGATTGAGGTCAGGGGGTAGGGGGCAGGGCACGGGAGAGCAGGGTTGGGGGGCAGGGTTGGGTGGCTGGGTTAGGGGGCAGGGGTTGGGGGCAGACGCTGGCCCGCCCATACCCGCTCTCCCCTTCCATCAGGCACGAGTTCGACAGCGAGCGGGTGCCAGAGCTGGGCCGGGCGACCTACCTGCAGGACATCCACTGCGTGAGCTCCCTGTGCAAGCTGTACTTCCGCGAGCTGCCCAACCCGCTACTCACCTACCAGCTCTACCACAACTTCGCGGTGAGCCCGGGCTGCCCCCCGCCTGCCCCCCATTCCCCTACCCCTGCATTCCCTGCCCCCCATTCCCCTACCCCTGCATTCCCTGCCCCCAATTCCCCTACCCCTGCATTCCCTGCATTCCCTGCCCCCCAACCTCCCACCCCTGCATCCCCTGCGTTAACGCCTGCCCCCCATTCCCCTACCCCTGCATTCCCTGCCCCCCATTCCCCTACCCCTGCATCCCCTGCGTTAACGCCTGCCCCCATTCCCCTACCCCTGCATTCCCTGCCCCCCAACCTCCCACCCCCGCATCCCCTGCGTTAACGCCTGACCCCCAATTCCCCAACCCCTGCATTCCCTGCCCCCCAACCTCCCACCCCTGCATTCCCTGCCCCCAATTCCCCTACCCCTGCATTCCCTGCCCCCCAACCTCCCACCCCTGCATCCCCTGCGTTAACGCCTGCCCCCCATTCCCCTACCCCTGCATTCCCTGCCCCCCATTCCCCTACCCCTGCATCCCCTGCGTTAACGCCTGCCCCCCATTCCCCTACCCCTGCATTCCCTGCCCCCCAACCTCCCACCCCCGCATCCCCTGCGTTAACGCCTGACCCCCATTCCCCAACCCCTGCATTCCCTGCCCCCCAATTCCCCTACCCCTGCATTCCCTGCCCCCAATTCCCCTACCCCTGCATTCCCTGCCCCCCAACCTCCCACCCCCGCATCCCCTGCGTTAACGCCTGCCCCCCAATTCCCCCCCTACCCCTGCATTCCCTGCCCCCCAACCTCCCACCCCCGCATCCCCTGCGTTAACGCCTGCCCCCCAATTCCCCTACCCCTGCATTCCCTGCCCCCCAACCTCCCACCCCCGCAACCCCTGCGTTAACGCCCCTAGAACCCCCAATTCCCCTACCCCTGCATTCCCTGCCCCCCAACCTCCCACCCCCGCATCCCCTGCGTTAACGCCTGACCCCCAATTCCCCTACCCCTGCATTCCCTGCCCCCCAACCTCCCACCCCCGCATCCCCTGCGTTAACGCCTGCCCCCCAATTCCCCTACCCCTGCATTCCCTGCCCCCAACCTCCCACCCCCGCATCCCCTGCGTTAACGCCTGACCCCCAATACCCATACCCCTGCATTCCCTGCCCCCCAACCTCCCACCCCCGCATCCCCTGCGTTAACGCCTGACCCCCAATTCCCCTACCCCTGCATTCCCTGCCCCCCAACCTCCCACCCCCGCATCCCCTGCGTTAACGCCTGACCCCCAATTCCCCTACCCCTGCATTCCCTGCCCCCCAACCTCCCACCCCCGCATCCCCTGCGTTAACGCCTGACCCCCAATTCCCCTACCCCTGCATTCCCTGCCCCCCAACCTCCCACCCCCGCAACCCCTGCGTTAACGCCTGCCCCCCAATTCCCCTACCCCTGCATTCCCTGCCCCCCAACCTCCCACCCCCGCATCCCCCTGCGTTAACGCCTGACCCCCAACCCCCCTACCCCTGCATTCCCTGCATTCCCTGCCCCCCAACCTCCCACCCCCGCAACCCCTGCGTTAACGCCTGACCCCCAATTCCCCTACCCCTGCATTCCCTGCCCCCCAACCTCCCACCCCCATGTTAACACCTGAGGCCCCCCCCCAGATAACAGCCCATTTGCCCTGCAGGAGGCCATGGCGGTGCCCAGCGAGGAGGAGCGCCTGGTGCGGGTGCATGACGTCATCCAGCAGCTGCCCCCGCCCCACTACAGGTACCTGTCCCACAGGGCCGTGGAGGGGGTCGGTGCCCCGCAGACCCGTGGGTGACAGCTGGGGGGGTCGGGGTAGTGCGTGATGGCTGGGTGGGGATGTCGGGGCCCTGCAGACCCGTGGGTGACAGCTGGGGGCTCGGGGCCATGGGTGACGGCTGTGGGGGGGGGGAGGTCAGGGCTCCGCAGCAGTGTGGGTGACATCTGGGGGTGGGTGGGTGATGACTGGTAGGGTCGGGGCCCCATGGGGCCGTGGGTGACGACTGGGGCAGGGCTTAGTGCCCGGCTGGGTGGTGGTTGAGGGCTGGGGGACCCCAAGAGGTGTGGATAACAGTTGGAGGGGGTCAGGGCCCTGTGGGATTGTGGGTAATTGGAGGGCAGGCTGGGGCCGGGTCCCCCTCACCAGCTGCCGCCCCCCTCAGGACCCTGGAGTTCCTGCTGCGGCACCTGGCACGGGTAGCCACGCACAGCCCAGACACCAGCATGCACGTCAAGAACCTGGCCATCGTGTGGGCCCCCAACCTGCTCCGGTAAGCGCCCCCTGGCTTCCCTCTGGACCCCCTGCCAGTCCCCTGCACCAACTACCATCCCCCCAACCTGCTCCGGTAATTGCCCCTCTGACCCCCCTCTAGCTCCCTTCTGGATCCCCTGCCCATACCCCACCTACAATCCCCCCAACCTGCTCCACTGAGTGCTTCCCACCAGCGCCCCCCCCCCCCCCCAACGCGCCAGCTCCAATCCCCCAGACTGCTCCGCTGAGCGCCCCTCTGCCTCCCAGGTCCCTGGAGCTGGAGGCCGTGGGGCTGAGTGGGGCGGAGGCCTTCCACGAGGTGCGGGTCCAGTCCGTTGTGGTCGAGTTCCTGCTCAGCCACGTCCAGGTGCTGTTCAGCGACAAGTTCACCTCCATCGGCAAGGACAGCGCAGGTGGGGCATGTGGGGGGGCCTTGGGGGATGGTGTGGGGAGGGCACGGGCGGCCGTGTGAGGCAGTGCAGGGGGGCAGCATGGAGGGACAGTGTGGGGTGGACAATGTGGAGAGGGCAGCCGGGGGGAGCAGCGTAGGGGAGGAGACAGCACAGCACAGGCTGGGGGGCAGCGTGGGGTGACTCTGGGCATGCAGGGGGTAGCAAGGTGCTCAGTGGGGGGCATACAGAGACTGGCTGGCTGCTGAGCTGGGGGGGGGTGGGGGCAGGCTGTGCCCTAGAGGAGGCTGGGATCTTTGCTGCCTTGTTTGTGATGCTGCATTGCTGGGCACCGCCCACTGGAACCTGTCCCTTGACCCCCAGCAGCAGGGTTGGGGTGGGGCTGGGTGGGGGCTGCTGCTCTGAGGGTGGGGACCTGCCCCCAGTGGCATTGGGTGGGATGCCTGGGTGGGGGAGGGCCACCAGCAGAATTTGGGGGGTGGTCTCCTTGCCTCACCCTGCCCCAGACCCTGCTCTGCGCTTCGTGCCATCTTGCTGTCTTGTGTCCTTGGAGGTCTCGCAGGAAGGGGATCGGGGGGATGGGGGCAGCAAAGGATGGATGAGACACCTGAGGGATTCTGAGAGGTAGGGGTAGGGGGAGCTGGGGAAGGTTGGCAACAGTGGGGGGGGTGGAGGGGCATTGGGGAGGCTGGGGACAGTGGGGTTTGGGGTGATGGGGATAGTTTGGGGGCAGTGGGGTTTGAGCTCCCTGCAGTGAGTCCACCTGGAAGGGACACCTGGGGACCCTCACCCCCTTCAAAGGGCCCTGTACCCCCACTCCGCAGTCACAGGGACTCAGCCAGAGTGTGACACAGGAGGGTTATTAGTCGTGGGGAACACAGCATAGGACAGAGCTTGTTAGCACAGAAATCAGGAACTTTCAACAGAGTCCATCTGGGGGGGTGAGGGGGAGGCCCAGAGCTCTGGGCTCCGCCCTGCCCCCAGTCCCAAACCAGGAGACTGACCCTTTCAGCTGCCCACTGCCCCTCCTCCTTCCTTTGTCTCTTTCCTGCGCCAGCAGGTCCCCTGGTCTGCACCAGCACCTCCGGCTGGTTCTTGCAGAGGAGGGGGCCTGGCCATCAGTTGCCAGGATACACCGTGTCGTTCTCTGCAGCCCACCGGCAGTCACACCTGCCCTGTAGGGGTCTCTGCAACAATCACTTATTCCACCACCTAGATACTCCCCTTATCCCACCACCGAGATACTCAAGTAACACAGGGGAAACTGAGGCACACCACAGTTTTCAGAGAGAACATTAAGAACATTCCTACTTCATCACACTGGGAAAGGCTGGGGGCAGTGGGGTTTGGAGGGGTGGGAGGCAATGGGCCACTGGGAGAAGTCTGGAGGCAGTGGGGAACGGGGAGCTAGTAAGGCAGCCAGTGCCGCGACCCCCGCCCCATGCTTTGCTCCCTGTGTAGCAAGCCAGTCTGTTCTCAGCAGCTACCTCCCGGTCCCTGGTCTGGGGGCTGGTCCCCCCCTCCCCTGCTGTGTGTCAGGGTCCCAGGCCCAGGGAGAGGGGGCCCTGCTCTGGGCATGGGGGTGCCCCTGGGCTCTGGCATGCTGCCCCCCCAGGCCACCCTCTAACCCTGTTCTCTCTCCAGCCCCCCAGCCGGCGTCCCGGAAGCTGGCCTGGCCCCCCAAGACCGGCCGGCTGCTCACCCTGCCCGAAGCCCTGAGCAAGGCCCAGAGGGAGCCGGAGACGCAGCAAGACAGGGTGGAGGGTGTCCTGGAGGTGCAGGGGGACTGAGGGGTTGGGGAGGTCATCCCCCCGCCCCGGATCAGATTCATGGACCCATGCACCCCGGTGTCCCACTCCCTCCCTGCCACACACGGGCCCCTCTACCCCGGTATCCTGCCCCCTCCCTGCCGCCCGTGGGCCATTCTACCCTGGCATCCCACCCCCTCCCTGATGCCCACGTGTCCCTCTACTTGGGCTGTGTGGCTCCGTGACCCCCTGAAATCCTGGTGCAGTCAGCTGCATCCCCAGATAAGCATCGATCCCAGACACTATGGTGGGGAGGTGCCCAGTGGCAGGGGGTTCCAGTGGCCCAGGTCGCTGATTGCGGGGCAGGAGCAGGGCGGTACGGCTCTCCTTGCATGGGGCCCTGTGGGCTCTCAGAGCTTGGGTGGGGCAGGGCAGGACAGGGGCATTGCCCATCCGGGGAGGGAGGCTCAGGTCCTGGGTTTAACTGGCTCCCGTTGAGCACAAGAGAACATTAAATGCCCAGCTGGCAATGCCCCACATTGGTGATTCATGGTGCCCGGCGCCCAGCGGCTCGCCTTGGGGAGACAACTTGCTGGGGGGGGGGGGCTGACATTGACTGGGCCTGATGTGGGGGGACACTGAGCCCAGCAGGGGTGGGGGTGGGAGGTTGCTGAAGTGGGGGGCTTCCAAGGCAGACTGGGGAGGCAGGTGCTGGGGGCATTGAGACAGGCTGGGGAGGGGGGTGCTGAGATGAGTGGGTGCCAAGGCATGTTCGGGGGCAGCGAGGTAGGCTAGGGAAGGGGGATGCTGAAGTGGAGGGGTGCCCAGACAGGCTGGGGAGGGGGGTGCTGAGGCAGATGGGGGGCCTGAGGTGGGGGGTGCCAAGGCATGCTGGAGGGGTGCTGGGTGGCACCACAGAAGGCTAGGGGGGTGCCACGGCAGGCTGGGAAAGGGGGTGCTGAGGTGGGGCAGTGCCAAGACAGGCTGGGGAGGGGGGTGCTGGGGATGCCCAGACAGGCTGGGAGGTACCCAGACAGGCTAGCCCTGTGGTGGGAGGGGGGGTGGACAATCCTGTGACCAAATGCAGTGGGGTGTGGAATTGGGGGGCCCATAGAGTGGCTGGGCACGAGGCCGACGTGAGCTGCAGTGAGGGGGGCAACCCCCCAACACACATCCCAGGGAAGCTGCCTTCTGCCCCTGACCAGCTGGGACCTGCGGAGCCCAGCGCCCGGCCATGCTAAGTGGGATGGGCCCTGCACTGGCACCTGGCTGCCCGCCCCTCACCCAGGTAACAGCTCCCAGTGCCCAGCTACGCTGCTGCTTCTCTGCGGGGTTGAGCCTCTCCCTCTTCCCATGGGCTCACAGTGCCCTCACTGGTGTGAGGAGTGGGATCCCTGCGGCCTGCCAGGGTGTTAAATCCTGTCCTGCTGCTAGCACTAGGGGGCACCATAGTGCTTAGGGCTGAGCAGGGGGCGCTGTGCTGTGGGGAGCGGGGTGGGGGGCTCAGCAGGGGGTGCTGCGGGGGTGGGGGGCTCAGCAGGGAGTGCTGTGCTGCAGGAAACAGGGTTAGGGTTAGGCGGGGGGCACTATGCTGTGGGGAGTGGGGTGGAGGAGCTGCAGAGAGGGGCTTGGAGGCTCAGTAGGGGGCGCTGTGCTGCAGGGAGGGACTGAGGTTCCTGTGGGGCAGGCCCAGCTGACCCCCCTTCTGTCTGTCTCCCTGTCCCCCAGGTCGCTCCTGCCTCCCGCGCCCCAAGTCCCTGCTGGGCAGCTGCCCCTCGACCCGCCTGCTCTCGCTGGAGGAGGCTCAGGCCCGGACGCAGGCCCAGGCCCAGCATGCGGCCCCTGGCCAGGCCAAAAGCCCTGAGGCCAAGCTTGGACGGGGTCCCCCAGGGAGGCTACCCCTCATGCTGGACTCGCCCCATGTCAGGTAATCCCGCACTGGGGTTGCTGACTCTGGGGTAGGGGCTGGTGAGCTCAGGGGGGGCAGGGGATGGGGCATGGGGGCCTTTCCTCTCAGGGGGTGCCGGCCCCGATCTGGCCCCAGGAGGTGGTGGCCTCAGGGGTGTGTGGAATGGGGCTGACAGGGCCATGGATCGGGCTGACACTGACTCTCCACAGGCGCCAGACACGGGGCGGAAGCTGGAAAACCTTCTTGGCCTTGGGCAGGGCACCCGCCATCAGCCACAAGAGAGTGCAGTGCCCGGGCAGGCAGACAGGTGAGTGAGCCCTGCCCCACGCAGTCCCCCTGACTCCTGCCCCACGCAGCCCCTCAGCTTCCCCCAGACCCACACAGCCTCCCAGCTTCCCCCTGCCCCACATAGCCTCCCATTTCCAGCCCTGCCCCACAAATCTCCCCCCAGTTCCACACCAACCTCCCAGCCCCACATCTCTCTTCCTCCTGTTCTCTTTGTCTCTCCCCCTGCCCCATGGAGTGGGGATGAGGGGTGTAAGTTCGAGTGCTTGCTCATGTCCATTCCATGCTAGGTGTGCGCAAACCCACGGGCCCAGCTGTCGGAGATTTTTCCCTTAGCAGTATCCGTAGGGCCGTCTCTGGTGCCCTATGGAGCCCTGCACCCATGCTCCGGTATATGGGGTGCCGCCGGTATATGGGGTGCCTCAGTTCCTTGTCTCCCTTTGCGATTCCAAAGTGCTCCGAGCAGTGTAACTTTATAGTTGTTGGATATATTTGGATCTAGATCATGAAGTAGTTAGTTAGGTGAATAAGTAGGTTAGATAGTTGTGTAAGCGGGGGATGGTCCCGCTATTGTGGGGAACTTTCCTGGCTTATACACGACCCCAGTATATGGGCTAGCGAAAGGATCTGAGTCCTCACTCCCACTCCCTTTACCCAGAGGCCTACCTGACCTCAAAGGCTCCCCTTCCACTCTCCTGTCTGGCAGAGTCCTCGTAACACCAATAAGGCTGGGCCCAGGATTCCTGGGGGGCTCCACCCCCACTTTGGGCAGGGGCTAGGGTGTCCCCACTCTGCATGCTCTCTCTGCACTGGACACTTCCCTGACCCACTGATTGTTACAAACAGTTCAAAGCAAATACAATTTATTAAACAGCAACCAATTAAAAAAATAAGGAAAAAATGGGAAAGGTGAAAGGAAAACCCGTCGCCCCGCTCTGTGGCACGGGGACATCACAGCCAGCGTCTCTGGGATGTCAGGGCAGTTCAGTCTGTTCCTCACACGTCCCAGGCCCCTGCCCAGGCCCTGGCTGTGCTGCAGGGATGCTGCGGGTCGGACACTTGCTCTGGCAGTGGCCACACGACTCCAGGCTCTAGGTGGCAGGACCCTTCTTCCCAGCATCGCCCCCGCCCCATCGGGGTTACGATCCCCCCCCAAATCTGGCCTGCCAGGCGTCTTGGCTGGGGGTGTCTCCCTGCGCTGGGCCCACTGCCCAGGGTCCCCCTCGCTCTCCCCAGCTGCTTCTGGCTCTGGACAGACAGCTCCAGCTCCAGCCCCAGCTCCACCACTCTGCCTCAGCACTGATGCTGCTGCTGCTGCTCTGCCTCCAGCCCCCTGGGCTGCTTCTCTGGCCCCTCTGGCTCCAGTTGCTGCAGCTCTGCTCCCAGCACAGGTCTGCTCTGTGGGCTGCTTCTGTGGCTCTGCTCCCAGCACTGACCTGCTCCCTGGGCTGCTTCTCCGGCCCCTCTGGCCAGCGCGGCCCTGCTCCCCCACTCCACTCGGGCCCCTGCTCTCTCCTGAGCTCAGCCCCACTCTGTCTGACCCAGGCAATTCTAGCTCACTAGGGGGACTGGACCCCCCTGGCCTCCTGACTCCCTCATTAGCCTGCCCGCCCTGTCAATCAGGCTGACCTGGAGCATTGGCCTCTCCCCATTGCCCCGGGGGACTGTCAGTCTCAGGGTCCTGATTTCCCATTGACCTTCTCCTTCCTTTTGGTTCTGAGAGCTAGCCAACCAAACCACCCCCACTGAGTTTTAGTAAGGGGACAGTTAGTGCCCTTAGGGACTTTGTCCCCGGCACAGGGCTTGCCCCCTTCCCCGGGATCCCAGCCGTCTGCCATAGACCTATGCCGGTCAGTGAACCCCGCACCAGCTGTCTGATTCTGGGGGAATCGCACATCAAAGAGAAATGCCAGATCTGTCAGGGCTTCACGGCACACTTGGAAGAACAGGGCCATTCATCTCCAAGCCCTTCTCTCAGACGGGCCTCGGAACCCTCCTGCTCAGACTCAACACCAAATCCCTCTGCCTACAGCGAGCCCCTCCAGCTCCGGGTTCCTCCCAGCACTGCTCACCATCACCGGGGCTACCACAGTGCTAACACCTGGGACTGCAGCCAGCAGGCATTGCTGGGGAGACACGGTGCTAACATCTGGGACTCCAGTTGCATAGATTCTCCGGCCCTCAGTGGCAGAGCCAGGGGCTTTAGATGCCGCTGCCCAGCCAGGTCCTGTGCACTGCTCAGGAGGCCGTCGGCAGGTATTCTGAGGGTGTGCCCGAGGCCGGAGTTGCCGTCTCCTCCCAGGATCCATCTCCCCGTTTGTTTCGGGACCGCCTGTCTCCCTTTCTCCTGCATGGGCCAAGGTCACCTCAGGCCGCTGGGTGCTCAACACCATAGCCGTTGGCTACACCCTGGAGTTTTCCTCCATTCCCCCCTCACACCCCAGTTCCCTGTCCCTCTTCAGGGCCCCTTCTCACAAGCAGCTCCTCATCCAGGAGGGGGATTCCCTCCTACGTCTGCGGGCCGGGTAGGAGGTTCCCCTAGACATGAGGGTAAAAGGGTTTTACTTCCGGTATTTCCTAATCCCGAAGGCCAAGGGGGGGACTCAGACCCATCTTAGGCCTGTGTCGCCTCAACAGGTATCTGAAGACATCAAAGTTCTGCATGGTCTCCCTGGCCTCCATCATCCCCTCTCTGGATTCGGGAGGCTGGTACGCTGCTCTCGACTTAACGTACGCCCACTTCCATATTCTTAACTTCCATGGCCCCAGGAGATTCCCCCATTTGGTGGTGGGACAGCACCTCGACTAGTTCACGGCACTGCCCTTCAGCCTCTCTTCTGCTCTGAGGGTCTTCACGAAGTGCATGGTGGTGGTGGCCACTTCCCTTAGGTGCTGCGGCATTCAAATCTACCCATCTCTCGAGGACTGGCTAGTCAGAGGCAGGTCCCAGGCTCACGTGCAGCACGTGTCGGGATCTAGGCCTGCATCTCAATGACCAGAAGTCGACTCTGTCCCCCGTTCAGAGAATAGAGTTTATAGGAGCAGTGCTTGACTCCACCCACGCCAGAGCCTACCTGCCAGAGTCCTAATTCCTGGCATGTCAGAGCCCAGCCGCTCCCAGCCACCCGAGTATGCCACCAGCGGCTGGCTCACATGGTGGTGTGTACCGACGTGGTGCAACATGCATGGCTGTGGCTCAGTGTCCAGATGTGGCTGGCGTCGTTCTTCTCACGACTTGTAACTAATGGTCACAGTTCCGTCGAACGTCCTGTTGTCTCTGGTTGGGTGCCCAGCCCTGTGACTGTTCTGGATGGGGTCCCCTTCGTAGCACCAGTCCTATCGGTAACGTTGGTCTCTGATGTGTCGGATCGGGGGTGGGGAGCCCAGCTTGGCAGCTGCAGTACCCAAGGTCTCTGGTTCTCTTCACAGAAAGGCCAGGGAGCTTAGGGCGATATGCTCGGCTTGCCATGCATTCCTTCCTATCTAAGAGGCAGAGTGGTGCAGATCTTGACGAACAATACAGCAGCAATGTTCTTCTATGAGCAAGACGGGGCCTCATCTGCCCTGTGTCGAGAGGCTCTTCGCCTGTGGGACTTCTGTATGCAGTAGACTGGTCATCTCAAGGCTTCACGCTTCCCGAGCGCCCGAAACGCGGAGGCAGATCTCCTCGGCAGGTCCTTCTCCTCTCACCATGAGTGGTCACTCCACCTGGAGGTTGTCAGCACGATCTCCCCCAAGTGAGGGACTCCCCAGGTGGACCTCTTCATGGCCACTCAGAACAGGACGTGTCAGCAGTTATGCTCATTTCACAGGCTAGCTGGCTGCTCCCTGTCCAACGCTTTCCTGCACCCTTGGATGGAACCCTGCTGTATGCCTTCCCGGGGACAAAGCAAAAGGCATCCTGGTAGCTCCAGCATGGCCATGGCAGCTTTGGTGCGGCAGGCTTTCGGACCTCTCGATGGCAACCCCACTAGAGGTCCCACTTTTCCCAGACTTGCTCTCGCAGTACCAAGGCTGTCTGCTCCATCCAAACCTAGCGTCACTGCATCTGATGGCGTGGCTTTGCATGGCTGAACACAAAGGAGCAGGCCTGCTCGGAGCAAGTCTAATACATCCTGTTGAGTGTCAGGAAGCCCTCCACCAGGGCAACCTACCTGGTCAAGTGGAAGCGCTTCATCTATTAAGGGCCGCAGATTGAGGTCTTTCTCCCTCCCGGTCATTGCTACAATCCATCTTGGACTACCTGCTCCACCTCAAGCACCAGGGTCTGGCAATCAGGGTTCACTTGTTGGCCATCTCAGCCTTTCACCCGCCGATCCAGGGCAGGTCAGTCTTTGCTCATGACATGATGATCAGGTTCCTGAAGGGTCTGGAGAAGCTATACCCACAAGTTCGGGATCCTGTCCCTCCTTGGGACCTAAACCTGGTGCTAGCGAGGCTCACGGGTCCCCCTTTTGAGCTGCTGACTTCGTGTTCTTTGCTGCTTCTCTTGTGGGACGTCTCCTTCTTGGCGGCTATCATGTCAGCCCACAGGGTCTCTGAGATTAGAGCATTGATGTCAGAACCCCCTTACATGGTATTTTACAAGGACGAGGTCCAGCTGAGCCCCCACCCAGCCTTCTTACCGAAGGTGGTATCACAGTTCACAGTAATCAGGACCTCTTCCTACCGGGTTTCTTCCTGAAGCCTCACAAGGCGAACAGGAAGCATCAGTTACACTTTATGGATGTTAGGCAGGCCTTAGCCTTCTGCATCGTGGACAAAACCCTTCTGTAAATCAGTGCAGCTCCTCATCGCAGGGCGGACAGGATGAAAGGTTTGCCTGTGTCTGCTCAGAGAAGCTCCTTGTGAATAACTGCCTGCATCAGGCTCTGCTGTGAGCAAGCAAAGGTGTCACTGCCAGCCATCCTTCCTGCCCATTCCACCAGAGCGCATGCTTCGTCAGCGTTTTTCCTCGCACAGGTACTGATCCGAGGTATCTGCAGAGCCGCCACCTGGTCGTCGGTCCATACCTTCCCGTCCCACTACGCCATCAGCCAGCAGGCCCGGGGCAAGGCCAGCTTCGCAGAGCAGTGTTGCAAGCAGCACAGCCATGAACTCAGAGCCCACATCCAGGGATACTGCTTGGGAGTCACCTAACCGGAATCGACACGAGCAAGCACCCGAAGAAGAAAAAACGGTACCTACCTCTCGTAACTGCTGTTCTTCGGGATGCTCTGCTCACGTCCATCCCACAACCCGCCCTCCTGCCCCTCTGTGGCAGTGTTGGCAGGAAGGAACTGAGGGGGCGACGCCCCATTAATGGGCACAGGGCTCCAAGGGGTGCCAGAGCCTGCCCTACGGACACTGCTAAGGGAGAAATCTCTGGCAGCCGGCCGTGGGCGCACACACCTAGCATGGAACGGACACGAGCAGCGCACCTCAAGGAAGAGCAGTTATGGAAGGTCAGGAACCGTTTTTTCCAGGGGAAGGAAGGAGAGTTGGGGGGCCTGTCTGGGGTGTTCCCGGGAGCAGAGGTGGGGACTGGGGGCAGTGCTGGGGGCAGGAGCAGTGGGAGGGTATCAGTGGGGTCCAGGCAGGGGATGGATACGGGGGTGGCTGAGGGAGGACTGGGGGGCTGACATTCTCACCCCTCCCCTCTCCCTGCAGGACGTCGGGCCGACACCGTCACGCTGCGATCTGCCAAGAGTGAGGAGTCACTCACGTCCCAGTCCAGCACTGCGGGTATGAGGGGCAGCGCCAGGGTCAGGGAGGGGATATTCAGGGGGAAGACAACCCCAGAGGTGTCAGGCAAGCCGTCCCCATGCAGCGTTATGTACAGCTGTTCCCCAGCTGCCCCATCCCAGAGATGACTGTGTCCCAGTGCTGGGCGAGCAGTCCCTGTATGGTGTTGTGTGTGACTGTTCCCAGATTCCCAGCCCCAGAGGTGGCTGCATCTCAGCCAGGTGGCGTTAAGTGCGGCTGTTCCCCAGCTGCCCCACCCCAGAGATGGCTGCATCTCAGTGCCAGGTGAGCTGTCCCCATGCGACATTATGTGTGGCTGTTCCCCAGCTGCCTGCCATCTCAGGGTTGTTTACGCCTGCTGTTTGTCCATCTGTCCCCCAGGCCTGCGCAAACTCCACCGCCTGCGGCGCCCACGCTCCAGCAGCGACGCTTTCCCGGCCCTGCCCGGGGCCCCCCCCGGGTCCCCACCAGCCCCCCTCAAGCCCTGCCGTTCCTGCGAGTCGCTGAGCTCCTCGGCCTCCGGTGGCTGCAGCGAGAGCCTGGCCGTGCTGCCGGACTTGGCACCCCATCGCCGCGCCTCCCTCTGGCTGGATGACGAGGGCGAGCTGGACTCAGACCTGGAGCTCAGTCCCCCGGGCTTCCTGGATTTGGACCCACTCCCCTTCCGGCACAGCCCCCCCCGGCGCCCCTCACTCTCCGCCGCCTCCGACTCGGCCCCCAGCCCCGCCCGCCTTCCCTTCGCCTGCAAGGTGGCCCGGGCACTGTCGCCCCGCGGCCCGGAGCCCCCCACAGCCGCCCTGGAGATCTCTGAGCCCGTGGCCATCTCGCTGCCAGCCAAGGTGCTGGAGATGCTGGGGGGGGGTGAGGCCGGGGGTGTGCTGAGGCCCGGACAGCGCCGGGGGACGCGCAGTCCCCCCCACATGATCTCCCGACTGCTGCAGGCCGGTGACGGGATGCTGACTGACAGCTGCCAGCGCGAGGTGCGGCGCAAACTGACCCAAGCTGAGAGCGGAAGCCTGGCCCAGAGTGAGTGTGCCAGAACCTCCCAGCCCCATCCGGAACCCCCTGCCGGCCGGATCCGCCCCCCGCCCCTCCGCCAGAACCTCCCAGCCCCATCCGGAACCCCCTGCCGGCCGGATCCGCCCCCCCGCCTCCCCGCCAGAACCTCCCAGCCCCATCTGGAACCCCCTGCCGGCCGGATCCGCCCCCCCGCCAGAACCTCCCAGCCCCATCCGGAACCCCCTGCCGGCCGGATCCGCCCCCCCGCCTCCCCCGCCAGAACCTCCCAGCCCCATCTGGAACCCCCTGCCGGCCGGATCCGCCCCCGCCAGAACCTCCCAGCCCCATCCGGAACCCCCTGCCGGCGGATCCCCCCCCCCCGCCAGAACCTCCCAGCCCCATCCGGAACCCCCGCGGCCGGATCCCCCCGCCCCCGCCAGAACCTCCCAGCCCCATCCGGAACCCCTGGGCCGGATCCCCCCGCCAGAACCTCCCAGCCCCATCCGGAACCCCCTGCCGGCCGGATCCGCCCCCCCGCCAGAACCTCCCAGCCCCATCCGGAACCCCCTGCCGGCCGGATCCGCCCCCCCGCCAGAACCTCCCAGCCCCATCCGGAACCCCCTGCTGGCCGGATCCGCCCCCCCGCAAGAACCTCCCAGCCCCATCCGGAACCCCCTGCCGGCCGGATCCGCCTGCCCCCCCTCCGCCCCTGCCAGAACCTCCCAGCCCCATCCGGAACCCCCTGTCGGCCGGAACCGCCCCCCCCGCCCTCCCCGCCAGAACCTCCCAGCCCCATCGGGAACCCCCTGCCGGCCGGATCCGCACCCTGCAGCCGCCAGAACCTCCCAGCCCCATCCGGAACCCCCTGCCGGCCGGATCCGCCCCCCCCCCCCGGCAGAACCTCCCAGCCCCATCCAGAACCCCCTGCAGGCCAGATCCGCACCCCCCAGCCGCCAGAACCTCCCAGCCCCATCTAGAACCCCCTGCCAGCCGGAACCGCACCCCCAGCCCCAGCCGGAACCCCCCGCTATCCAGAACTCCCTAGGCCAGAAGCCCCCAGCCGGATTCCCGCCATCCAGAGCCCCATGGCCGGACCCTCCCAGCTGGAACCCCCCCACAGCTGGAACCCCCGCCCCCACTGAAACCACCTGGCCAGAACCCCCCAGTCACAACTGCCCAGCCCCAGCCAGAACTGCCCAGCCAGAATCATCCGGTTTTGTTCAATATCTTCATAAATGATCTGGAAGATGGTGTGGATTGCACTCTCAGCAAATTTGCAGATGATACTAAACTGGGAGGAGAGGTAGATACGCTGGAGGGTAGGGATAGGATACAGAAGGACCTAGACAAATTGGAGGATTGGGCCAAAAGAAATCTGATGAGGTTCAATAAGGATAAGTGCAGGGTCCTGCACTTAGGACGGAAGAACCCAATGCACAGCTACAGACTAGGGACCGAATGGCTAGGCAGCAGTTCTGCGGAAAAGGACCTAGGGGTGACAGTGGACGAGAAGCTGGATATGAGTCAGCAGTGTGCCCTTGTTGCCAAGAAGGCCAATGGCATTTTGGGATGTATAAGTAGGGGCATAGCGAGCAGATCGAGGGACGTGATCGTTCCCCTCTATTCGACATTGGTGAGGCCTCATCTGGAGTACTGTGTCCAGTTTTGGGCCCCACACTTCAAGAAGGATGTGGATAAATTGGAGAGAGTCCAGCGAAGGGCAACAAAAATGATTAGGGGTCTGGAACACATGACTTATGAGGAGAAGCTGAGGGAGCTGGGATTGTTTAGCCTGCAGAAGAGAAGAATGAGGGGGGATTTGATAGCTGCTTTCAACTACCTGAAAGGGGGTTCCAAAGAGGATGGCTCTAGACTGTTCTCAATGGTAGCAGATGACAGAACGAGGAGTAATGGTCTCAAGCTGCAGTGGGGGAGGTTTAGATTGGATATTAGGAAAAACTTTTTCACTAAGAGGGTGGTGAAACACTGGAATGCGTTACCTAGGGAGGTGGTAGAATCTCCTTCCTTAGAGGTTTTTAAGGTCAGGCTTGACAAAGCCCTGGCTGGGATGATTTAACTGGGAATTGGTCCTGCTTCGAGCAGGGGGTTGGACTAGGTGACCTTCTGGGGTCCCTTCCAACCCTTATATTCTATGATTCTATGATTCTATGATCCCCGCTGCAGCCAAAACCCCCCCACAAACGGAACCCCCTGTGTCCCCTGCTGGGGGAGTTGGGGAGCGCACAACAACCCCCCAGCCAATGTGCCCCAGCCTCCTACAGTGCCCCCTGCTGGGTGAGGCCAGGGCAGGAGTATCCAGGAGCTCCCCGCACAGCCAGCGCCCTGCTCCACCCCCCTACAGCGCCCCCTGCTGGGTGTGGCTGGCACTGACCACCCTCTTTTCTGTTCTCCCGCTTCAGGTCCTGAGTTGGAGGCTTCTCCCCCACTGCCCGGGGCGCTGGGCCTGCTTCGGCATGTGCCGCCCCCCCCACCCCCGAAGAACCCGGCCCGGCTGATGGCACTGGCGCTGGCGGAGAGCGCACACCGGGCCACCCGGCAGCAGCAGGGGGTGTCACACAGGGAGCAGCGTGCCCAGTTCCGGCGCTCCCTGTCCCTGGAAGGTGGCAGGGAAGGGGCAGCAGCGGGGCCGGGAACCCTGTACTCTGTGGTGCGCCCTGGCCCTGCTGCCCAGCTCCCTGGTCCCTCTCTGCAGCGCCAGGAGAGTGAGGGGGAACCCCGGGGCCAGCACCAGGAGCGGGCAGGGGGCCCCCAGGTGAGTGGGGGTGGAGGGGAAGGGATCACTGGTTGGGGGATAGGGCGGGAGGGACCCTTAGGGTGTGGGAGGGGAATTTGTGGCTGGGTTGGGGCAGGGGGATTTGCTAGTTCGAACAAGGCAGGTTTGGGGGGGCTGGGAGGAGGGCAGATAGGTGGTAGGGTTTGGGGGGCAGTGGGTTGGCCTGGGGGCAGTAAGTCAGTCAGGTTGAGGTGAGGTTTGGTGGCTGGGGGGATTCAATGGGATTGCGGCTGGGTGGGGGAATAGGGGGTGCAGTGGGGGGGCTACATTGAGGGAATTCAGGCAATGGTGGGTGGATGGGGAGATTGGGGGCTGCAGCAGGGGCAGTTTGAAGGGTTGTGGTTGGGTGGAGGGACTGGAGGATTGGGGTGCAGTGGGGGGCTGTGGCAGGGGTTGTTCGGGGGAATGCAGCAGGGTGGGGGGATGGGATTGGTTGTGCAATGGGAGGGACTGAAGGATTGGGGGTGCAGTGCGGGTGCTGGGGGTACAGTGGGCTGCTGGGGTTGGGGCTGTGATGGAAGGCTGGGGGGTTGACTAGAGGGGGAACTCTATGTGTCTGTGTCAACCCCCCCTTGCTGACCTCCCTTCTCTCTCGCTACAGGTCCCATTGGTCCAAGCCCCTGCCCCGGGTGAAGAGGGGGGCAGGGCCAGCTCAGCAGCCCCTCCCCGTTACAGCAAAGGCCCCCCCGCCACCCACCACTGGGACCCCCCACGCCACCTGCCCTGCCAGACCCAGCCGCTGCCCTTCCCCCAAGTACTGGCCCCTGGCCCCCGCCACCCGCTGGCCCCGCCCAAGCCCCCAGCCCCCCTGCACTTCCATCCCCCACCCGCGGCCTGTCTCAGCGTCACCCCCCCGTGGATGGGCCCCCCCTCCGCCGCCCCTCCGTACCCTGCGGAGCCGCAGCTGCACCAGCGCCCACGCTTCCTGGCTCCCCACCCCCCCAGCGCTGCCCACCCCCCCCAGCGCCCACTACTGGAGCCCGCAGCCGAGAACCTGTACTACGAGATCGTCCCAGAGCCGCCCGTCCACCGGCCCTGGCCTCTGGGCCCCCCGCAACCCCCAGCGCCCCCCGAGTACCTGGCCGCCCTCAACGCCTCCTACGGAGTCTTCCAGCGGCCCAGGCCTGGCCCCTCAGCCCCCACGCCACCCCTCTGGGCCGTCTTTGAGGATGGGCGCGTCCACTACGAGCCACCAGAGCCCGTCTACGTCAACGTCCCCTTTGCTGGTCCTGCGGGAGGGCCAGAGGCCGGGGGGCTCTGCCGTGGCAGGGCCAGCCCCCCCTTCGTCCTCATCCTCTGCCTCGGCCTCCCCTCCGCTGGAGGGCGGGCACCTGCGCAGCCGCTCTGACCCTGGCGCTGCCCGCGCCGCCCTGCGCCGCCCCCCGGTGCCGGCCCTGCCACAGAAGCAGAGGCAGGGCCTGCGGGCGGCACCAGGCTGGGCCTACAGGCCCCCGCCGGTGCCTGGACTTTACCGCCAGCTGCTAGACGTGCTGCCCTGCGGCAGCACCATGCTTCGGTTCTACCGCCCTGCGCCACCTGGCTGGGAGCCAGCCGCCGGCTGCACCACCCCCTTCACTGCCTACGCTGAGCCCTCACCCCGGCCTCCTGCCCTCCTTAGCCCCAGCCTGATGGACGGTTACCGGCTGGGGCCCTGCCCCCCCTACTCCAAGCGCCTGCCCCCCCAGTACGGCAATGTGGAGAGGAAGGAGGGGCCCCCCCCGCCACCCACGTGCCTGGCTCCCAACTGGACGGTGCGCTCTGAGGGGCAGACTCGGAGCTACTGCTGAAGGGGGGCCCAGGCTGGACCACGAGGCTGGAGGACCTGTGTTGAGCCCCCTCCAGGTGCTGACACACCCCCGCCTCCCCCGGGTGGAGGATCTGAGCATTGGCTGGGGTCCATTGCTGAGACAGTCAGGCTGTGACATCACAGGAGGCCCCAATGACATCACAAGGTCTGTATGACACGCCTGAGCTGCTGCAGGACTGGAGTGACATCACAATGGGCTCATCAATGGCAGGAGGATGGGCACTGTGACATCACAATGAGGCCACCAGTGGCAACACGACTGGTACAGTGACATCACAACAGGCCATCAATGGTGTTGGGATGAACACCTGATGTGATGGCAGCCCAATTGCATCACTGCTCCCCCATGATGTAACAGCTGTTCTCCAGTGACATCACCACATCCCGTATGATCTCACCAGGCTGCCGTTGCCATCACACCCAGTATGACATCATTGCCCTCCTTGACTAGGCCTCCACCTGCTGAGGCTCAGCGACCGCATCAGTGTGACATAGGGAGGGGGCAGTGGTGACATCACCAGAACCATGATTGACGTCACTACCTGACTCCACACCCCCCGGGGGGCCAGTGTGGGGCATCAAACTATCAGGGTCTTGCCCCATTGCCAGCCCTGGTAATAGGGGGACCCTCCCTGTCCCCCTGTGTGTAGGGGGGAGGAGGGCTTTTCTATAAAGCTGAGCAAGATTTCTAACGTTTTAACCTTTTATTAACCCAATTAAAACACCCCTGCCCTGAGATGGGATCCCCCAGGGAGAGGGGGGGTGCCAAGGGTAGTGGTGGGAGGCTAAAGGAAAAAAATCCCTCCCCAGCCTACCTGTCTGACCTCCCTGGTCAGCATAGGCTGAGGTGGGGGCATACATACAACCCCCACTCCCGCAGAGTATCTGCCTAGATCTAGGGGTGTGGGGGGTGCCTACTGCCCCCTGCTGGAGGCGCTGAGCCCTGCTCAGGGGGCTTGATGGTGGGTGCTTGGTTGTGTTCGTGGCTGTGGGTGTAGTTTTCTGGTTGTGGCAGTACTGCAGGGGGTGTGGGGGGGTATGTTATGGGGTAGCAGAAGGAACCGGGGGCACCCCCTGGCCCACCCAGTGGCTGAAAGCAGCGATTGCTGGGGGAGGGTGGTGTCTGGCTGATTTTATTGCACTAACTCCCACTGTGACTTTGGGGGATCCCCTGGGAGTTATGACCTTTGACCTCCCCATACCCTGTAACCCCCCCCAACCCCATGATAAAGGGGCAGTGCTGGGCCCAGTGTGGGTGGGGTTACTCTGGGAGTGCTGACCTCCACCAACACCCCAATCCTATAAACCCCGCCCCCCTCCCAGCCAAAGTCCCACCGATAGTGGGGGGGCTAATCCTGGTTCACCTAATTCAGCCCCATCCCCACTGCAGGGCCCTGGGGTGCTGACTGACGTGGGCGGGGGGGGGCAGGGTGCTGCTGTGACTGTTCCCCTGGTGAGTGTATTTGTTGAAGATCCTCCCCTCCCCCCATTCTGTACTAAATGGTTTCAACCAACCCCATTAACTAATAAAGACCAAAAAAAAACCCCACCCCAAACTGCCCATGTAGTTCCTCCTTCTCAGAACACAGGAACTAGGGGGTCACCCAATACAATGACTAAGCAGCAGGTTTAAAACAAACCAAAAGAAGCACTTCTTCACACAACGCACAGTCACCCTGTGGAACGCCCTGCCAGGGGACGTTGTGAAGGCCAAGGCTATAACAGGGTTCAGAAACAAACTAGATAAGTTCCTGGAGGATAGTCCATCAATGGCTATTAGCCAGGATGGGCAGGGATGGTGCCCCCAGCCTCTGTTTGCCAGAAGCTGGGAATGGGCAACGGGATGGATCACTTGTTCTGTTCATTCCCTCTGGGGCACCTGGCATTGGCCACAGTTGGAAGACTGGATCTTCGGTCTGACCTAGTATGGCCGTTCTTATGTTCTTCAATTTGGGGGTAGGGGCTGGAAGCCAGGACTCCTGAGTTCTGTCCCCAGCTCTGGGATCAGGAGAGGAGTGGGGTCGAGTGGTTACAGGGGTGGGGCTGAGAGCCAGGATTCCTGGGTTCTATCCCCAGCTTTGGGAGAGGAGTGAAGGCTAGAGGGTTAGAGTGGGGCTGAGTGTGATGGAGTGGGCATTCGGTTTCCCCGTATGCTGCATTGCTAACTAGGTGGTGGGACAAGGTGGGTGCATCACTGCACAGCCCCAGTGTGGATGCTCAGCTGGTTGGGGCTGGGCCCACTCTGGGCGTACACGTTGCCCTTGGGATCCCACCAGCGGACTTGCTGGAGAGAGCACCTGGTGGGGAGCAGGAGGCCCTAAGGTTCAGTCCCAAGGGATAGAGAAGCCAAGTGGCTTCCCCTGGTGGCTGAGTGAGACCATAAGGGGGGCGGGCCTGTGGGTGCCCACCCCCAGGGCACTAGGCCTGCAGAGCTGTGACAGGTGGTCACAGGTCGCAGTGGCTGGATGGATGTTGAAGGGCCTGGCAGTGGGAAATGGCCTGTAGCCAGTTCCCCCCAGCTGTGCCGGGAGCAAGGGGAGGCACGGGGAGGCTCAGCAAGGTGCAGAAGGGCACACGATCCGAGAAGCAGGTTCCAGGCCCAAGTGGGGGGTCACGAGGCGCTGGGAGCAGGAGAGGCAGCTGCTGGGCTTCCCCCAGACCCGGTTCCCCATCTGGCAGGGGAGTTTCATGCCCTGGCTGCCCCGCCCGGGAGCTGAGAGTGAAGGAGCTGGAGGTGCGGGAGAAGTAGTGGAAGCATAAACTGGCGATGGAGACGCAGAGAGGCAGAGGGACCTACCAAAGGACAAGTTGGGAAAGATGCCACTTCCACAGGGAACCTAGATACCGGCGGTGCGGGGGGGGGGGGGGGGGGAGAGAGAAGGGGGCATATAGACAGCTCCTTGCTGGGGGGAAGGCCTGTGATATGACCCTGGCTGCACCTTCAGCACGGCTCCACTCACTCACCCCAGGTACGTCTCCGCAAATGGGGCAAGGATGCAAGCATTGCTGGGGGGGGGGGGGGCAGGCATGTTTCACCTGGCTGGGTTGGCGCAGCTGGGTGAAATCCAGCCTCGGGACCTGACAATGGGGTTAGGGGGGCCGTAAGCCCAAGGATCTGCGCAGGGCATGCAGGCAGGCAGCTGTGTTTGCAGACAGTGTGAAGAGACCCACAGGGGACTGGCCTAGGTTGGGGGGGGTCACTCAGGGCACCCCAGAAGTGGGAGTCAGGCAAATCCAAACCAGGGGTGATGGCCACTGGGGACAGACTGCAGAGACCTAAGCTGTAATTAGTCCGGGCAAACAGGGCCCAAGTGGGCACGGTGCCCGAAGGTTAAGGAATTAGTGGCCAAGCAGAAGGGTTAACTGGGGAGGGAGCCCAGCCGGGGGGGGTGGGGGCGCACCAGCTTCCCAGGGGTGGGCGCCAGGAGCACTCAATTTACAGGGTGGGCAGACCCAGGAAGCAATCGCTACATCCCCCCTTGAGGTGGAAGGGAGGAGGGTCCTGGGGTACCAGGCCATTGGTGCTGAGATGATGGTGGCCTGGCCCCAGGTGGTGGGCTTGGCCCAGTTAGTGCCCAATGATACCTCATTCGGGGGGGATTGGCCCCCGGTTACAGTGCCTGTAGCGAGGGTCTGAGATGGGGCGCCAAGGAGGGGCCCAAAGAGTTGGGATGCAGGCAGGGCTGATGGGGAATGATCTGGCAGCTTGGCTGGGTGATGTCCAGAGTGCCCATGTCCTTCCCTGGAGCTAGAGCCAGACGGCCACCCCGCCTTGGTGCCAGGGGAACGGCTCTACCGGGCTTAGCAAGGCTGAGCTCAAGGCTTTGTCTTAAGGTGGGGAAACCAAGGCACAGCCAGCGAGGGCCAGGACCCCAGGCCAGCGAGGAGGGACAATTCCCACCCTCTACCCCAGCAGCCAAATTTCAGCCGGAGCTGCAGAAGGATCCCTGCTTGGAGGAGCTGAGGGCCCTGACTGGCTGCAGCGCAGCAGGACCCCTGAAGGAGGCCAGCAGGGCTGGATTCCTGTGGGAGAAGTGATTCCTGGAGCGGGTTCCCAAGGGAAAATTGAACGGTGGGGGATCAGGAGGCAGCTGGGTGGGGGGTCCCCCAGAAGGGCCGCTGCTGACTATTGTACATGGCCTTTGACAGGACATCCAGAATCCTGTGTGACACAGTCAGGCAGCACTGCAGGTCCCATGACCCCTGCCAAAGGGTGGGGAAGGCCCAGAATAAGCTAAAGCAGCCTGGAGACCCCTGCCCATCACAGAGGGACCTGTTCAGAAGGTGGCTGTGGACATAGTGGGGCCCCTCAGAAGGGTGACTCGGGCCAGGAAGAAATACATTCTGGTGGCAGTAGATTTCACCACCCAGAGGCGGTGGCTCTGTTCTCCAGCGAGGCAGACACATGGCAGATGTGCTGCTGACCATCTTCATAGAATATCAGGGTTGGAAGGGACCTCAGGAGGTCATCTAGTCCAACCCTCTGCTCAAAGCAGGGCCAATCCCCCACTAAATCATCTTCAGCAGAGTGGGGTTCCCCCAGGAGGTCCTTACAGACCAGGGGTACAGTTTCATGCCAGCCCTGCTTCAGGGCTGTGGGGAAAATATGGGGGCTGGCCCATCCCCCTCAGTCCAACGGGCAGGCCCAGAGGTTTAAGGGGACCCTGAAGCTGATACTGAGGACTTCTATGGCCCAGCACCCACAGGCTGGGGACAGGTATCTACCCCCCCTGCTGTTTGCACACTAGGAAGTGCCCCAGGAACCCACAGGGATCCTTTTGAGTTGCTCTGCTGGGGGAGAGTGAGGGGACCCCTGGACTTGGTGAGGGATGAATTGGAGGGGAAGGTCTCTCCCAACAGAGAACCAGTGGTGGAGTACATGCTGTCCTTTCAAGAAAGGCTCACTGAGCTCATGGTCTGGGCCAGGGAGAACCGAGCCCGGGCCCAAGGGAGGCAGGTCGTCTGGTATGACCGCACAGCACATGTTCGCTCCTCCACACTGGGGACGGTTCTCAGCCAAGTGCAGCAGAATGAGCTACAAGCTGTCTGGGATGGGCCCTTTAAAGGTCCTCACAGAACTGAATGAGGTGAACTACATGGTGGTACTGTCCAAATGGGTCCACAGCCCCCAAGTGTGCCATGTCTACAGGCTGAAGCTGTATTTGGACAGGGAGAGGTTGGTGCTGGTTGTGTGTGGGCAGTGGGAGAAGGAGGAAGATAGTCCTGAGATCCACCAGGGTGAGCCAGCCTCCTGATAGAATCAATTTCCCTCTCTGACCAGCTAACCCCTGCCCAGCAGGTAGAGATCAGAGAGGTGCTGCATTCCTAGCAGCTGCTGTTCTCCAGCTGGCCTAGGCTCACTAACGTGGCTGTCCATGGGGTGGACACAGGAGCCAACCCTCCCATCAGGTGATCCCCATTCAGAGTTACTGGGAACACAGCCCAGGCCCTGGAGAGAGGGGTCAGGGACATGCTGGCCCTAAGAGTTTCCCCAAAGAAGGGTCAGTCAGATCCAGTGTGGACTAGCAGCAGCTCAGGGACATCACCATGTCTGACACCTGCCCCACGCCTGGGATGGATGAGATTCCAGGCAAGCTGGGAGACCTGGTTCCTTACCAACACTGACCTCACCATGGGCCACCCGCCAGTGCCCTTGGCCCCAGCCACCTGGCTGAAGTCTGCCTTCATGACCCCAGTTGGGCTCAGTGAGTTCCTGGGCCTCCCTTTTGGGCTCCTGGGGAGGCCTGTCCGTGCCAGGTGGGCTAGTCACTGAGGGGGAGGGAGGACTTGGCCCAGGGCTACACTGACCCTAGCTGAAGCGGGAGCTGGGCGAGGCATCAGACCTCGGTCACAAAATGGGCAGCAGCTGCAGCTGGCCTGAGCCAAGGTGGAGATAATGAGAGACTGGCCTCAAGTAGGCTGGCAGAGGCACTCCTAGAGGTGTGCCCCCAGGAGTGCCCATGGGGAAGCGGGAGCAGGACAGGGTGCTTTGGCCTGAGTAGTGCCAGGGGCTCCAAGCCGGGCCCCATTCTGAGACCCCCCCCCCCCGACTTTGCCACACCCATCCTGGTGTTCACAGCTGCCTCGGGGCTGGGCGTGGTGCAGATGACGGAGCATGTACCCAAGCAAGAGCCAGCTTCCCCTGGAGCAGAGCTGTGCTGCCAGACGGCCTGGGCTCCGAGAGCTGCCGCAGATCAGGGTGGGCAGCACCTGATGGTGCTCCCAGCCACTCTCCAGCTGAACGGGGCTGGGGCCGAGCTCCTGAGCTGGTGCCCCACCCTTGCGGCATTCAGAACTGAGTCACATTAATGGGCAGGGGACCCTATAGCAGCTGCCTTGCCATTGCTAGGAGAGGGTGAGGATGCAGCAAACGCAGTACAAGCTCTGTGCTGGGCAGGGCCAAGGCTGCAGGGCCCCACAGTGCCCTCAGTGGGCTGGGCAGGAACAGCTCAGCACTAGAGGGCAGCATGGTAAGAGCTGCTGTGACACCTAACTTCCTGCCCCCGCCCCAAGTGCTGCAGCTGGGGAGCCCCCCTGGGAGCCAGGGCCCCTAGGGTCCAGCCCTGACTTCCCCACACAGTCTCACCCCAGAGAATGGGGTGGGGGCCACCCCAGGAGCTGCCAGCCCCAAAGGGGGCCTAAGCTGTTGCTGAAAAATTCACAGCCCAGCTGAGGGCAGCCAGGCAGGGGATGTAACTGCTCCCCCTGGGGAGCAGGCAGCTGTTCCCATTCAAAGGGGAAGGGCCCCCATGCTGCTGGGGCAGGGGACATCCCACCCAGGCACCAACACCAGTGCACAGCAGCCTGCTGTCACAGACCAGGGACATTTACAACCCCACCTCAGGGCCCTGGCCCCCAGCACCGCCCCTCCCTGCCCCCCAGCACACAGACCCAGATGGATTTTTCAGGGGATTTAATGGAGACATTTTAAAAAGATCAGAAGTCAGCAGGGGTGTTTTACACAGTGATCAGCTCTCCTGAGGTGCTGCCTCCAACCCCCAGCCACCACGATGGGGTCAGGAGCAGGGCTGACAGGGGCCCAGGTGGTCACCAGGATGGTCTCCCCAGCTCAGAGAGAGAGGCTGGGGCTGGCTGGCTCCCTCCCCTCACTGACTCCACAGGTGGCAGGTCAAAGGAGCCCTGCCACACAGCAGGTGTGTGTGTGGGGGGGGTCACAGCGTGGTGTAATGGTACATGGCCAAGAGCATCACTGGGCACTGCGGGGAGAGAGAGACCCTCAGATCATACCCACCAGTCCACCTAGCCCATTGGCCCATCTGCCCTGGTATCCCATCTTCCAAACCTGCCCCCCTCCCCCAAGCCCATCTGCCCCCCTGGTATCCCACATGCTGAAGAGTATTTAGAACCTCCCCTCCCAGGCAGGATTCGCCCCCCACACACACACACTCCCTCCCTCCCCAGCCCAAGTTGGAGCCCAGACCCACCGTGAACATGAGGATGGCGAATCCAAACCAGGAGATGCCCCAGGTGTAGCTGTTAATGGCGTTTTCAATGTGCTCAAAGCAGCCCTAGGGAGACAGACGCTGAGTCCCGCACAGATGGACATCTGGGTAGGGAGTGGGGGCTGGAGGAGGGACTGGAAACCAGGACTAAGGCAGAGCTAAGTAGTTGGGTGCCAAGGAACAGCAGGGGGCTGTGGGTTGGGAGTGTGGGGTACTGGCAGAGATGGTGGGGGAGCCCAGGGTGCTGGCAGAGCTGAGGGGGCAGGGCTGGGCAGCACCCCTTACCTTGGTGTTGATATAATCCACATGCCCCACACGGCAGCCCTCTGGGCTGAGGATGACAAAGTTGGCGTCGCGCTTGCAGCAGAGGAAGGGCCAGGGCGCCAGCCCCTCGGGGTAGAAGGAGCGGAAGGTGGACGTATGGTTCACCCAGTCCAGGGGGCCTGTCGCGCCACAGCACTGTTGCTGTGTGGGGGTGGGGAGAACAGATGACACCTGTTAGCGCTGCCCCCTTCCCAAAGCCCCTCCTACCCAACGTGCCTGGTCCCCCCCTGCCTCCTACCCAACGTGCCTGGTCCCCCCCCGCCCCTTCTCTGCCAGGCTCCCCTCCACCCCACCACACAGTCCTGAGCCCCAGAGCCCACCATGAATATAGGGGGCATAAAGCTGAGCACAGCCCCCACCCCGCCCAGGATCAGGCCTCCTCCTCCATCTGCTGCAAAGGAACAAGAAAGGGTTAATCTAGCCCTCCTAGCCAAGGCTTTCATCCCTGGGGTGAACAACGCCCCCAAACCCCACCCCCTTGCTGGCCTCCCAGCTAGGGTTGCCAACTTTCTACTCCCACAGAACTGAACACCCCAACTCACTCCCCCACCCAAGGCCCCCCATCCTCACTCATTTTCACTGGGCTGGCTCAGGGGGCTGAGGTGCAGGATAGACTGAGGGCTCCAGCTGGGGGTGCAGGTTCCAGGGATGAGGAGTTTTGGGTGCAGGAGGGGTCTCTGGATTGGGGGTGGAGCCAACAGGTTTGAGTATGGGAGGGAGGCTGAGGTAGGGGGTTGGGGTGCGGGAGGGGGTGAGGGATCAGGGCTGGGGTGCAGGAGGGCATCAGGGTGCAGGCTCCAGGCAACGCTTACCTCAGGCGGCTCCTGGAAGCAGCAGCAGGTCCCCACTCTGGCTCCTTCGCAGAGGCACGGCCAGGCAGCTCTGGGTGCTTCCCCCATCTGCAGGCACCAGCCCCACAGCTCCCATTGATCATGGTTCCTGGCCAATGGGAGTTGCTGAGCCGGGGCTTGGGGAGGGGGCAGCATGTGGAGCCCAGGACCAGCTCTACAATTTTGCCACCCCAAGCAGCAAAAAAACTCCACCCCTGCCGAATACGCTGCTGGAGGAGAGAACTGGAACATTGGAGGAAGCTGCCGCTGAATTGCCGCCGACAGCGAGCCCTGAGTCAGAAGAGTCGCGGCGGGAAACAATGGAGAGGTGCTGCAGCCAGAGTGCCACCCCTTCAGCGTGCTTAGCTGGTGCTGAGAGCCAACCCTGCGTGGAGCCCTGGCTGCCCTTACACATAGGAGCTGGATGGGGACATGCTGCTGCTTCTGGGAGCCACAGGGAGCCTGCCTTGGGCCCACTGCACTACCAGCAGCCAGCGGGGGGGGGGCCCGCATCACAGGGCAGGCTAGACCCACCTCCATCATGATCCGGTCCCACATGCGGGTCAGCTCCCGGCCCTGGGCTGTAGGGGCCGCGTAGAATGTCAGCATCTGCTTGGTGACCATCCTGTGATTGGAGACCACCTGGAGGGGCAGGAGGGACCCATGGGGGCAGGGCCAGGCTGAGGCCCTCATGGGCCCATCCCCCAGCCTGCCCCGCCAGCCTAGGTATCCTGACTCCCAGTCTCCCCCCGCCCCCAGAGCTGGGATACATCCCAGATGTCCTGGTCCCCAGTCCCCCAGCTCTACACACTAGACCCTCCCTCCCAGGGAGGGAACCCCGGTGTCCAGATGCCACACTCACGAAGTCACGGTGGGTGTAGGAGGTGATGCAAGAGGCACATTCGAAGATGTAGACTATCAGCATCAGTACCAGGTACTGGGGGAGAAGAGAAGAGAGCTGGTGAGACACTGCTGTGGGGGGCATGAACCCCTGAGGGCCCCCCCCATGGCCCAGGCTGCCTCACTGATTTCACCCCTCCCTGCCCCCAGGACACTCCTCTCTCAAACTCCCCCTTAGGTCTTCCCCCCAGTCAGTAATACCATGTGGCTGCCCTGCACCCGCCCCCCAATCAGCCGTTTGCCCCATGGCACAATCCTCCTACTCTCCAGTGCCCCCCAAGCAGCCACCTCCTGCCCCACAATGCCCCCCATACAGATTTCCCTCCCCCAGCACCTGCCCCACAGCACCCCCATACAGCCCTCCTCCCAACATGGCCCCGCCCCAGTCACCAGCATGAGCTGCAGGCGGCTGCCCCTGGCCAGGGCCACAATGCCGAAGACGCCAAGACAGAAGAAGGCGAAGCCGCAGAAGATGGCGATCCAGGCACCGGCGTAGACGTCATCCTTGCCCGACACACCCAGGATGGGGTAAACCTTGTATTGGTCGGCTGTGACCCAGACAGTCTCCGCATAGAGCGCGATGCCGCACATCTGGGGACAGGGTTTGGGGTGAGCCCTCAGACCCTGAACTTCAGCCCCCAACCCATCCCCTACACTGCATGTCTGGGGCAGGGTGGGGGGGGGGGATGAGCCCCAGGACCCCAAACTCCACCCCCATGCAACCCCCCCCCAGAACTCAGGCCACACATCTATGGGGTAGGGGGTTAGGGGAAGGGGTACGAGTGCCCTGGGACTCCCAAGTCTGGCCCAGCCCCCTGAACCCCCCATGGCATACAGCACCAGCCCAGCCAGCTGTGAGGGGATCCTTTAGAAATTCAAATTCCCAGAACCCCCAAATAGCCTCAACACCCCAACCTCCAAAGCCCCACATACCCACCCCCCTCAGCCTGGCAGGCTCCCCAACCACCTCACCAGGATGATGATGTTCCCAAGAATCAGCAACCCCACAATAAAGGGGTTTCCTTTTTCCATCATGTTCTGCCTTTAGGGGGGAGGCTCTGCCAGCTCAGACCCTGCAACAGACAAGGGGGTTTAGAGACCGAGTGCCACCCCCAATCCTGCAGAGGGGGCATCTGAATTGGCATGCTAATTTATGCTGCTAGTTTATGCAAATGCAAGCCCCCACCCCAAAGTGAGCCTGGAGTTCTGTTCCCCCTCACCCCCCAGAGCCTGCACCAAGTCCAGAGCCAGCCACAGCAAGCATTGACAGACCCTGGGGCGGGGGGGGGGGAAAGGTGTCAGAGGCATCAAGGCCAGTCTGGGTCAGCACCCCAGCACAATGCTGGCCTTCAGGGGGTCACAGCCCCACAAGTGGCCAGAGAGGTCTGGATCCTCCCCTGGCCTCACTGTCCACCCCCTCCATGGGCTCACTGCAGCCCATCCCAGGGACTCACCCAGCCAGATTCCTCTGGCCCCAGGGGAGCTCAGCAGGTTTTTCCAGCTGCCCCACATTTCTTCCCCCCCAAGCATTTTACAGATTCCCTTCCCAGGCACACCCAGCCCCCCAAGCCAGAGCCCCTCCCCACTAGCCCCCACTCCTGTGCCAGAGCCAAGGAGGGAACCCATGAGTCCTGGCTTCCTTCCAGAGCTTAGAAGTGAGAAGTCTTCACCCCTCCAACATCTGTTACATGCCCCACAGCCCCCCCACACCCAGTACATCCCCTTGCTCCTATCAACCCCATCAGCACCACCTGTTCCCTACACAGCTGCTCCCTTACTCCCCACCTGTCAGCCCAGCCCCCCACCTCACCCATTGGCTTGCCTCTGCCCCCCAGCCCTGCTCATCCCCCCACTGCCCTCACCCGAATCAGCCACAGCCCAGCCCCCCACCTCACACATCACTCTGCCCCAGCCCTGCTCATCCCATCAGCCAGGTCCCAGCCCCGGTCCCCCACCTCACCCATTGCTCTGCCCCCCAGCCCACTCACCTGCTGTTCACTCCTGCAATAGCTGACTATAGCCCCAGCCCAGCCACCCCTTTATACCCACCTGGCTGGGAGGAGCCAGCGAGGGAAGCCCCAGGCTGGGCTGATTAGCAGCCAGGGGCAAGAGGTCCAGAGTCCCGTCCCACCCCAGCCAGGCTCCACCCCCAGCCCTGCAGCTCCCAAAGGGTTAATGGGTCCCTCCTACAGTGGGTGGGCTGGGGAGGGAGATAGGTTTGGGAGCCGGGCTCGTGGGGGGGTGGCACCACTGTGGGAAGGCACCCCCATGGGCAGCCCCTCCCGCACACCACAATGGTTCTCCTGCCCCAGTGTGTCCTTAGCATCTCCAGCAGCACCGGGAACACCCCATTGTTCCCCCGAACACGATCCATCTGGGCACCGCCCTTTCACCCTGGTGCAGAACATGCCACAGTTCAGATACAGGCCTGTTTGCAGCTGGCTGAGGAGGGGAGGTCTTGTATCCCCACCCCCAAACCCAGGGTGCTATGTGAATGGGGATATGTTGAGGTCTTGTAAACTCATCACACGTCAGAGTAGAGGGTGGTGACCGTGGGAGGCTAGTGGCAGGATAATTACCAAGATTCATGGCTGCTGAATTCAGGATTCCTGAGTTATATCCCCTGCTCGGGGAGGGGAGGGGGGGGTCTAGTAGGTTGGAGCTGGGAGCCAAGACTCCTTGGTTCTACCCTGGCTATGGCAGGGGAGTGGGATCTAGTGGATTAGAGCCGGGGGTCTGGGATTTGGGACTTACGAATCACAAGTTTTGTCCCGGCTCTCTGAGGCCGCTGCATTGTAATAGTTTGAGGAAGGGGCCCAAAGCTCCAAGTCAGAGCACATCCCATCTGAAAGGTGGCACATGGGGGTGGCTCCGAGTCTGTCCTGGCCTGGGCAGCAACCTCGGCTAAGACAGCAGTAGGCCATGGCTGCCCGAATGAGCAGGGACAGGGCCTTGTCAGTGACTGGGGCTGTGGTGCTCCTGGACAGAAGACCTGCTGGCCTTAGGCTGAGCCCAGGCTCCCAGCAGAGAGCTCCTTCCCCTCGGATCCAACACAACCCGAAGAGCTGGGGCTGCCAACCTGAGCCTGAGAAGGAGCCAGGATGTACCAATGTACATTGCCAAAGAGCCCCAGTACCACGTCAGGTCCCACCCACCCCACTCCCAGCCGGCAGCCCTGCCAATCAGCGCTGGCTGGGGATGTGGAGTGAAGGGCAGACGTGTTTGTCTGGCTCACGGCCACCCAAAATGGACCCAGCTGAGGGGTCCTGTTCTCTGCACCTACAAGCTCTGTGTTAGACCATGTTCCTGTCGTCTAATAAACCTGGTTTTACCAGTTGGCTGAGAGTCACGTCTAACTGTGGAGTTGGGGGGCAGGACCCTCTGGCTTCCCCAGGATCCCGCCTGGGCGGACTCGCTGTGGGAAGCGCATGGAGGGGCAGAGGATGCTGAATGCTCCAAGGTCAGACCCAGGAAGGTGGAAGTTGTGTGAGCTGTGTGTCCTGGAGACAGTCTGCTCATGGAGAGGAGACTTCCCCAGAGTCCTGACTAGTGAGGGCGTGGCAGGCTCAGGGGAGGGGGCAGGAAGGGGTGGAGTGGAGGCAGGGCCTGGGCAGAGCCAGGGGTTGAGCAGTGAGCCCCCCCGGCACAGTGGAAAGTTGGTGCCTGTAACTCCAACCCTGGAGTCGGTGCCTAGACAAGAGCTGCATGTGGCTCCGGAGCCACAGGTTGGCCACCCCTGCCTAATAGCTTGAGCAGCACAGCGTCCCCTAATGCTGTACTGGGCCAGCAAGAGGTGAGCGAGCCTACTGAGCCCCCTGGTGCACCCTGCTGAGCTAGGCAACCCCTGCTGAACCCCCCCACCTGCTCCCTGCACCACAGCACCCATCCTGAGCCCTGCCCCCCCCTCCTTGCAGCATGGCACCCCTCGCCGAGCCCCCGCCCCCTCCCTGCAGCACCATGCTCCCTATTGAACACCCTACATCACAGCGCCTCCTAGCTTTAACACCCCATGTGGCAGCATCTCTCCTTGCCCTGCCTCCCCCAACTTCAAGCAGCACAGACAGTCCAGGCACAAGGTGGGTTTCAGGAAGTGACAATATTTTATTAGTTGGGGTGGCGGCCGGGTGGTACAAACCCCCCCCCGCTCCCAGCGGGTGATATTCTGCATCTCGCCATTCCCAGCTGGGTGAGCCCCGAAGAGTGCGAAGGAGAGCGAGCAGCCTGGGAAATAGCACACACCTGGTGCTCTGCAGCCAGGGCACAGAAGGATTAAAGAGAGGCAGGCACATGGGTGGGGGGGGCAGAGACGTGGTGGGTAGGTGTGTTTGGTGGGCAAACACCCTCTTCCTGTCATCCCTCCCTTCTCTAATCACAGACATACGAAATAGGGGCACGCCAACAGCTGGGGGGGCTATATAAGGGGTGGAATGATCAAGGGGACCCCTCCCCCTGGGGTGCCACTCGTGGGGAGAGGGATAAGTCCCCATGGTCGTTGGTTTGCCCCCCCCTCCCCCAAGGAGCGCAGGTGGGAAGTGCCAGCGCCACTGCAATCTCCCTCCTCCCAGCGATGAAGTTGATGCAGCTCCTGCAACACCCCCTGCTCCAGGGGATAAGATGGTAAATCCCCAATGCAACCCCCCGCTCCAGGGGCAAGATAGTATATCCCACGGCAAGTGTAAAATGTGGCACCTTAGAGACTAACACATTTATGTGAGCATAACCTTTCACGAAAGCTCACGCTCAAATAAATGTGTTAGTCTCTAAGGTGCCACAAGTCCTCCTGTTCTTTTTGCGGATACAGACTAACAGGGCTGCTCCTCTGAAACAGGTGTAAAATGATAGCTCCCGCCTGTATCAATCTGTGCCTTCTACAGGTGACACTATGGTATATCCCGAATACCCCCTAAATGCGGCAGGTGGTACATCCTCTCAGACTCCTCCCAACAATAAAACCCAGCCCCAGAGCAAAGGCGAATCCCCCAGACCTCGGGACCATGGGCGCTCCGTTACTGGTACGAAACGCAGAGGGAACAAAGGACGAAACCCAGTGTGCACGGAATTTTACGCAGAGAAAATAAATTACCCTCATTTTTTATTTCGTTAACCCCTCCATCTACCCCCCTGCAGGGAGTAAGATGGTATGTCCCAAATACACTCCCACCCCCAATGGCAAGCGACAAGATGGTATATCCCAAATACCCCCCACCCGCAGCAGGCACGATGAGATATCCTAACTGTTCCCCCCACCACTCCAGAGGGTAGATGGTATATCCCCAATGCCGCCCCTCCCTGCAGGGAGTAAGATGGTATATCCTGTTTCCGCCGTTCTACTGAGTTGGGGAGTTTACGTGTGTGGAGTTAGATTGAACACACGTGTTCATACAAATTGGCAGGGAAGGGGGCAAGTGTAGGCTCTGGAGACCCAGGGCGCCGCTGTCTGGTCCTGCCTCCTCCAGGCACCGTGCTCTCCAGTCATGGGAGGTGGATTTACCCTATCCCATTCCCCCATCCCACTTCCCCCCCAACCACCACCCCGCCCCACAGGCAGTTCATATCCCACCAACTGAATGGACTGGCCCCGTGAAGCCCTCCCCACGGTGGAGTTGAGAATGATGGGTTTATCCACCCCTCTCTGACTCCCCATTAAAGTGCAGCTGAATATAGTAGTGGGGGATTTGGGGAGCGGGGTGTGTGTGTCCCTGCCACCCCCTACTGGAGGGGATGAGCCCTGCTCTGTGTATGTCCATCCAACCCCCATCCAGCTTTGAAATAAATTAAAGTACAACTAAAACAAGGAGGAGTCTGGGGGCACCTTAAACACTAACAGTTATTTGGGCATAAGCTTGCATGGGTAAAAAAACACTTCTTCAGATACATGGAGTGAAAATTACACATACAGGCATTTCACTCCATGCATCTGAAGAAGAGGTTTTTTACCCACAAAACTTTATGCCTAAATCCATGTATTAGTCTTTAAGGTGCCACTGGCCTCCTCGTTTCTGTGGATACACGCTAAGATGGCTACTCCTCTGATACTAAGTACAGCTAGTGAAGGGGGGGGCATAATATGGGTGTACCTAACAGCCAGGTGGTGAGCTAACAGCACATGGATTTGGATGCAAGTGTTGCTGTGTGCAGGGTTGGCTGTAGGTTATGGTGCCATGTCTGCGCTGTGTGAGCATAGGGCTCAGCGTTGCCCGTGGGAGTGGGTGAACGTTGATAGGGTGCTGTGTGTAGCTGGGGTGCTGTGTGCACGCACACACATTAGAAACACCTAGAAAAAACACCTCCCTGAACAGCCCAGTTGATGGGATCGACCCTCACAGCCCACCCAAAGCTCTCCTCGTTGTAGGGACATGATTCCATGTGGGTTGAGTGGATTGTTTAGAAACCAGGGCGGGGGAGGGGGAAAGGGGCTGTGGGAAGCACTAGGGGTAGGGTTGTCAGGGGCTGGGAAAACACTGGAGGGAGACACACTGTGGGGGTGGGTAGCATTGTGGGGGGCAGTGGGCAAAGGGGAGATGGGACGGGAAGGCATGGGGGGGGGAAGCGGATTTAATCCTCTCCTGTCAGTGTTGGGGGAGGGTTTGTGAATGCTTCACGCTGTGTCCCCCCCACTGCCCCTCCCGCCCATGGTGCAGTCAGCCTCTCAGTGCATCTCCTCGAAGAATTTGTAGGTGGGGTTCTCGTAGCCGTGGTTCTGCATCTTGCTGAGCTGCCGCTCCTCGGGGCTCACCATGGGGTCCACCTGCCCCAGGGATGGAGACAGACAGACACAGAGGTTAGGGGTGTCGGGGCTGGAGGCTCCACCCCCTTTCCCCACAAGTGAAAAGATTTAGGGTGACTACTCCCAAACCTCATTGCTAGGAGGCAGCACAGTGGGGCTGGGAGCCGGAACCCCTAGGTCTCTCCCCAGCTCTGGGAGGGGAGTGGGGTCTAGTGGGTCAGAGCGAGGTGGGGGTCTAGAAGCCAGGACTCCTGGGTCTGTCCCGAGCTCTGGGGGAAAGTGGGGTCTAGTGGGTCAGAGCAAGGCCAGGGGCTGGAAGCCAGGACACCTTTGGCTCTGCCTGGCTGTGCCACCCCACCCTGTCCCCTATGAGGGCAGCAGTCCCTGTGAGGGGTTGAAGGGGTCGTTACCTCGACAATGCCGTGGCTGATGGTCCCATAGGGCTTCCGGCGAACCATCAAGAGACTGATGATGATCACCATGGCGACTGCCACTGCCACCACCAGCAGGCCAATCAGGGCACCCCTGTTAATGGTTACCAGGGTGTCCGGCTCCTGTGGGGGACAGAGAGAGTCATGTTCCACCTCCCCCTTCTTGGTAGACTCACTGGGGGAGGCTGGGGGGCTTAGCAGGTGGGAGTCCCACAGCCTTAGACGGAGGAGCCCCAGTTTAGGGTTCAGGTTAGTCTCACCCCCCATCCCCTCTGAGGGGGGGTGTGCGGATCAGGGACACCCTAGACTTTCTAGGGTTCGTGATGGGGCGAGGTTGCAGCAGCTGGGGGTGCACAGCAGAAGGACTGGGGCTGCAGAGGGGGGAAGCACTCAGCAGCAACTATAGGAAGAGGTTTCAGAGGAACAGCCGTGTTAGTCTGTATTCGCAAAAAGAAAAGGAGTACTTGTGGCACCTTAGAGACTAACCAATTTATTTGAGCATGAGCTTATAGGAAGAGGTGTTACTAGACGGGGATTGTGTCCAGTGGTGGTGGAGGGGCAAGTGAGCAGCAGGCACCATCGCAGGGGCGGCAAGCTAAAGGGTGCACACAGCTGTGGGGGCATCAATGCAAAGGGGGACATTGTGGTAGAATGTAGGCAGCTGTGTGCGCACGCGGGAGTGGAGGGGCTTAAGGGAGAACCACATGGGGGAGGCCATGCTGCAGGGGGCCTGAGATGCGGAGAGCACATGGCAGGGCCATGAGAAGGCAGCACTACAGGGGGAGACAGTTTCAAAATGCACATGGTGCAGGGGGACACAGTTGCAGGTCCCACACAGCGGGGGGGGCGGGGAAGTCAGCACTGCAGGGGGACACAGTTGCAGGTCCCCCACGGCGCGGGGGGGGGGGAGGCAGCGCTGCAGGGAGACACAGATGTGGGGCACAGGTGGCAGAGTGGGGGGAAGGCAGCGCTGCGGGACAATAGTTTCAAGGCGCATGCCAGGTGGGGGGAGGCAGCGCGACAGAGGGACACAGTTGCAGAGTGCACACAGCAGGGGGGAAGGCAATACTGCACAGGGACACAGATTCAGAGCGCACATGGCGGGGGGAGGCAGCACTGCAGGGGGACACAGATGTAGGGCACATGCAGCAGAGCGGGGTGGGGGGAGGCAGCGCTGCAGGGGGACACAGTTGCGGGGCACAAAGGCACACCCAGCAGAGCGGGGTGGGGGAAGGTACACTGCAGGGGGACATACTTGCAGGGCACACACAGCGGGGGGTGGGGGTAGGCAGTGCTGCAGGGGGCACAGATGTAGGGCACACGCGTCAGAGCCGGGTGGGGACAGGGAGCGCTGCAGGGGGACACAGTTCCAGAGTGCACACAGCGGGGTGGGGGGAGGCAGCGCTGCCGTTGCGGATGTCGCAATTGCTCACCAGCTCGTCGCGCTGGATCTCCGGGGACTTGTACACCACTTCCTTGATGTCCCCCATGGAAATGTTTACCTAGGGGGTATGGGGAGATAGAGACATTAGAGCTGAGAGGGAGCACCTATCCCTCCATGGCAACAGGGTGCAAAGTACTGTGTGTAAATGGTGCTTAGCCGCACACCCCTTCCACACTGCCATCATACAGTCTTAGAGGAGATCATGTCTCCCATAATGCACTGTGCCCTCATTCCATTCAGGGGGAGTCACATCAAGCTGCTCCCACAATGCAGATCTCCCATCATGCATTGCACCCACATCCCCAGCTGAGGGGGGGGGTCATGTCAAGCTGTGCCCTCATTCCATCCAGGGGAAGGTCTTGTGCACCCCAGAGTGGCTGTTCCCCTCCCACCCCTACTCACTAATGTGGGGTGGCCCCCGAGTCCCCAGTCCTGCTCACCCTCTGCTCATCCTCGCCCAATGGGGTCTTCTCGCTGGTGAGGTAGTCATACTCCGCCACCATCCCCGAGGCTGTGGGGAAGAAAAGAGTCCCATAGGCAGTGGGGGAAGTAGTCCTGGTGTGTAAAGGTCAAGCAGGTTGACCCCTGCAAGGGGATGAGGTGCAGTCAGCCACCCCCAGGCACTCACCTTTCTTCTCGACTGGCTGGGAGTCTGCCGAGGAGGGGTCCCCGCGGGAGCGGCAGAAGAAGACGGCCCGTTGGGTGGAGGAGCAACAGAAAGAGAGACAGAGCAGAGACAACAGATGTGTTGAAGTGGGGGCTGGGGGGCCCATCCTGACCTCTCCCCCATGGAAAACAAGCTGCCCTGTCTCCACACACACAGCCTGGGGTAGGCACAGGCACATGGGGGGGTATCCCCCTTCAAATCCCCCTCCCTGCCCCACAGCACCGCTCCGACCAGCTTTAGCCCCTTCCCTGCCCTTGGCCTGATGCTTTGGGTCATGGCCCCACCCCAAAGGTTCTGGCCCTGGCCCTGCACCTTTCACCTTCTCTACACTCCCAACCCTGTAGGTTCTAGTCCTGTCCCAGCAGGTTGTGGAGTCCTGATCAGTTCCTGACCCACAGGCTCTGGCCCAACCCTTGTGAGATCCACCCCCACAGGCTCTGGCTCTGCCCTTGCAGATTCTGGCCCTGCCCCACAAGACCTGACCCCACCCCCACAGGCTCTGACCCCAGCCCCAATGAAATCCATCCCCACAGGCTCTGGCCCCACACTTGCAGGTTCTGACCCCACCCCCATAGGATCCATCCCCCACCAGGTTCTGGCCCCACCCCCTCACCTTCCCCCTGGAAGAGGTCCCCGGCTCCCAGGTGGTCAGGATGGTCCTCAGGGTTCAGGTCCTCACTGCTGTCCAGTGGCAGGAACTCCTCGGTGGTGTGTGTCTCGGAGATGGATGTTGTGAGCAGGCTGCTGGTCCCTGCCCGCTCTGCCCGCAGCAGCTCCTCTGAGGAGACGGGGACATGGGTCAAAGCAGGGAGAGACCTTCCCCGGCAAGAAGCAGCCCCCCCCACCCCACCTCTTGGGAACCTGGCGCCTCTGCACTAACCACTAGACCCCACTCCCCTCCCAGAGCTGGGGATTGAACCCAGGAGACCTGGCTCCCAGCCCCCCTGCTCTAACCACTAGATCCCATGTGACATAGCATATTTCCATAAAACATATAGAGTGCAAATGAGTGTGAATATAATGTAACTGGAATATGCTTCATAAAAAAGGTTTCTTGTAAGATATCATTACAAATCTTATAATCCACTGAGTGTGTTCATCCTATTTGTATGTATGTATCATTCTTGTATCTGAAGCTAGAAATATGGAGTATTACTCTGAAGTCCTATTGTAACTATGCAAAGTGTGGGCCATTAATGGTGGCTTGGAATCTTGATGGCTCCCATTAACTAGGACAATTGGTTGTAAACAGCTCTGTTTACTTGTAAGCCTTCCTGTGGGTGCCAGCCAGTGAGTAATGAAGTCTCACAGGACATGTGAATATGTCACATGATACCAGAACCCATCTTAAACCTGGTGCTTTTCCATTTAAAAGGAAGAGTGGAAACCCCAGAGACAGACAAAGGATTTCCGCCTTGTGCCAAAGCTATAAAAGGGGGTGGAACTGAACAAAGGGGGCTGCCAGTCATGAGAAATCCCCTAGTTACCACCTGAGCTGGAACTAACAAGAATTGTACTGGGGAAATGATTGGGCCCAGACTGAAAAGGAGTCTAGTGTGTGAAAAAAGCTTATTGGAACAGCTCTGAGGGTGAGATTTACCTGTATTCAGTTTCTTAAATGTATTAGGCTTAGACTTGCGTGTTTTATTTTATTTTGCTTGGTAGCTTACTTTGTTCTGTCTATTATTACTTGAAACCACTTAAATCCTACTTTTTATACTTAATAAAATCACTTTTGTTTATTCATTAACCCAGAATAAGTGATTAATTCCTGGGGGAGCAAACAGCTGTGCATCTCTCTCTATCAGTGTTAGAGAGGGTGGACAATTTATGAGTTTACCCTGTATAAGCTTTATACAGAGTAAAACAGATTTATTTGGGGTTTGGATCCCATTGGGAACTGGGGGTCTGGGTGCTGGACATAGGTGACTCGCTGAGCGGTTTTTGGTTAGAGCCTGCAGCTTTGGGAGGCGTGGTTCAGACCCTGGGTCTGTGTTGCAGCAGAGTAGTGTGTCTTGCTCAACAATGCAGGGTTCTGGAATCCCAAGCTGGCAGGGAAAACGGGCTCAGAGGTAGTTTCATCACATCAGGTAACAGTCCCATGGGGGTCTCTGTGACCCAACCCATCACCCCACTCCCCTCCCAGAACCAGGGATAGAACCCAGGAGTCCTGGCTCCCAGCCTCCCTGCTCTAACGCACTAGACCCCACTCCCCTCCCAGAGCTGAGCACGAGGGTGTCAGGGCAGGAGGCATCCCAGGTGGGTGTGGGCAGGGGCGGCGGGTTTGTATAATTTTTGGTGGTGCCCAGAATGGGTCCAAGTCCCATCCCCCCCCCCCACACACCTGCCTTAGGCTCTGGGAGGGAGTTTGGGTGCGGGAGAGGTCAGGCTCTGGGAGGGAGTTTGGGGACAGGGTGCGAGGGGGGGGTGGGCTCGGAGGGAGTCTGGGTGAAGGGTCTGGACTGGGGCAGATGTGCAGGAGAGGGTGAGGGGTGCAGCCCTTATCTCGGGCTGCTCCCAAAAGCGACGGCAACCCTCTGGCAGCAGCTCCTAGGCGGGGGGACGAAGGGGTCTCCACGCACCACTGCCCATAGGCGCCGCCCCCGCAGCTCCCATTGGCCACTGTTGGCAGAGTTGGCGCGCGGGGTAGGGGCAGCACGTAGAGACACCCTCACCCCCTGCAGGGACGTTCTGGCCACTTCCGGAAGTGGAATGGGCTTAGTCCCATTGTGCTGCCAGTGGTGGCAGCAGGGGCCCCAGGTGCTTTTAAATTGCCTGGGGGTGGCAGGCGGGGCCAGGGGAAAGACCCGGCCCCGAACTTTGGTGGAGCGGGGCCCCCATGCTCACATATTGGTGGAACCACGGGCACCACGGGCCCATACAACTCGCCACCCCTAGGTGTGGGAGCTGGCATGTACGTATTCCCACACCCCCTCTGAGAGCCGGGCGAGGGCAGCACGTGCAAGTAGCTGGTGGGGTGAGTGTCATGGGGAGAAAGTGGGGGGAGTATTGGGGGCAGAGTTGGCAGGAAGGTACACACAGGTCCCACAGCTCCTCCAAGAGCCAGGAGTGGGTGAAGGGGATGTTAAGGGGGGTTGCTGGGGGAAGGCGATGTAAGAGGAAGGGGGCATCAGCGGGGCTTGGCCATCGGGGACACTGGCCATTGGGGACTGGGACATTGTGGGGAGGGGTGTCAGGTGGCCATCAGGGGCAGAGGCCTTTGGGATGCTGGGGACGTTGTGGGGTGGCCATCAGGAGAAAAGATGTCGGGGGGCCAGGCCATCAGGGTTTGTACGTATCTTGACCTGCAGCCCCATGGAGAGCCAGAGAGGCCGGCAGGGGGATGGGGCCGTCGGGGTATGTTCATGTTTAGTCCCGCAGCCCCACGGAGACCTGAGGGGCGCTATCGTGGGAGGACATATCAGGGGGCGTAAGGGGGTCATTGGGGTACGTAGGTGTCTGGTCCCTCAGCCCCACAGAGAGCCGGGAGGCTGTCATGGGGGAGGGATGTCAGGGGCCCAGGGGGCCATTGGGGTACGTATATATCTGGTCCCGCAGCCCTGCGGAGAGCTGGGGGAGGGGCCGTTGGGGTATGTATGTTTCTGGTCCCTCAGCTCCACGGAGAGCCAGGGGGACTGTCTGGGGGAGGGATGTCAGCGGCCCAGGGCCATCAGGGTATGTATGTATCTGGTCCCGCAGCCCCACGGAGAGAAGGGTGAAGGGCCATCGGGATACTTACGTATCTGGTCCCGCAGTCCCGTGGAGAGCCGAGGGTTCTTGTAGAGCAGGGCCAGGCTCTGGTTCATGCGCTCCTCGATGACGTGCAGGTGGGTGTACACCTGGGAACAGATGGAGGAGGACAGAGAGATGGGGGGCTGCTAGGACAGGCATGCCCCTCCCCTGCCCACCGGGGGTGGGGGATGGCTGAGGGCACAGGGGGGTCCCCACCTGGAACTTCATCTGCTCGGCCTTCTCGGGGTCGACGGCGCAGACATGCTGGTAGTGCCGCAGCGTGTGCCGCTGGTCCTTCTGCTCCGCCCGCACGTACCGCCTCAGCGCCTGCAGCACCCGCTCTGGCTGGGCAGCCAATCGCAAGGGAGAGACGGAGTCAGAGCTGGCTAATCAGCACCCCTACTCTAGAACACATTCTAGATTGGCGCACCCCTGCCAATACACTCAGCACTTGCTCTGGCTGGGCAGCCAATCGCAGGGGAGAGGCAGAGTCAGAGCTGACCAATAGAAATCCCAACTCTAGAACCTGTTTGAGAACCAGTTCAAGACTGGCCCACTCCCACCAATCCATGCAGCACTTGCTCTAACTAGGGCAGCGAAATACAGGAGAGAGGAGGAGTCAGAGCTGGCAAATCAGAACTCTAGAACCCCTTCTGGAACCTGTTCTAGTCTGGCTTACCCCACCAACCTGTGCAGCACTTGCCCCAGCTGGGGCAGCCAATCCCAGGGCATAGGTGGCATCTGAGCCAACCAATTAGCACCCCTGCTCTAGAAACAATTCTGGGCTGACCTGCCGCCCCCCTCCCCCCCCCGGATCCAGTGCTCCCGGATCAAGGCTGCCTGGTCCACCTGTGGGCTGTCGCTCTGCACAGCGCTCAGGTAGCTCTCCAGTGCCACGCGCCGATTGTCGTTCAGCAGGGCCACCACCCGGGCCAGGTGTGTCTCCACCAGCCGCTGCCTCTCGCCCGCCACCTGCTCCTCCAGCGTCTGCAGGATGGACTGGAAATGCTGCTTGGGGAGAGGCCGGGGGTCAGCAGGGGCTGGGCCAGGAGCCCTCAAGGGGGCGGGGCTGAGAATCCAGGGGGAAGGTTACTGGAGGTGGGGCAGGGAATCCTCCATGGGGGGCAGCGGGTCCATGGTCAAGAACTCAAATGGATGAGGCCAGGGAGGTCAGAGGAGGCAGGGCTAGTCAGTGGAGGCGGGGCCAGGAACCCATAGGGGAAGAGTGAGGGGCCACAGTGGGGCAGGGGCGAGTGAGTGGGGTCCCCCAACCCCTCAGGTAGACTTGAGTGCCACTGCAGGGTGGCTGTGGGACAGCCCTGGGTGTCAGGAGTGAGCAGCCATAGAGGGGGCGGGGTCAGGAACCGGTCGGGGGGGGCAGCCCCACCCTGCTCTCCCTGCAGACATGGGCCTCACCTCATTCAGCGCCTGCCGGTCAGCCTTGGGCAGCTCCTTGGCCTGGTTGTCCGCCTCGGCCCACTCCTTCATCACCTGGGGGGGGTACCGGGGATGAATGGGGAGCCTGGCCCTATGCCCAGCTCCCTCCCTGTCGTCAGCCTTCAGCCCCCAGGCCTGCAAACTCCACAGTCCAGCTCGGGATGGGGCATGTTCTCCATGCTCGCCGGCGCACAGGCCACCAACATGGACCACTTACGGACATGATAACATGCCCCAAGGCAGCAAGGACCTGCTGACAGGTGAGTCAGAGGCAGCCCTGGCCATGCGGAACTGGCCACGGAGGACATGGGGGTGGAGCCCATGTGTGGGCTACTGTGCCGGGGAAGACCAAGGGGGGGCAGGGTGGTGGATGTGGGGGGCCCGAGTCCTTCCCCCCCAAGCACCTCATTAATTTGTTTCATCCTGCGCTCCTCTAGGTCCATCTTGGCTCGCAGGAAGTTAGCATGTTCACTCCCATCACCTGGCATCTCAAAATAGATATCCACGCCATCTGTGGGGCGTGGGGTAGGAGTGGCTGTGGGGAGAGGAGCTGTCAGCATGGTGCCTCCTAATGAGCCCCCATCAGACCATGCCCCACAGCTCAGCACCCCCTGCCGAGCCCTGCTGCCCCTGCAGTACGGCGCCCCTCCTCACTCCCCACACCACGGCACCCTCCACCCTGCAGCACAGCGCCCCCCGCCGAGCTCCTGCCCCGCTCCCCGCAGCACAGCACCTTCTGCCGAGCCCCTGCCCCTACAGCTGAGCGCCCCCTTAGCACTGCACTTGGGCATTGGGCTGCAGTTTCTTCTGAGCCCGGGCAGGGTAAAGGGTCTCTGGCAGCTGCCTCTGAGCCTGGCACAGCTGGGCACTGCGCCACGCAGAACAGGAGTCGCATTGTGATGTGGGGAGGAGATGAAAACAGCCCAGGCAGCTGAGCATCCCATCTCCCGCCCCCCCATTCACAGGTGCATCAGCTCCATGCCAGACTGTGCCATGCCCCTTCGCCTGGGAACTCCTGCCCCTCCTGAAAAGGTCCCCCCACAGCAGCACCTGCCCCAGGGGATTCTGGGAAACTACCAGAAGTACCCCACCCTAGGGGATTCTGGGAAATCGCCAGCTCCCCCTCCCCAGCAATGCCTGCCCCAGGGGATTCTGGGACACCGCCAGCTCTTTCCCCCCCACCAATGCCCTGCCCCTGGGGGACTGTAGGACACTTCCAGCTCTGCCGCTGCAGTCATCTGCCCTGGAGGATTGTGGATGACCCGCCCCCCCGCACCCAATGCGGCTGCACCCTGCCTGGGGACTGTGTCTCACCTTTGTTCTCCTCCTCGGTGCTCCGCATGGTGGTGGTGATGGTGGTCGGGGTTATGCTGTCATCGTAGTAACCGGGCTCCACAAAATAGTCATCCCAGGTGGCGGGGAAAGGGTCGGTGTCAGCTGCGCTGTCCCTGGGGCCTTGGTTCTCTTCCTCCTCCTCAACATCCTCCTCCCCATCCCCCTCTGCCTCCAGCGTCTCCTCTTCTGTGGGGGCCCGGCCCGTTGGGAGCCTCTCACTACAGCAGAGTTGAGGGGCAAGAATCAGGGATGGGCTGTGAGCTTCCCTCACAGCGGTGCCCTGAGCTGCAGGGGATGGGAATTCTGTGAGCTTCCCTCCCAGCAGTGCCCCAAGCAAAGGAGACAGGGTGCAAGCTCCCCCATAGCAGTGTCCTATATGTGCCTCACCTGCGCTTGGGCTCTTCCTTCAGATGGGCCATGTTGCGGGGGCCTGGGGTGGGCTCCTCCAGCTGGAGAGGGAGGGGGCGTGAGGGACAGCACACGTACTCCACGCCCCGGAAGCGGTCAGCCCCACAGGGCAGCAGCATCCCATAGCTGTGCAGCTCCAGCCCCTCACTGCTGCAGGCCTGGAAGGGGGAGGAGGAGGGGGAGAAAGAGCAGCATCAGACACCCCTACACAATCCAGGATTGGTATATCCACAAGCACCCTCCTGCCTACCTCCAGGGCAGTGGAATCTCCCAATAGCAATGGTATCTCCTGAGAGCTCCCCCCTTGCAACGGCAGTGGTATCTCCTAACACCCCCAAATAGCAACAACATTTTCCCCAAGAACTCCCCCCGGCAATGGTATGTCCTGAAAACTGCCCACTCCCCGACAGCAATGGTATGTCCCCAGACTTACCCTCCCCCAACCCTCAGACCAACCCTCCCTGATGGCCATAGTATCCCACTCGACCAGTGGTTCCCAAACCTTTGTACTGGTGACCCCTTTCACACAGCAAGCCCCTAAATGCGACCCCGCATATAAATTAAAAACACCTTTTTATATATTTAACACCATTACAAATGCTGGACGCAAAGCGAGGTTTGGAGTGGAGGCTGACAGCTCACAACCCCTCATGTAATAACCTTGCGACCCCCTGAGTGGTCCCAACTCCCAGTTTGAGAACCCCTGCGCTAGACCTTTCCCAGATGGCAATGATATCCCCCTTAATAGCAGTGGAAACTTCCAAAAACTGCCCCCACCCCGATATCTCCCACAAACTCCCTGCTCCCAAATGACAATGGTATCTCCCAAGAATTCCCTGGAATAGTATCTCCCAAGAACCCCTTCCCCAGATGGCAGTGGTATCTCCCAAGCCCCTCCCCCCATTGTCTGTCCTGAACCCCTACCTACCCCCATGAGAGTGGTATCTCCCGAGAACCCCATCCCCAACTCTCCCAGAAGGCAGTGGTACGTGCTGGTGCCTGCAAGGGGCAGTCTTCCCAAGGGGGGGTGCACTGGTGGCCCGGGGGCAACATGGGGATCCTCTGGCACCCCTGCCCACACTCACCTCCTTGGCCACGCCGTGCCAGTAGATGTAGCTCTCACATGAGTCCATCTTCTCCTGGTGCAGGAACTTGCAGGTGTCAGGCACAAGAAGAGCTTCACTGACAAACTCACCCACTGCGGGGGTGGGGAATGACACACACACGTGGTCAGCATGGCCCCCCCACACCCTGCTTGCACCCCCAGACCTTCCTCCCCTCCCAGAGCTGTGGAGAGAACCCAGAAGTCCTGGCTCTCACCCCCCATCCCCACACACACTACCCACTAGACCTCAGGCCCTCCCAGAGTCAGGGATGGAACCCAGGCATCCTGCGCCCTACCCCACTCACCCAGGCACCTGTAGGGGACCACAATGTGCCGATGTCCCTTGCACTGGGGACGTCCTTTCTTGCACCAGTTGTCAATGGTGACTGGCTGGGTGCCTTCCACTGCATTGGTGATCTGCAGCTCAGGGTACACCTGTGGGGCAGACGGGGGTATGGCAGTTATCACCAGTGGGGTCAATAGAGGCATAAAATCTTGCCCTCCCCCCCAAAGATGGGGGCAGACAGCAGGGGCTGTGGGGAGGAACCATGGGACAGCAAGGATTCAATAGGGGTCTCAGTCCCTTTTTCCTCACCCTGGGTCTCCCCCAGGGATGGAGCAGCTCCCCACCCCCAAATATCTTCAGCCCTTTGCACTGTTGTGTGAAGAGCACAGCATGGGGAGACCCCATCACTGGGGGGGGGGGGAGGAAACAGACTATGGAAAAGGACCTGGTGGGGGTGTGTCAAGGAGTGTGGGAGAGAGGGGGTGGGTACCTTCTGGCAGTAGGCGAGGATCTCTGGGCAGGATGCAAGTGCGGAGGGTGTAGGGGGAAAAGGATGGGATGTGTGGGAGCCATGGGGCAGGTACCTCCTAGGAGTAGGAGAATATCTCCTGGCAGGGTGCAGAGAGAGCCCATGGGATGTGCGGGAACCGTGGGGCAGGGGCCCATGGGGCAGGTACCTCCTGGCAGTAGGCGAGAATCTCCTGGCGGCTGCGGAAGCAGCTGCGGGCACCAGCAGCATCGGGGTCCCACCTGCCTGTCTGCAGGTTTCGATGCATGGTCAGCTTCCCACAGAACACGGCCACCTGGGGTTCGGACACAGATGTCCCCACCATGCCCAGCGCCTGCCATGGAGGGAGGGGTTAGTAACCATCCAGCCCCACCCCCGCCATGCCCAGCCCCTGCCATGGAGGGAGGGGTTAGAACCTGGCTGGCCCCACCCCCACCTGCCACAGGGGTTAGTGCCCATCCAGCCACGCCCCTGCCACACCCAGCACCTGTCACGAAGTGAGGGTTTAGTGCTTGGCCAGCCCCCACCATGCCCACGCCTGCCATGGGTGGAGGGGTTAGCACCTGGCTGGCCCTGCCCCACCACGCCCAGTGCCAGCCACGGGGGAGAGGTTAGTCCCTGCACTGCTCCACCCTCGCCACACCCAGTGCCTGCCATGGGAGGAAGGGTTAGTCCCCAGCCTGCCCTGCCCCTGCCCCACTCAACCCCACTGCACCCGAACATGCACCCGAACCTGCCCTGCCACTGCACCCGAACCCCACTGCACCCTGCCCATCTTGCTGGGATGAGAGCAGGAGATGCAGCTCCCAGCGGCCAGGTGGGGGAGCCCTGATCCTGATGCCGGATTGGGCCCCCAGCCGATCCCGCCCCTCTTCCCCTTCGGTGTGCACTGAGCAGAGTCTGAACCCGGGGCCTGGAGACTCAGGCAGGACAAACCCGACTGCACTGGCCCAGCTGTCCCTGCACATCGCCCCCTGAGGACAGGGGCAGGACATGGGGCCTTTCCCCTCGAGGGGGCGCTGGCTGCGATCTGCACAGTGCAAGGACTGGCAGGCTTACGGGGGCAGGGAATGGGACATGGGGCCTTTTCCCTCTAGGTCAGCAGCTGGAGGGCTGTGGGTTGGGTTGGGGGGCACTGTTAGAGCTGGGGGACCGTTGGGGGTGGCTAAATGACACATTTGTTCCCCCCCCATCCATCTCTCTCTCTCTCCCAAGCAACAACCGGGATGTTGTTGCTGTGGTAATTGCTCCCCATGGAGTTGCCCGATCTTCCTGGTCGCCATGGAGACAGTCTCCCAGAAGGAATTTTAAATAACCCTCCCCACATCATCCTCTCCCTCCCCCCCAGTAGCCCCCTCCAGGATCACCCTCCCCCATCTCAGCCCCCCTCCACTCACCCTTCCTTCTCCCCCATCCCAGCCCCTCTCCCCACCTCCTGCCCCCCAGGATCACCCTCCCGCATTCCAGCCCTCCCTCCCCCCATCCCAGCCCCTCCCTGTCTCACTCATTCCCCCATCCCCCACCATTACCCCTCATCAGTGCTGAAGAAATGGGATCCCCACCCCCCATTTGCCCCAATGCCCCCCATCTTCCCCAGGGAGGAAGGTTCCTAGCAGGGCATGCAGGTCATCCCCCCTCCCCCACGGAGCCCTGGGGCTGAGGAACCAGGTGCCATCCCTGCCCCCACCAGGCACAGTGCCAGCCTTGGCCCTTTAACAAACTGCCTTTCACAGCCTCACCCGGCCCAATCTAAACAACAACAACAAAGGCTCATTCTCACCCTGCCAGGGCAGCCAAGGGGCTGCGGGTCGGGAATGAGGGACACCAACAGGGCTGGGCTAGCGGGGCCTGTGGGTTGGGAGTGAGGGGCACTGGCAGAGTGGTAGAGGGCAGGGCTGGGCTAGCAGTGGCTGTGGGTCAGGATTCTCTGCCCTGTTTTGTGGCACTGAGCCATAATCCCAAGGGCCTCACCCTTGCCCCAAGCTCAGATGCCCCAGTGAAGGTCAGAGACCCCAGGGTTTTGGGGGGCCTACACAGATCCCCCCATATGTCAGGAGGGCTCTTCCTTTCTCAGCCCCCACTTGGGTACCCACTGGGAGGAGTATCAGGTTTCGGTGGCGGAGGGGTGCAGAGTGTTTCCCTTCCCATCCCCAGTAGGGTGACCCTCATCTCTCTGTGGGGTGCATGGAAGACGGGGAGCCCTTAGATGGGCAAGAGAAGTGGGGGGCAGGGAGCTGTGTGTCTGTGGAGGCAGGGCAGGGGTCTGTGTCGATGCAGTGGGGGATGAGGACTGAGGTGGGGGAGCATGTGGCTGTGTCTTGGGGAGGGGCACTGGCTGGGCAGGGGGCGGTGTCTCTGTGGGGGAGGGACACTGAGGTTGTGGGGTAGGGAGCTGTGGAGGGGCACTGGCTGGGCAGCAACCGTGGGGGACGGGGGCAGGGTCTCTGTGGGGGAGGGGCACTGGCTGGGCAGGGGGCTGTGTCTGTGCAGTGTGGGAGGGGCAGGGCTGGCACTGGTGGGGGAATGCCAGAGGGGCCTGGCCCTGGTTCAGCCCGGATTACCCCGGCTCTCCCTGGCTAAGCCGCTCACTGTTGGCTTTTCAGCAGCTGCTGCGATTTAGCCTGGGCTGACTCCGGCCTCCCATCAGTCCAGTACCTTTGGGGTGGGGGTGGGGGGCAGCAACAGGGGGGTAGATGTTACCTGGGGCAGCTAATGGGATGGAGGGCTGCGGCAGGAGAGGGACCAGTGGGGGCGGGGGACAACAGAAGGAATGGAGGTTGCCAGGGTGAAAATTACGAGCTGTGCCCCTCACCCATCCCCTTCCCACCCCATCCACCCTTCCCCCTACTTTCTGTCCCTCCCCCAACCCCCTCCATCCCCACCTCTTGTCTCCCCGCAGCCCATGAATTATCCATGCTACATCCATCAGTACATTAAAGCACCAGATGGCAAGCTGGAGCCCGTGTCCTGGGGGAGGGGGGGGGAAGAAACTAGCAGCAACATAGGACCAAGGGGCAGACGGAAGGATCTTCCCAAATTCATGGGGGGAGCAAAGCCATGGGGAGCAGCATCCCCCACTACAGAAGAACCCCCTCCCCACACACACCCTCCCCGTTCCCCTCCCAGAGCTGGGATAGAACCCAGGAGTCCTGGTCCCCATCCCTCCTGCTCTATCCCCTGTACCCCACTCCCCTCCTAGAGCCAGGGATAGAACCCAGGCATCCTGGCTCCACACCCAGGCCTCCTCACCTCTCTCCAGTTTGGCTTTCTGGTATCAAGGGGCCCAGAGCCAAGAGCTGCCCTTCCACCCGGCTTGAGCCAGAGCCAGCAGTTGGCATGGGATAGAGCTGGGTGCCCAGGAAGATATGGGCGGGGGGGAAGATCCCCACATGGCTCCATAGCCCAGCGAGCACGAGGCCCACTTACCACCATCCCCGGGGCCCACTGGCAACAGGACAAGCATGGCCATTGTGGTGCTGCCCCATGTGCAGTGCCAGCTGGTGGCACCAGTGACGTGAGTGCTAACCAGGCCTGCCTGGGGTCAGACGGGGGCATCACCAGAGACTGGCAGCTCCCGGGGGAACTCAGCAGCAGCTGGTGTTCAGGGGGGCTCCCCTGTGCAGGACTGGAGCCCCAAAAGTCCAGAGGGGGGCTCACAGCTCAGCAGTGATCGTGCTATCCAAGGAGGTAGGCTCCCCTCCCCAAGCCACCAGGCTGCCCCATTGGCATGGGGCACAGCCACCGCCCCCCAGGAAACTCTTATGGGGGACAAAAGGGTAGCTTCAGGCCAGACCCGCCTATGCTGTGGGGCTGTGAGGCCCGAGCACTGGGTCCCAGAATGGAGTAATGGGGAACACCTGAGGAAAGGGGGTGATGCGGGGCTTGAGGGGCAGGACGGATGGATGGGGCTGGGGCAATATGGATGGGGGTGGGGGATGCCTGGTTGAGGATGGCGAGGGGGACCTCGACCACATGAGACCTGGAGCTGGGGGTCCACCACTACTGCTACTCCCTATCACAACAGGGCACTGGTGGGGCACCACCAGCGAGTAGGGGGCCAGGACTTCTGTGTTCTCTCCTTGGTCAGGGAGGGGACTGGGTCTGGTGGGTTAGAGCAGGGGGCTGGGAGCCAGGACTCCTGGGTTCTCTCTCTTGCTCATGGGGTGACCTTGGTAAGTCCCTCTGTGCCTCACTTCCGCCCCCCAACCACCTTCATGAACAGTCACATCTGGAGAGCCCCCACTAAGAACCCTCCCCCCACCACACACAGGGACGGGCGGCTCAGCCTATGTCGTGGCCTGCCCCAGGTGAAGGAATTGGGTGATTTACACCCCTCTTCGCTCCCCCCCCCACCTCCATCTGACCCCCACCCGCCTCCCGGCCTCCTATGGCTGCACAGGAACAACGCCCCCTCCAGCAAACCCTCCACAGGGCGCTGCCTGTGCCCCCCTCGCCACCCCCAACCAGGCACCCCCCACCCCCGTCCATATTGCCCCACCCCCATAACCCTGGAGGCCCCCAGCCCCCTCACCTGGCTGGCGGCTCCAGCGCTCAGCACCAGCTGGATCCAGGCTGCCCAGAGCCCCGCGGGCAGAGCCATGGCCGCGGCTCCCGGCGAGCTCCCTGCCCCGCGAGTGCCGGCCTCCCGCTCGCCTCGCCGCGCTTGGAGCCGGCCAGGCGAACCTGAGCTCCCCGCTCTCAGCCGGGCCGCCCCGCCCCGCTCGGCTCGGCTCGGCTCGGCGCTCTCCCCAAGCTCGCCGCGGATGTACCAGCCCCGGCGCTGCGGCTCCCTCCTGGCTGGGCTGTGACAGGAGGAGCCTGGCCCGCCAGCTGCGGCGGCTCCCGGCTGCTGCAGCCCCCCCGGCCCCGCCCCCAGCCCGGACACCCCCCCGCGACAGGCGCACAGAACCCCCCTCCCGACAGCCAGGGAGCAGGGACAGACCCCGCCCTCGCCAGACCCACAGCGGGGAGAAGCCCCGCTTCTGGGGATGTGGCAGCCCAACCCCCCCTCAGGCCAGGGACACTGGTCCTAGCAACGCAGACCAAGCCAGACCTGGTCCGGGAAGGTGGGTGTGTGGGGAGACCATGCAGCCCCGAGAGAGGGATGGACACACAGATGGGGGCAGTTTCTCCACCCCCCAAGCAAGGGAGTCATGACACAGGCTCCAGCCACTGCAATGTGGGGCCTGCACCGAGGGCCCACACACTCTGTAGCAGGGAGTTCCACAGGTCAATGTGGTTCTGTGCTCTTCTCAGGACACTGAGCAAGGCCTGGCAGATAATGGGCACCATTGCCTTATAGACTTGGGGCTCTAACCCAGCAGTCCCGAGTCCCACCGCACCTCTCCCCTCCCATAGCCAGGGACAGAAGCCAGGATTCCTGGCTCCCAGCCCCCCTCCCCACACACACTGTAACTCACGGGACTCCCCTCCCTTCCCAGAGCTGGAGATAGACCCCAGGTGTCCTGACTCCAAGCCCCAGCAGAGGGGCACCCCCTAACAAGACAACTTGGCCCTACCCCACCAACCCATTAGAAGCCAGTACTCCTCACATGGGGCTTTGAGCTCCTGCCAGAACTCAGCCTGGAAGCCAGGGGACCAGTAGCTCTGGTCCGAGACAAAAGCCACAAGGACTATGTTCCCAAAGGGGATGATGGCAAGGGGACTGGCTGCTGCCCACAGTGCCTGGGGAGACAGAGGGGATCTTAGATCAGTCCCCGCCAGGGACTGCCATGAGCTACTGAGCAACAAGCTGTGGGGACGGCTTGCCAGGCTCTGAGATGCAGCCAGCTCTGAAAAGGGGTGGCTGGTTATACAGGGACCCCTCGCCTGGCGTGGAGATGCAGCCATCTCTGGGGCGGTACAGATGAGTTAGAGCTGCAGAAGCTCGGGACAGGAAGTGAAGGATACCCAAAGGGGGGTTTTAGGGAGTGAGCAGAGACTTACACCCTGTAGCATCCAGCCAGGACACCTGGGTTCACACCAGGGCACTTGGGGAGAAAGTCTTGAAATTCCAGACATCCAGAGTTTGCTTTTATAACTTATTAAAACACACACCCCACCGGAGGCCCTAATGAGCCCCCCACCCTTCGGTGCACCCCCCAAGGTGCCCCTCACTGAGTCCCCCCGCAATGCCTCCCCCATACCCCAGCGGTGTCCCCCAAGCCTCCCCTACCCCCCTCATTGGACAAGGAAGTTCCAGAGGCTGGGGTTCAGGGTGTCATATACCCCCACAAATGCAGCCAGCTTTTGGGGGGATTGCCCCAATCAGAAGCAGAAGGAGCCATTGGGGGATCACTGCACAGCTGTATCTAAGGGGTTCCCTTCTGCCCGGGGTCCTGCAGTTTCAGACCCCCCAGAAGTCTCTGCCCCTACCCTCACTGTTCAGCCCTGAGGAAGGGGCCCCAGGACACTGGGGTAGAAATACCCCCATGTCCCTGTGTTTCGGGGGTTCCTGCTGGGGACGGAGCACTCAGTCACCCAGTGGTTTCACGGTGCAGGGGTCAGCAGCTGAGGAGAGGAAAGGGGGCAAGTCCAGCTGAGAGAACCCCGCATCCCTGGTGCAGCCCCTCCCATGCACAGGCTGGGAAAACCAGAGCCTCAGTCCCATAGAGCCCCCCATCCCAGAGTGGCCCTCCACCTCACAATCTCACCCCCCCTTTCTCAATGCCCCTCCTGGTGTATTCTAGGCACCCCTCTCCCATGTCCCCCCTTTTTGGGACTCCCCCAACACTGCTCCCGGCCCCTCCACCCCACTGAACCCCTTCCTGGTGCAGTGATTAACTCCCCACAGCACCCCCATGCCCTAGCTCCAGCTGGCAGAATCTGGGCAATTTCCCCCCTCCCCATGCCAGCCCCACCCAGGCATCTCACCCACCAGAGAGCTGGACACCTGCGATCAATGTGCAGGGTCTGCAGCAGGCTGACATGGTCCGGAGCGACGTCCAGCAGGGCCCCCATGGCCGGGGTCAGGAGGTTGGCAGCAGGTGCTGGCACCTCGAATCGCAGCCAGATGTAGCAGAGGATGCTGCCATTGCTGCGGAGAGAGACAGAGAGAGAGATGGGTCGATGAATCCCTGAGATGCGCCCACCTCTGGGGTAGGGCAGCTGGGGAACTCACCTGAAGGCTGTGACAGCAGAAGCCCTGAAGAAGTTAGGCCAAAGATCCTGCTGTAGGGATCATTCAACTGGGAACAAGACAGAAAGGAAAGTGGGTTAGATTCCCACTGGAGATAGAACCCAGGAGTCCTGGCTCCCAGCCCGCCTGCTCTAATCTTCTGGCCCTGCTCTTTCTGGTGCACAGTAGGACATGTGGGTTGGTGGTGCCCCTTAGTGGCAGGGATCTTACAGCCTCTCCCTGGCAGAGGAGGCTGGGTGAGGGGCAGAGGGAGGAGGGGGTGCTGCTCACAGGCTTTCCCACAAAGTCTGCCAGCCCCTGGAAGGTGGCTGACCCAGGCACCTCCAGCTCCAGAGAGTAGCTCAGTTCGGAAAGGGTTAACCGGCCACTGTAGAGCAGGAAGGCCAGTCAGGAGGAGCCATGGGGCTAGGAACCCCAGCATCTGGGTCAGGTTTAACTGTGAGAGCAGGAGACAGAGCAATTGGGCAAGGCAGGGGACCAAGCACAGGCAGCTGCTTCCCACCCCCCCACCTCACAGGGATCCCCTGACACCACCAACCAAGTAGCCCCTCCACGCCCATGACACCCTCCATACTGCTTCCCTCAAACCAGTAGACCCTGGCCATTACCTGAGTCTGACCCCTGATTTAACCCACTAGAGCCAGGAAGAGAACTCAGAAGTCCTGGCTCCTAGCCCTTCCGCTCCAGGTACTCCCAGAGCAGCTGCCAGACCAGGAGGCCGGCAATAAGGAATGGTGGCCAGGGCAATGAAGCTGGGGCACCTGGATGCCCCCAGTCATGACCGTGTCCTCACAGACCCCACCAGGCCCCTGCCAGGGACAGAGACCACAGGGGGCAGCAGTTAGACCAGGGGGCTGGCTTAGGGTCACCAACCCTCCCGGTTTGGCTGGGAGTCTCCCAGAATTGGGCTCGATCTCCCGGAGGCTACTGAAGTCGAACTGGGATATTTTAGGCCGCTAGAAGTCCGGTGGTGCAGCTGGGCTAAGGCAGGCTCCCGCTCTGCCCCAGCTTTGTGCCGCTCCCAGAAGGGGCCTGAATGTCCAACTGTGGCTTCTAGGGGGAGGTGTGGCCAGGTGGTCTCCATGCGCTGCCCCTGCCCCGAGCACCGACTCCGCAGCTCCCATTAGCTGGGAATGGGGAACCACGGCCAATGGGAGTTCTGAGCGTGGTGCTTGCAGGCAGGCCTAGCACACAGGGCTGCCTGGCCACCCTGAGCCTAGGAGCTGCTGCCGGACATGCCGCCGCTTCCGGGAACCACCCAAAGTACTTTCTGCCCCACTGGAGCCTGTGCCCTGAACCCCTCCCGCACCCCAATCTCCTGCCCCAGCCCTGAGCCCCCTCCCACACCCAAACTCCCTCTCAGATCCCACACCCCAAACTTCTTTCTGCATCCCAACACCCTGCCCCAGGCTCAGCTCAGAGACCCCTCCAACACTCCAAACCCCTCATCTTCACCCCCCAGCCTAGAGCCTGCACCCCCTCCCACACCCCAACCCCCTGCCTCAGCCCGGTGAGAGTGAGTGGGGGGGGGGGGAGAGTGAGTGATGGAGGGGGGTGGGACCTTGAGGAAGGGGTAGGGCAGGGGAAGGGACAAGGGTATTTGGGTTTGTGTGATTAGACAGTTGGCTAGTTGGGCTATGGAGACCCAGGCCAGGGAGCCTAGTTGGACTATGGGGATAAGCCAGTCCCCCCAGCTCCACGCCCACAACCCCCATCAGAGCCCTTCCCCAACCCCCTAAGAGAGCAGGCCCAGCCAGCCACTCCCCTCACCCCCATGCTGAGCCCCCATGGCCAGAACAGCACAAGCCCCCACTAAGGCAGAGGGAGGAAGAAGCTGGTTTGCGGTCTCCTGTGTGCCCGCCCCATACTGAGGGGGCTGGACCCCCCACATGAGACCAGTGTCCCCTATTGGAAGACAGCCATAGTGACAGGGGCTGCCCCCTAACTAATACACCCCAAAACCTCAGCCTGCCCCCGTTGCACCCCTACATAGCCAGCACTGACCCTACCCACTCAGAAACACAGCCATGGGGCAACAGTCCTATAGGGGTGGGGCTAAGATGGCTCCACCCTCTGCCATTAGCTCTGTCCCAGCTTGGGGAATGGAGTATGAAAAGCATCTCCAGCTACAGCTGTGACAGGAACCCGTCTGGGAGGGGAGTGGAACCTAATGAGTTAGAACGGGGGGCTAGGAGCCAGGACTCCTGAGTTCTTTCCCCAGCTCTGGGAGGGGGAGGGGTCTGTCTCTCCTGCTCTGTCCCTATCTGCTATTATTCCCTTTCTTTTCTTCCTGGGGCCCCCTGGCCCAAGCATCTGGGGCCCCAAGGAGACCATATCCCCTAGAGGCCAAACTCGGGGGGGGGGGATAGCAAAAGAGGCTGCCTCTGCTAACCCCAGGGGGAATCCATTTAGAGAGTGTGTGGGAGGAGCTGAGCTGACATGGTCCTGGAGCAAATTTGCTCATGCACAAAGACTTTTCTCCTCCCTCCAACCTCTCAGATATTCCCTGGCTCTTCCCCTAACAACCATGCCATGAACCCACATGTACTCGCACTATCCTAGCCCCAGGGACATCTTCAGCCTTCTCTGAAGTGGCCCACTTGGGGACAGGGTCTACTTCCTGTACTAAATATGTGGGAGGCTGGTCCCCACCCCACAGGTGGCTA